CCGTTCGGAGAAAGGTTTCACCAACCATTGATCTCTCGGATGCCACTTTCACATCGCTTTAAGATTTGTGAGCCCTCCCCCCAAGTGAAAGAGCACCCTATTAATGCTACTCTGTCATTTTGTTTTTTGTTTCTCTATCTTACCGCCCTGTGTTCCCTGCTGTGCTCGCTCGTCCTGCTCACCTGCCCTGACTTGAAAACTACGTAAAGTACGTAGTCAAATGTGTGATTGTCGCCATTAAAACGATCGGCAACATTATGTTGGTCACCTATCTCCTACAGTTCATGTTCGCTGTAATCGGGGTACAGCTCTTTAAGGTAAACCATACATACCAGGAAAGGTACTGCATCGAAATTCGGTTAACGCACTCAATGCTACGGATTTCCCAAACCCCCTTGTTAATCTCCATAGAAGAAAGACGGGAGAACGTGAAAAGATATCCAAAATTACTTAAAGATAACAACGTTAACCCGCGATTCTATATCAAAGTCCGTTCCTTGCAACGACTCGTAAAAGTGTAAAATGTATTCGCCAGAATACTTATAATAATTGATTAACTGTCAGAAATTTGAGACTTCATCTTCAGGGATAAAAACCTGAAATGGAACTCCTAGAATTTAATTTTGGAATTGTTTCTCCGAGCTTCATAAAGTATCTCCTGTCTTTCTTCCGACGTCCAATCATTCGCAGGACACAATTTCAAACGAAATGCATATCTCGGATTTTCCATCCGTTTAAAGCGAATAAAAATACGCTTTCAAGAGCATTCCTCGAGAGAAGTCGGAAAGTGTTAATCAATTTCAGTGTTTTCTCCAGAAAAGAGAGCGAGGTTCATCTCGGGCACAAGTCCGAAATGACAAGTCTACCCTGAGAAAGAAAGTTCATCGAACCAGAGAAATATTTCTTTGAACGGTACCAATGAGATATGAAGATAAATCGAAATTATCTTTTGAATTAATTAAATATATTCTTTGGCACTATTCAAAGAGATATTTCTTTGGTTGAATGATATTTTTTTCTCAGTCTAATTTTCAGACGGTACTCGCTGCTTCTGCAAGGAGCAAATGCTCCCTTCCATTCCGAAACAAGACGGGAATTTATAGCAACGAGAATGCGTCCTGCGAATGCAATGCACGTCGGCCTTAAACCTTTCGACTCCTTCTCATGAAATTCCTCGCAGCTTCTCTAACCAACAGCACACGGTCAGAACACGCCTCGTCTCTGGATGTTCCTCGAGAAATTCTGAAAACCCGGCCGAGAGTTCACCGGGCTCGTTATGCCTTGTTTCCAGCAAACCCCATTATGCCAACGCGATAATATAGAGCTATACTAAAGTAGACTAATAAATAAATAAACAAGTTCGAGAAGAGACGCCTGAACGCGATCGCACTTTAAATCCTAAAATCATTTAATCATTTTCTTCACGATGAAACCGTAATAATTAATATTGAGCAATGAATAAACGTAACAGTTGAAGGAGGGACACTAAATACAATCACGGTTTAAGTCCCAAATGAATAAAAAAGGTCTCCTGCTAATGAGGTTTAAAAGAGATTAATTTCACTAACACCTTCCTATATTAAATTCTCCTTTTGTACTCCAAATCCCCCCTTAAATTCATGGGGCTTGCGTGAGATAAAAATTTTCGAGTGGGGAACCACGCGCCACATATCGGCAAAATTGTTACAAGGTGGGAATATTTAAAAACGTTCGACGACCGCTATTTTATAGATAAAAGAGCAGTCACGTTGAGTTAGTCTCGTAAAACAACAGATTTTTTTTAACCATCTCGATCGTGCGAAAGAATCGCCCGGAATTTTATGACACGCACGCGCACACGTACGGCCAGATTGACTTGTTCAGGGAATAATTGGTTCGGCGATAATTAAACCATCGTTGCATACTCAGGATACATAAACGCAGTTTTAACGAAGTCGGGTATGTGCACATAGACTGCATATGATGCACTTTGCTGCGGCCGCGTTTAAAAAGTTAACATGTTCGCCAACCAGCAGCACGTAATTGAAACGAGTCATACGCGAGTTATGATTCACGGAAGTGGATTTTGATACACATCCATTAAATATCCATCTCATGGAAAGAACGACCCGCAAATAAACTGCATAAAAATTCAATATTTCGGCCGAAAAATTTCGGAACGAAATTTCCAGTCAGCGCCGAAATTAGCCCTGTCACCTTTCAGTTGCATTTCGTTTGCGATTAATACTAATGATAAATGGTGTAATAAAATAAAAAATTAAATGAAAAATTAAGGATTCGCCCTTACGTCATGCATTCGTCCCCAGTGAACTCGATTTTGCCAGATGAATGATTCGCGAGCATGAAAATTCATACAAACTCGACATATGTGGCCTTATAGTGAGATTTCGAAATCCGAAATCAGCGTCGAAAGGTGCTGAATGCCGATTTGCGAAATTATCCGATGTTGTAGTGCATGGTATGTAGTCGGACGTTCCATAGCTGTGATTTATGGAATCGCAAATATAGACTTGGCAGCTACGATTGCGATTAACATTGTTTTTTTTCTCCCGGAACGAATGTGCATGTTCTTCCCTAACCTGACAATCGCCTATCTTACGATAAAGTCCCAACTCGATAAATTGTCACTTCTTTAAAGTGGAATGAAAGAGTCATTTTATATATACACCCCTCCCTCAATTTACGGGGTAAATTATAACACAATTTATGCGGTTACTCATTTTAATTACTTCTTTTGTCAAGCTATTTGAAGTAAATATGTATTTCTAAAACTTACATGTACTAGCTTTTATTTCCAATATTCTTTCCTTTGTCCTGACAGACTTTATTTATGCAATTTTCATTTGCGAAAAACGAATCCACGTGGAACGGATACTCCGCGTAAATTGAGGGACGTCTATATAAAACGTCAAAATATTTATAATATTTTTTGATTATGGAGGCCCTAAGGAAGAATGCAATCATATCACGTACTGAAATAAAGTAAATGATTCGGTGCACCCAATTTGGAGGAAAGTTTTATAAATATCCTGGCGTTTTATACATATATAATGATCCTTTCATATCACCTTAAACACGGTAGAGAAGGCATCCCCAGCGTTAATAAACTGCTTTTACAAATGTAAATACGTACTCGCCTTGTAATAGAATTAATCTTACAAATAGTACGTAGGTAGAGTACAAATTAAACTATTAGTTTGAGGAATAATTTCCCGCCGTTTTTGGCGTAACGTAACATAATTAAAACGGTGGGGACTTATTCCTCAACCCAATACTTTAGTGCAATTACACGGTTCGTAGGTTGTAAATATTACAATGTTACAGTTTCCCGCAGTTTTATAGTGCACATCGGTCGATTTAGAGATCGAATTTTGGGGGCGCGACTTATACTCTTATTGTTTAATAAAATAAATGCTCGGTCGTAAGGAAACCAGTGGAGGCCAAAAGTCTCTCGAATAATTTCGACGTCACGATCACTTAAATCCGTATGACCTAGCCAATGAATGTGCGGTGATTTAGGCGAGTTTACCAAGTAGGCGAGCATCCTGCCTAATTTTAGTCTCGCCTGTTTAGCTCATGCTCCAATAAGCTGACGATTTATGCAGCTTAAACTTGGTTAGTCACCTTAAATGCCGATTCGCATCAGACCTTGCGATTTGAAGCCGGAATACGATTCATTAAAAATTAATTAATTGCCCAGACCCCTCAATTTGACGAGCAGCTTATGCTTTCCGATTGTTAGCAATAACGAGGCCATTAGTTAATAATAAAGCTGCCATTGACAAGTGGCTTTACCGGCAGTCATCGTTGCAAGTCATTTTCGCGTACACGGAGAATAAAAATCTGTTAATCTTGCAGAAAAATCTGCAAAACATACATCAGAAAGTAAAATTAATTGGATTAATCCGTTAATGGGACAGTTTTTAACCGTATCGTGAACAACTTTCAACGGATAGGCTTCTGTAACTTTAAGGCTCTTATTTTTCTCCGTGTACCTCTCCAGATATATCGCTTTTTGAACAGTTCAAGCTTTTTGCGAATTGCCGAAGAAATAATTTAATTGACAATTCCGATCTTAGATCGCATTTCTATAGTAACTCGCGAGATAGGCTCCTTAATTCAGTCCGATAGGCTTCAAATGAATATTCCTTCGTGTCAGTCCACCTGACAGAGCGACTTTTTATACTGGATCCATTCGAAGACTATTCCAAGAAATTAGTTATGCCGGTTCTTTAAAAAATGAAAGAAAAGATATCGCCGCGGTGATACTCTTTTGAAGAAGTCGCGCGGTTCCTCTTTTATCAGTAAACGTGCCGAGAGAAAAATAGATCCGGCGAGTGGAACATTTGTAACCCGATTCTTGGCAGAGAAATCGAGAGTCCCTAGAATTAAGGACACAACTGGCTTGCGCATTTTGATGTGCATCGGCGTTCTGCAGCATCTCGCTTGCCTGTTGAAACTGCACCTGAAATCGCAGCACGTACTTGTTCATACCATTTCAACTGTCGACGGTACAGAACGAGTCTATGAGTCATACAAAGTCAGCTGCGATTCGGCATCGATTGAAATATTCATTAAACATTAAATGTCATTACGATGCCAATCCACAAATTTTGGGCTCACGGTTCATTCGTCGAGAGTTTTCACATAAAATTCACGAGGAAGAAATTTTTCGTCGCGGAAATAAAATTGTTATCAATGTACGGATCGATCGTTCGGCTTAACCCGATTAGGTATTAATTCGACGAGTCACTTGACGGGAAAAAAAAAAAAAATTGGTCGAAGGAAGACGATGCATCCCGCCACGCAGCGTACTTGTATGCACGCCAGAGGGCATGTTTTTATTTTTGAATTTCGTTTTACATTTTAATTTGCACTCCAGCAACGCTCCGTTAATTTAGTCGCTGCGATTGTACTTTGTCGATTAACCAGTGTAATGTCGCTTGTGGGAAGAAATCGTAAAAAAAAGAGAATTAATGCCTTTCGTGTGTGATTCCCAGGGGAAGTTTTTCTACTGTTCCGATGGCTCGAAGATGACGAATGAAGAGTGCCGGTATGTGGTCGGAATGGAAACGTTTAGTCGGCTAGCTTCTGGATTTCTAATTCTACTTTTTTATCTCTCAGAGGAACGTATCTTGTCTACGAGGAAGGAAACATCAACAGGCCCACCATGAGGGAGAGGACGTGGGCGAGGAATCGTTTCCACTTCGACGATGTCGCAAAAGCAATGTTAACCCTTTTTACCGTATCGACTTTTGAAGGCTGGCCCACGTAAGATAGAATTCCTCTAATCAAATGAAAAAATGGATGACAGGTTCACTTGAAAATCAGTAAAAACGATTTCCTTCTCTGAAAACCGATTATTTTTGATTTCATATGATAAATAACAATGCCATTCGGCAACAAGTAACGTTCGGCATTAAAATCGTGACAGTATTCATAAACAATGAACAGTAAACAAAATAAGTGATTCACTTCTCCCATTTATTCATTTGTAAACTTACGCTACCGTTGCATAAAAAGTTTCACATGAAAAGTCTGAAGCAGTCGAAAAACGAAACGCTCGAATCTTAGACGAAATCGAGAAAACGAAAAACTATTGAAGTATATCTGATTTTGATCTGTTTTGAAATTCTAACGAATCACGAATGGCGGGATTTATTCTGAAATTCACGAAATTGTTGCAAGAAATATTCTATGAATTTATTTTTCAGACTGCTCTACGTATCGATAGACTCCAATGCCGAGGACTACGGTCCCATTTACAACTTCAGGCCCATTGTTGCTGCCTATTATATCATCTACATCATCATCATAGCGTTCTTCATGGTTAACATCTTCGTAGGTTTCGTCATCGTCACGTTTCAGAACGAAGGCGAGCAAGAGTACAAGAACTGCGAGCTCGATAAAAATCAGGTAAACGTTGGGATGATATCAGCCTGACTTATGATTGTACAATTACTTCAACCTTTGTTGTGTATTTTTATTTCAAGCGAAATTGCATCGAGTTCGCCCTAAAAGCAAAACCAGTACGTAGGTACATCCCCAAGCATCGAGTACAGTACAAAGTGTGGTGGTTCGTCACCTCGCAGCCTTTCGAGTATACGATCTTCACGTTGATTATGATAAATACTGTAACACTGGCCATGAAATTCTACCGACAACCGGAATTTTACACGGAGGCGCTGGACGTCCTCAACATGATCTTCACCGCTGTGTTCGCACTCGAATTCGTCTTCAAATTGGCTGCCTTTCGTTTTAAGGTAGTAAAGAGACTATCGGAAAATGTAAAACTTAAGGCGATGTGAAAGTGGCGTCAAAGAAGTCTCGTTTATGAAACTTTTCTCCGAATTAGGTGTACCGAGTCGTTTCAAACTTTACAATGTTAACATGTAAGCTATAAGTGAGATCCTGATACCCATGAAACTTCAATTTTGTTTTAAATTTGTTGATAAGAGTTTTTAAAATGTATAATAAAAATGAAATTTCATGAGTGTCAGGACGTTCCTTACAGCCTCTATATTCACGTTGTAAAGTTTGAAACTAATCGGTACACCCAGTTCGGAGAAAAGTTTCACGAATTGCCACTTTCTTGCCTCTTTCTTGTCTCAGATGCCACGTTCGCACCCCCTGAATATCAAACTTTACACTTCCATAATTGTAGAATTACTTTGGGGATGCGTGGAACGTTTTCGACTTCATCATTGTACTGGGAAGTTTCATCGACATCGTGTACTCGGAAGTCAGTGTGAGTAATATTTCTTGAAAAATTACCCTGATTAAATCAAAGTGACTTTCCACGAGTAATACATTTTAGTAATGATATTAATAAGTTCATTTCTAAATCTCCTTTAGCCTGGGTCCAGCTTAATTTCTATAAATTTCTTTCGACTCTTTCGCGTGATGCGACTGGTCAAGCTGCTGAGCAGAGGGGAAGGCATCAGAACTTTGTTATGGACTTTTATCAAGTCGTTTCAAGCATTGCCTTACGTCGCCCTGCTGATCGTCATGTTATTTTTTATCTACGCCGTCATCGGGATGCAGGTGATTTAATTCGGACAAAGAATTATTTAAATTATTTCTTTATTCTTATTTATTAAAAAGATCCCTTCGAGTGTTAACAAACTTTTTGACGTTTTCCAGATATTTGGGAAAATTGCTCTGGACACCGAAACCGCGATACACCGGAATAATAATTTCCAAACGTTTCCTCAAGCGGTCTTAGTGCTTTTCCGGTCAGCCACGGGTAAATCGGCAGAGTTTCGGCCAAATACATTTTTAATAATAAAATTGCTTTTATTCCGAAAACGGAAGATTTCAATTGAAATTAAATTCAGTAACTAAAGAATTGAAATGGAATTACAGGAGAAGGGTGGCAAGAGATTATGCTGGATTGCTCGCATCGTCCAGGAGAAGTGAAATGCGACCCAAAAAGTGACGATCACGAAAATCATGCCGGCTGTGGGTCTGACATGGCTTTTCCCTATTTCATTTCCTTTTATGTGCTCTGTTCCTTTCTCGTAAGTAGGACATATCGATGTTAAAGCAAAGCGAAGCACGTTATTCATTCGCCAATTTTTAAGGGGGTGTGAAAATGGCATCCGAGGAGTAAATCGTTCGGTACACCCAGTTTGGAGAAAAGTTTCATAAACGAGACCTCTTTAACGCCACTTTCACATCAGCTTAAACCGCGCAAATACTAGATATTAACGGGCCGACTTAATTCCAGATCATCAACCTCTTCGTCGCGGTCATCATGGACAATTTCGATTACTTGACGAGAGACTGGTCCATCCTTGGACCTCATCATCTGGACGAATTTATTCGCCTATGGTCGGAGTATGATCCGGATGCCAAAGGTCGCATCAAACATTTAGACGTTGTAACGTTACTTAGAAAGATCTCCCCGCCTTTAGGATTTGGAAAGCTCTGTCCGCACAGAGTGGCGTGCAAGGTTTGTTAAAAATTGAATGAATTGACGGATACATCACTGAGATTAAATAGAGCAACTGAAACCGGATCCTTCTTCTTGTAGAGGCTGGTTTCAATGAATATGCCTTTAAACAGCGACGGAACGGTACTTTTTAATGCCACTTTATTTGCCGTCGTGAGGACATCATTGAGAATCAAAACTGAGGGCAACATCGACGATGCCAATGCCGAACTGAGAGCTGTGATCAAGAAAATCTGGAAAAGGACAAGTCCAAAGCTTCTAGATCAAGTTGTACCGCCACCCGGAGGTTGGTAGCAAACCAAATTATGCCGACCATGAAACGTGACATCGTTTAATAATCTCGATTTTAACGCAGTCGACGACGAGGTGACGGTCGGCAAGTTCTATGCGACTTTCCTAATTCAGGACTACTTTAGGAGATTTAAAAAGCGCAAGGAGCAGGAAATGAAAGAGGGTGACAAGGACTGTCACAATACGGTAACATTGCAGGTAAAAGCAAAATAAAAATTCCAAAATCCTGGGTTCATTAACCTAATTATACGAATCTTGTACGACTTGGGTACATTAATTATTCGATCTAAACTTCTTAAGACAGAAATAATTTAAAAAATATAAATACAACGTAACGAATATATTATTTTATTCTTTAGGCTGGCCTGAGGACATTACACGAGGCTGGTCCCGAGCTTAAGAGAGCGATATCGGGCAATCTAGAGGAACTATTGGATGACAATCCTGAACCGATGCACAGGGTATGGCAAAACTCATGGATCCACGAATCTATTAATCATAAACTTTTTGCACTGAAATATATCCTCCCGGAATATTTTCCAGAGAAACCATTCGCTTTTCGGCAGCGTTTGGTCAAGTATGCGCAGGGGACACCACAATTTCCACAGAGCGAGGTCCCTCAAAGTAAACTCAACCACTTCCAAGGTATCGCTTTCAATCATTAAGAAAAAAATATTTCTTTGAATGGAATCGAAGAAACAAAACATAGTCTCGATATCGTACTTTATTATTTTAAGATATGAAGTACTCGATCAAGGCAATGCATCAGGTAGATACTCGACATTTTTCAACGAAGACTATGTTCCTTTGATTTTATGCTATGGTTTCTTTAATTCCATTTAAATAAATCATTTCCTTGAAAGAAAAAATGTTTTTCTCGATGTAATTCTTTGATTTTGTCTCGCAGGCATCGCCTACGAATTCCATAGACTTCTTGCCATACGCATCGCTACAAAGAGGCGGCGGCATCGACGGGTCGAATCAAATCACAGCGAGGTCACACCAGGTCGTACCCAACGTAGCGGGGTAATTAGAGCAGTTAAAAGACCTTCTGAAAATTAACTTTGTACCGAAGGGGATGTGAAAGTGGCATCTGAGATAACACTCTTCTCTGAACTGCGTGTACCAAATCGTATCAAACAATTTTTAAAATTTCCATGAACAAATATTTTGAAATTTCATGGTCGTCAGAACCTCTTTTACAACCTCTATATTCACGTCGTAAAATTTGAACCGATTCGGTACACCGAGTTCAAAGAAAAATTTCATAGACGAGACCTCTTTGATACCACTTTCGTATCACCTTAATTCCATACAATTCTACTCAGCGGTCTCAGTGACAGCGCGATGAACCAAATGGGAATCGATCCGAGATTGAGTGGAGGTGAGGAGAACATCCCGTTGCGACCCCTGGCCGTCTTCAGCAACGTTCCTCAATACTCAAACTACCAGGCTGCGCATAAAGTGCTCGAGTAAGTTGACAATGTACCAAGAATCGGTTGCCCACCTTTAAGAGAGAAGTGTTTCCCGTCTATATTGTCGATAAACGTGTAACCGGTGTCTAGCGAGAGTTTAGTGCATGCTCGGAATGCATTGAGATATCGTCATCGTATTTCCTCTGACTTATCCTCGGAAACGTCCTTCGGGAGCAACTCTCGCGAAGTCGAGCGAGTCGTCCGGTTCATAAATTGATCGCACTTCGCTGTGAAGTACACACTTGGGTGACAAAGTTGCAAAAGTGATCCGCACTTCACAGCCACTACCCTAGTAGCGCAAAACATTTTATTTATACTTTATGTATATATTTAACAAATATCGTTCGTTTTGTTAATATTTAGCAGAAATGTCAAATATTTGCAAAACACATACTTTAGAATATTATTTTTATCATATTTGTGTAATATTAGCTAAATATGTTTTCATCATATTTTTCTTACGGATACACGAGACGTCTTAAAAAATATTCTGTGCTACTAGGGTGTGGTCGATTTTCTATCTCGATGCCTTGAGTGTCTTATCGTTTGTTCTCAGGTTTTGCAGATATGCGATTGTCGTCTAGCTAGATGTTCGTTTCCCAGACTTCAAAGTGAAATTCCCAGGGAATTTCATACGTTTCGAAAATATCCATTTTCTGCTTTCGTTTCACGAGAAACGGTGTCCTGAACAAAATTAAGTTCCCGACTCGATATTCCCCTGATATTCTCTTTTCTTTTTCAAATGGTAAAGAACATTCGAAACGATCGAAGAAGCATCTGCCGAGTGACCGATCCCTGAAAATGCAGTTTTCGTCCGTCCTTAAGGAGATGCGAAAGTGGCATCTGGAGGGTCCATCGTTCATGAAACTTTACTCCGAACTGCGTGTACCTAATCGATTGAAACTTTGCAACGTGAATATAGAGGGTATAACTAAGGTCCTGACATTAATGAAATTTCATGAGTTTCAAGACCTTCCTTATACTCTCCACATTTATATTGTCATTTTTTAATCGATTCGGTATACCCAATTCGGAGGAAAGTTTGATGCGCAATACCACTTTGACGCGACTTTCGCATCACCTTAAATCCCCGATATCCTGTTTCCATGCGCTGTAGCTTCCAGCCGAATCCCTCCCCTAGCAAAGTTATCGTCACCGTTTTAATTTCGTCTCTCGGAGACTACCCATGAATCGTTATCATTGATTTATTTATCATTATCTTACGCTTTTCTGTTGACTGTCGTACGTTTCAGTGGACCGGGTAGCGGTAACTATCTTCATCCAAATAGCGAATATGGTAAGACCAGTTAGGGCTTGGTACTTGGTTTGTTAGTTGGCCTCACCATCCCTTTCCCTGCTTGTTGCCACTGTCGATTTATTTTGCACCAGTCACCGGCTACCGGATTTCTCTCGCTCTGCCCCGTTAAACTTGACAATCAGTGGATCACCCAAAATATAAACCGTGTTTGCGACACGCGTGTTCGTCGAGTTTTCCAGTTCAGTTTGAACCAAGCTTCTCTTAGACTCCCGAGGTGATGTAGAAGATCAGGGACCCGATTCTCGAGTTCATGCGATCAACATTCGCAGGCGAAATTAATATTTTCGTATGCGACTTTCAAATGTTGACTAATGACGCGACGTCGCAACAATGCAACATTTTTTTTTACGAATCTAGTCGTATACCGAATTTTGGCGTTAACTATTCGGTGCCGTTCGCGCAGGCTTTTAAATGTATTTGGGACGAAACTCTACCGAGTTTCTTGGTGCGAAAAAAATTCGTATGAACCCGAGAATCAGGTTCCAGGTGCGGCCTTTCAAACGGGCAAAGATGCAAAAATCCACATTTTTAGGGAACATACTTAACCCTTTTAGTGTCGGGAAATATCATCGTCTTACACGTGCTAACGACTTCGACCGGCATTAAAAGGGTTAAGGTGACGAGAAAGTGGCGTCAAAAAGATCTATGAAATTCTTCTCCAATGTTTGACAATTTTGTTTACAGATATTAAAAAAAGATGTATAAAAATTGAAATATCATGGGTGTGACTACCTTCCTTATAGCCTCCGCATACACGTTGTAAATTTTGAAACGATTCGGTACATCCAGTTCCGAGAAAAGTTTCGTGAACGATTGATGCCACTTTCACGTCCCCTTAAAACCCTTTGTGCTCTAAGCCCCTTTGGCGTATGGGCGAATTTCATCAGGGCGTGCAAGCAATATTGGGCCAAACGTCAGACGCACTTATGGGACCAAAGCGCTCAAAGGGTTAAAAGCCCCGCCAAAGCAGCACCCGATCTATTGCATCGCCCAAAGTTACGGCTTCCATTTCCACTTTCTTTTGTAGAGCTCCAGGAATGCTGCAAATATTTGCACGACTCGCGTAGATAGACCGAGACCACAAGCCGTAACTTCGGAACGCTTCCACTTGAATGGCACGCGTGTCGAGTCTGACATAACCCTGCATCCCCATGCAGCCTTAGTGTGCACGCTTTGGACGTTTCTTTATGCGCTTCTAAGAATTAGAGTATGTTACGGTGCCGTCGAACGCTCCGAGATCGACCGCGAGTGGCATTGAGAAATACGTAACGGAAAATCAGAAGCTGTCTCTATTAGATCTTTGTTCATTTAGAAAATCATGGATTCTAATGCGCGAAATCAGCAGGAAATCGCAAGCAGAAATCGTCGGAAACGATCGAAACGTTGCCACAATTTTAAGGGGATGGGAAAGTGGCATCCAAGGGATAGCCGTTCATGAAACTTTTCCCCGCACTGGGTGTACCGAATCATTTAAAACGCTACAACGCGAATTCGGAGACTATAAGGAAGTTTCCGAACCCATGACATTTTATTTTTTTCTACAACATTTTAAAAATATCTATATACGAATTTTGAAATTCCAATTTTTTGCAACGATTCGGTACCCCATTTTTGAAAATGTTCATAAACGAGACCTCTCTCCACCTTCGTATCCCCTTAAGGCCGAACGTCGCTCGTTCCCGAGTCGCATTGTCACTTATCATTTAAAATCAAAGACAATCGGTCCTCAAAGGAGGAAATCATTTTCACCGACGAATAGCCTTCCTCGCGAGTCCATATCGGAGCGTTCGAGACTCGCCATCTCGCGACTCCGTTAAACTAACGAATCTTGCTAAGGGTGTTGCGCGCGCTCGCGCGCGCGTGCGTGTGTCGCGTGTGTGTTCGAGCAGTCTTCAGGACGGAATCGAGCGGCAGTTGACGCCTCCCACCCCCCCGCCGCGAAGGAACCCTCCGTCACCCCTGCCTGCAACCACGACCACCGCCACCACAACGACCACGACCACCGCCGCGACCAGTCCCAGTCCCGCTTCCTCGAACGGGGCTCTTCGTTATTACCCCTACGCGCCACGGGGATGCTGCGTCGATTGCGCCGCTTGGACCAATCATGGTACGGGACCAACCCCTGGAAGACGAGACGTCCGACTTTGTTCCTAGCTGCGCATAGTCTCGGGGTCCAAGCTGACGCCCTTCGAAGTCCAAGCCGTTCGGTTCCTCGGTAAACTTCTCGCATTAGCACCGATTGCGCGAATAGCTTGGACTTCGACCGAGCCCTATCGGGTGCATCGGCTCACCCTAGTTATATACGTCGATGGCAGTTAATTAGCATTAGCGGTCCCTAAGAAGATTAGATAGAGCGGAAGGAACGCGATGCATTTCCGTCGTACTCCTAAATCCGGAATTTATCGAGTCCGGAACCAGGAAATTGCGTGTCTCCATCGCGGTGATAATCCTGCGCTTCTCGATTAAATTCGAATTTACTGGGTTTGGACCCGATAAATCCCGGATTTCGAGGACGGTGTAGACGTAGTCGGTGCGATATACCGTTGGAAGAACGAAACGCGACCTTTAGGTCCACGGTAGACAGTAGGGCATGGAAGGTTCTTGAATTTGGACTCGGTCGATCAGCCGTAGATGAGTGCGGCACGTCGCCCGGGAGCGGGTCCAGCAGCTCCGGACGCAGAGACCGGTGGGCACCTCGACGCCGGCGGAACGGCGCGGCCGCGGGCGCGACTGCCAGCGCCGCCGCGGGGAAACCCGCCTCGGTCGCGCCGACGGTAGCGCCGCCGGCGGTCGCGGCGGCCGAGCGAACCATCGCGAACGGCCTGAAAGTGGCGCAGACGCAGGCGATCGCAGTTGCCGCCTTCCTGGCCGACGTCGATTCCCAGCAGTGGCGGGTCTGCGAGTCCTGCTTCTCCCACAGGGCCTCCTATCACGGCCGAGGTGATTACATCGAGTCGGTATTGTCGGATCGCGCCACGATGGACACCATAACGACGGTTCGAGACGACACCGGGGTTATTTCTTTCCCACGAAGTCGAATAGGCCAACCCATGTTACGATACGATCACTTTATTTTCAACATACGCGATAAGGGAAACGCGATAATCGCGAGTCTATGTACGTACTTATGTAGGATGCGATATTTATTTCGGTGGTTACTCTTGGGACGTTTCGTTTGTCGTGCGGCTGACCCGCAACGCAGGTTTGAGTTACGCTCGTCCTTTGTTCACGATCATTTTTCGACACTTCTCTTTACCTTCCGTTTGCCCCACGAGGAACACGAGTCTCTGCCGTTGCTCGAAGCATGTGCTCCACACCGAAGCTTACAAGCTAACCCGTTCACCCAAACTAACCCGAATCACCCGCACCGTGTCCTACGAAACGATATCGTTTAACCATAGCTCGGCAAATTTCGCGTTTATCGACGATTCCATGTTTTAACAGTTTCCTGGGCGGGAGAGAGTAACGGAAGCGTCGGCGCGGAACGCCTGTCGCACAGTCTGCCGGGAAGTCCCGCTGACCGGAAGCCCAACTTCGAAGTCATCGGAAGTGCCGAGAGTCTCGTCGGAAGGGCAAGTTAACCGATCTTGGCGAGTGGTATCCGATTCGACACCTTAGACCGTTTGCACCGGCGTCGGCGTTTTTCCCGGATGCAATGTAAATAAATGGGAGCTTGGCCCCGTAATCCGGCCCGGTTGCCGCCTTAAAAAAAAAAGTCCCTTATCCGACTCGACCGATTCGAGGGGGGTTTCACTTCACCCTAAAGTCCCAAAAGCTCGACCCGCCATTTTACCTTCAACGCGAAAAACCGCCAAAACTGACGTGACAATGCTTCGCGTCGAATCGGGACCCTCCTGATTTTATCGCTGACCAAGTGCAACCATCAAAGCGACCCTAACCGGAAGAACATCCCCTGGATAGGTTCTCGTGGAGCAGGGTCTGGGCAAGTACTGCGATCCCGACTTCGTGAGGTACACGTCTCGGGAGATGCAAGAGGCCCTGGACATGACGCGAGAGGAGATGGACCGAGCGGCGCATCAGCTGTTGCTGCAGGAACGCCGAGGCCAGCCGCTAACCTACCAGCTTCAGCAAGGCATGGACCAGCAATGGAACCCGGCCTACCAGCAGAACCAGCAGCCGGTGAGTTACCACCCTGTCCAGGAGCAGCAACCACCGGGGACCGCGAGCCAGCAGTACCACCAGCAACACCTCCAGCAACCTCCGCATCAGCAGCGCTCCCAGCCGCCATCTTAGCAGCAACAAAGGCGCGCGATGCGTGTTTCGTCTACGTAGCCAATCACCGCCGGGGCCATCGAATTCCGGTGGATCCCCGGTTTCCTCCGGAACGTTCGGTCCCAGAACCCGAGGGATCCGTCCAACCCGGACTCGGCCGATCGGTTTGGACCGCTAGGGTGAAACGTTGCTGCCCCGGAGTCCACCCGGACGTTCTTTCTTCGCCCGGTTACATGAAGTAACTCGCGCTCCGGACTGGAACCGACGTCGAGATCGGTGCCCGGAGGCTGCCGGCGCATTCCAAACTATTTTCTGAAGGGACGCCGCGCGGAAATCCCTAGACGAGGCCCGACACCCGCGAGACTCGATCGGGAATGGCGGACCTGGTCACCAGGAAGCGACCGAAGGCCGAAAAGCGACTCGCAGACTCGTCCACGCGAACAACGGCAACCGGATGACGCGCCTCCATGGAATTGCGTTCGTCTTACACCGAGAAAACAATTTCATTGAACCAAATTCCATTGAATAGTACCAAACTCACATCACCTTAACGTAATATTTCCTTGGGACTATTCAAAGGAATATTTCTTTGGTTCAATGACGCTTTCTTTTCTCAGGGTAGAGGACACTAGATTTCTCCACCGAAGACCTGGGACCACACCGTTAAAAGCGTTCTCGTTCGATGCGACGATGCAATTCGATGGAATGAAATGTTTCGTACGAAGGTGCACTGAATTTTCGTCACTTGTCCTTGGAGACTCACTCAAGTATCGTGAAATTCTTAACAAAGTGTGTGGAGTTTATTGCACGTTATTGTATGATAACGACTTCCGTGTGAGCTCCGTTAGATTGAATGCAAACCTTTTTAACGGTGTAGGGACTGCGACCAGGGATCCGGGGAATTGCTTGTTTCGTTGCTGCGGACGTTGTAACGATAGACCACGAGTAAATGCGCGAGAACGTTACAAAAATTAAATTTATTGATCGTTTCTTTAACGTCGCGTTGACGATAAAATGTAAGTACAAATATTTTAGGATTTGTACGCGTCTCTTTTTCATTTTTTTCTCGGGTACCTTTGCTCGGTAGATGGGCGTCGCGGTTTGCGCAGAATGTGAAAGGTATTCGTATTCGGGGCTACAATGGGCCCTTAATGGTTTCTATCGAATCCGCTCACTATGTGCCATTTTTCAATGTTAGTCTTACATTATCACGTGTATTGTAACATACGTAACGTAACGCAACAAGAATTCATATCGGATCCCTGGTTACGAGACTCGTAACGTGCCGTTGTGGGATGAGCCGTCGTAACAGCGATTCTCCTTATCAGGAAAACGATCCAAGGAATTAATAATTATTAAATAGGACAAATTACTTCCTTCTTGATATATTTTCTAGCTGGGATATAAAAGTTCTTTAAGACCCTTGACTCAATTTCATTGAGTTTCCACGCGCAAATAGCAAAAGATATCCAAGGAAATTAATTAAAACGAGCCCGATGAGCTTGCATTAATTGGAAATAGCTTCATAGTTACAATAATAGAAGAATAAACAAATCAAAAGGAAGAATCGTTGTTAAGAGAAAATATCCCCGGGACTCGAGCGCCTTCATCGAAGAGCTTTCAAGCGCGACTCCGCCAACCGAGAGTGACGTTGCTTTTGGAAAAGTGTAGATAATTATGGATTATTGTTCTTACTCGTATTATTACTACTATTATTACTACCATTAATCGTTCGTACAGTGGATTATAAAAAGATAACAAGTGCCTAAGTACCTAATAACTTCTTTCGGACCAGAGAAGACTTTATCAACCTAGTCAGAATATAATTGCGAATTAAATGCGAGAACGAAGATGATTAGGGAGTCATTGTTGCTCGTTGAAAGGAAGATCGAGGAGACGATATTCGAACAAGGGATTCGGCGATGCGTTTGAAAGAGCAGTTTCTACTTTGTAAAAAAAATGTGGTGTTCGATTCAAGAGTCTGGACGTGTACGCACCCCGAATCGTCGATCCAACGCCTTTCAGGGCACGCATAGATCCACCCTATAAACGATACCAGTTTTTTACAATGTAGAGAGTGTTTCGATCTTACCACTGACCGTAATAGTAATCCCGCGGACACTGTTGAAAATTTCCCTCAAAATTTGCCCTCTATCGGTCGATTTCGAGCGAATCAAATAAATTGCGTACAGACGATACGAATTGCACCGAAAACGAGAGAAGAAATTTCAAGCCCCTTATTTTGGAGCTAAAACTTCCGGACAATTTTCATAAGGAATTGACTCGTGCAAAACTCGAAAAACGTGTTCTTGCAATTATTGGCAAACTCTTCAGAAATAAAGTGAAATTTATCGCGAATGCCGATGGGACTTGATTTTGCGCGGCAATTTTTGACAGTGTAAAGAATACCTAACTATGCCCTCGTAGAGGATGCGGAGTTTCGACGCGATGGCAAAGAGATGCCGGAAGCTCCGAGGGGACTCTTTTGCAAGAGAATGTACAGGTGTATTTAGAAAGAATGGACGCAGGTTAAGGAGATTACGCTAATGCAAGTATAGACCGCGTGTTCTCCACGTGTCGCTTGAGAGAACGCGAAGCGTGGCGTGTGTGCGGCGATCAATTCCGTACGGGCGTTTTCGAATGCTACCCTAGGAATACGGGGAACCGATTTTATGTAAATTACGAAGAAGCATCAGGAGAGGCAGAAATTTCGGCAGAACACATTATCGAACAATTACCGTGTCTCTTAACGACACTCAAGAAACTCGTGCGCATACCAACCGTATATTATACCATCGTGTATACCTACTTATTATACACCGAATTTTCGTATTCGTTTTTTCGAGGTCTTTCTTATAACGATGTACTCCGTAGCCGACTTTTTATACTATTGTAAGGAAGGTTTACACCGCGACTCGTAGGTTACACCCGTCGTAGCAGTTATTCGTATTTCGAGGAGAGTGGCGCCATTTTTAATCGCCACGTGACGCGAGTAAAGGGGATTTCTTAAAGAGGCCAAGACTACGGAAGTGCGCATCGCGAGATGTTCGAGGAATCGAGGATAAAATTAAGGAATCCGTGTGCACGCTATTTTTCAAGGGCTCGAACATTGACGCGTTTTGCGACGCCAAACGGTCAAAAGGTTCCGCATTTTCGGGGGACACGGAATCAGGCGAATAATCTCACGGGAGATGAGGCTCACTCTCGCAGGATATAAAATCGACCCCCAGGAAGCCGTCCCCGGGCGGAGAAATTTTTCATTTGGACTTTTTAAGTCACGACAACATCTTTCGAACGCGTTTGTTACGCCAGTTTCCTCGTGCGTTGCACAAAGTGCAGAAGAAATCGACGCACCGCCGAACAGATAGGAAACAGATAGGAAATACCCCGCGACGACGATGCGGCCTTCACACACGCCATCGCTGCACGTATCCTAAGAATCGCGGCTTCCCCTCCCGAGGGCCGTTCCGAGGGATCATCGACGCACAAAAGAACCAGACCAATGGTAGCTGCAGACCTTTCGGATTAGGCAAGGGGTCCCAACGATTCTGTACAAAATATGGCACGACTAAATAATATTAAATATTTCCTTAGGCGATCCGGAACGGCCTCTCGAGGTAGTCGCTGGCCGATTTCTCTCGAAACGATCCACTTTCCCGACTACTTTGGAATCGCCTCCCCGACCTCCGCGCCGGACAAGTTTCAAGGTAACGTCCCAAGGCTAAGGATTTCCCGAGCGGACGCGAAACCGATGGTGGAACCGCTTCGCCCTGGTATCGTTGCTTCCTCTTCCACGATCCACCGTATCGGGAATAGGTCCAGGACTTTCTATTTTCTACATCGCCACAACGCGGTGGATCATGGGACAGAAAAATACCGTAACGCGATTCCGACCTTTTCGCATCTTTGCGCGATTTCGGAAAATGTGGAAGGGTCGGATGCGTATAAAGGCGTTTTATGCGGATTCCTCGAAGCGCCAGGGATGTATTATAACTATGACGTAATATAAGGAGACATAACGCCTAAGATCGGTTCTACAGAAAGTAATCCCACAATCGGGACCTAACAATAATCTGCACACGATATACAGAATGTCATGTTCTTAACGCGATAAAGACTAGCAGACGATAATTTGTAGTTGCAAAATTTCATCGAGGAGGTGCTCTCGATACTAAATCAAAAAAAATCTGAAGATCTTGGACCCTTAAAGAGGGAACGATTTCAATACACGGCATTGTATCTCCTTATACTACTTAGTGACTAGCACTTTTCGATTTCGTGCGTCAAATTACATGTATTTCTTATGTTTACGGAAAATCGGCAGTTCCTCCGCCTGCTTCGCGTCGCTCCACTTTTTGCACTCTTGCATCTCCTCTATGGCGATACCAAACTTAAACGCCGATTGAACAATTTTCCCGAAGGGAAGCAGTCGCCGATCGTTTAATGATCCTCGATCGCCAATTCCAGGGCGATTTCGAAAAGCTTGGAATAAAGTAGAGGAACTTTAACGCCGCAACTTGCAATCGAGTCGCGAAGGTGGAGAGGGATGAAAGAGAGTCGTCGCACCCAGCCTGTTAAATTCGTCTGATATAATCGCCCTACGATTTTCTTCTAAGACCGTAAAGTTACCTATAAAACGTAATACTTTGCGTAGAGCACACAATCGAGAAGTCGGGCATTCGCAACGTCTCGCGAGGGGACGCTCTTCTACTTCCGCGAGAACCAATATGGCGTCTTTTCTTGCCGCTCTTTTCAGAGTATTTAGTGAATAAGTAAGAGAAACGAATACCGAGAAGCGTATAAACTACCGGGTACCATTAAGTAGAACCTTAGTGCGCGTTAATTCTAAACTACGACGATCTGCGCTTTACTTATCGTCACTTTATTTATCGTATTGCGTGAAGTTTCTTCACCGGAAGGCATTTCAGGAGCCTGACTGATTAAACCTGGTTTATACCTCCTAACTCGAAGTTAACCGTAACTTAATTATCCATCGTAAGGAATTGATTGAGAGCGTTTATGATAAGAATTGGGGTTAAGATAATGTGAAACGGACTGAGGAATTTAATCGATGTCGATAATATAAAATCGATCTAAACCTTTTTCTGCGGTAACGCCAATTTGGATACTCAAGTAGTAACATAATCTGACGCGTTATCGACATTTATGTTTACGTTGAAGTCCGTTATACTCTGCAATTATAAAAAGATTCAAGTAAAACTAAAGAAATCCCTCGGATTTATGACTTTTGATACTCTAACCGACCAATGGCGCCATCTGCTACGTTCAGCTGCAACTAAATGTTCACTCTAAGAGCACATGTAACCCACAATAAACCAGAATTCTCTCACAATCGTTCATGAAAGTATTTTCCATATTTTCCCATCTGACTCTGTAATATTTGATTTTCATAGTATCTTAAATTGTTCGAGCTAGGTCCTGAAAGTTTTCATTTACGATTTTAAGCCTTCAAAAAGCGAAAAACAGCAAAAATACGGGATCTAGTCAATGATGAATGCAATAATTTTTATATTAAGTCACGGTTGAATTAACATTATTGTTAATGTTGAATTAATTGTAAAAATTGAAGCGGATCGGTACGTCAAACTAGGAAAATACTTTCATGGACGATTTGACCTCTCGTACAGCAGTTTCACGTCACCTAAATATAAGAGAAAAAATGCTCCCTATGGATTTCTTACGGTGAACCATTAAGATAGGATTGAGTTAACGTTAGGAAGCATAAACTAGGTTTGAATCAAACGACCCGAGCTGCTCCCGACAAAGACTGAGAATTTTCACCCGACAAAGTCTCGGATGGCGTTTCGACCGCTCAGCAATTGCGCCCCAGGATTTGGTAATCCCTCGAGGTTAATTTGTTGGCTGTTGCCAGCCTTAATAGAGCACTTAAGTCGTCCCTTCCTCGGAGGATGCGAACGCCCCGCGACCAATAATCGTAATCGTTTTGTATAACGACGACTCCTCCTGCGCCCGGCCATGACGAAACCGCGCGGAGTCGTGTACCATGGACGATGTAAACATATTTTCATATATGAGCCGTTGTTACTTGGTTAAGTATTACTACCGAGATCCAGACCACATTTTCAGGTAGCTTGTAAATAATTGACTACCGGTGTAAAATGATTTCTAGGGGATCTGCCCGATCGATTAGGGTCGCGTCAGAGACGAGCGAGAGCGTTAGCCGAGGAAAGTCATTTTTGTCGCACAGGACACAACGGCAAAGAGGAAAGTCTAGCGCAGGTAGAGTTCGAAAATCCTCGGTAACATAAAATTAAAGAAGGTAACCGCGAAACATACCGTAAGTTACCAAGAATATCGAGAACCTATGAGAACGTTAATTTTGTTATTTATATCTTACGTTTCTTCGTTTAAATAACGTTTCTTTTCGATGCACTTCTAAGTTCAAGCTAAGAGTAATAAATACTATTAGAAAATATTGATTATAAGGTCTTCGTTCCTTCCAGCTAAACATATTCACGTATGTACAACTTCACGTGAAATTTCATGCGATTTGTTTCAAAACGAGCCGATATTTCGTTCTTCTACGAAGTCGCTCTGTCATAAATATTTAAATTCTCATAATTTCTCGATAAAAAAAAGCTTCGGGGAAATTGCCGATAAGTTGCCGGGAATTTCTCATCGTTCCCGACGTAACTTACCGCGTTTAGAACTCTAAGCGCAGGGCGAAGGGGAAAATATAAGGAACAGGAAAGTAACAAGTTTTCCGACTATTCGTAAGTGACCTTCCGAAAAAACCGACGGAACGCTGTGTTAAGTCGAGACGTACGCAACGATACGTCACGGGGTAGAATTAACGTTCTTCACGGCTTATTCCTTATATTTTAAGTTTCGCGCTAGACTGAAAGCGAGAGGGCGAGCAGCAAAGAGACCGAGTTTGATTCGAATTCTTTGGTCTTATCGATTTAGCCTCTGGGCCTGCAATACCGAGGCGGCGGCGAAGTGACCACGCTGCCGCTCCGTTAGTTCATTGGACCGTCCACGGATGGCAGCACGATCGTTAGAGAATCGCACTCACGCGCACGCGCACCCTCTGAACTCGTACTGCCGTTCCTACATTGTTCCGTTGCACACACAATTTGAACTAGAAAACAGGAGTGGTCTCGTGAAACCTATGAAAAAATGATGAGAAACGTCTCCCGGGAAAAAAGCTCCACTAAAAATGCGCCGAAGATTCGAGCTAATCCATATTGACTATGTCTCATTCGCCCCCCTAAATTCGGGATTTATCGTATCCTACCCCAGTAAATCCGATTTTAAATATCGACCGAGACGCTCAGGATCGAATTTACGCATTTATTAAGATGATACGGAAAGGGAATTCTATATATACAAAATGTCAAAATATTTATAAAACTTTTTTCCAAGCTGAAACTTCAGCACGTGATTATGGAGGCTTTAAGGATGAACGTGGTGCTCGTAAAATTCAATTTCTTATAAAAAAAATTGTTTACCTATCCCAGACTAAAACCGAGATTGTATATATTTTTTTTTATGAAATTTCACGAGCACCACATTCGTTCTTAGGGCTTCCATAATCACGTGCTGAAATTTTAAATGATTCGGTGCAAACAGTTCGGTGTTTTATAAATATTTGCCCGATTTCTTGTATAGAATGACCCTTTCGCATAACTTTATTGCGACGGAGACGATTTACTGGGTCCGAGCTCAATAAATCCCGAATTTAGGAGGACGATGGAGAAGTAGTCATCGAAACCACTAAACGCACGTTTCTTAGATTCGCAATTGGAATACATCAGCCCTCTCCTGTTTTCATTCCGTTCGAATGACTGGAATACCTGCGTTATAGTTTAATTTTCCGCCACGCGTTCCTCGCTAATCAAGGACGAGTTTCGAGCTCCCTTTTCCCTTAAGTTTAATCCGAGACAAACTGGCGCTCTCGATCTGTCGATTAGGCCAACGAGGGAGCGCGCACAAAACGTTCCGTTTCATTTACAAGACACCTCGATGCTTCTGCGCCAACGTGCACGCAATTCGGAATTAAGCGACTGAGAGGCAAGGAAGGCAGGACGGAGAAAAGCGGGCGGTACAGCATTTTGCCCAATAGAGGAGAAACTAACGCAAAAATTGTTGTTGTTGATGTTGTTGTCAAAAATGTGTCAAATTAAACTATAAGAATTTGAAGTATCTCACAATGGATCGCATAAGAGTTATTGCCCAAACCCCTCTGCACGTGTTCCGCGACCTGTCGATATCAAGGCTACACAAAACCATATTTAAACCGAGCATTTTGAATACCTTAAGGCGAAGTGAAACCCGCCGAAGGTCTTAATCGTTTTCGGTAAAGGCAAATTCTTCCAACCTATGTACCATCTTAAACACCACGAGAAAGGAAGAACTTGAAAGCGAAAGCGAAAGACGTCGCAAAAAAATAAATTGATGAAATTAACCGTGGTTAACGAACACGATAGTACCCAAGAATTAGAAGCATCACCGTCACAATTTATTTACTTGCATTGTACTATAATTCTTGTATAATACATTACTTACATGGCTTGCGAGTCAACCATCGGAGCACGGTCAGGAAATTATATCGTAAGGCTTCTTCCAATTCTTTGCGTTCTTCGGGAAACTGCACGAGCATTGCCAAAAGTGTGATGTATAAAGATGGACAATGAGGACGTTCTTTTAATACTTTGGCCGTGCTGGAGTGCACGAAAGTGCACAGGCATATACACTAATGGACTTTCATCGTCCCATCTAAAGTTCGTTCAAGGAAAATCCTTAAATACACCTGCAGGAACGTACACAGCTTCGAACAAGCATATCGCTTCTTATTTTATGTTTTAAGGTTATCGCATCACGCACTCGATACATGCAGGTGGATCCACTTTCAATCGCTACCACCAGTGGAAGCTTTTCAACGCCCCAATAAATTATCGGTGCACAATGCTTGAGCGATTACGCTAAATTCGAGTACTTTAATTATTTGCGAGATATCGATCTCTCCACAGCAATTTGCAACGTAACCTTTCCGGTCGCTTCTTCTTTAGTACTAGTCCTGACATCATAGTACTTATTGAAATTCCCTTCCACGGCAACTTTAGATGGGTATCCGGAATTAGTTTCTTTTCCTACGTGTACAAACATTTGCACACGCTTGATTATTGAGAAACATGTCAAACGCGTACATGTATCAGCTGTTCAGTTCGTACTCGGATAAAACTCAACAAACGATATCAAGATCAAGAATTCCAACCTAGGCCAAAATTCGTACACTTTGCCCACGTTTAGTATCGCGACTCAATAAGTTACCAGAAAAATTGAAACTTAAACCTGAGTCGGTATTATTTCATCACTTGAGCTGCTTTCTTCGCCTTGACGAGTTCGACCAATTCCTGCGAAGAAACGTGCGTCTTTGAAATTGCAGGGAAAACGAGCCTTTCCCATGTCATGGAAACAGCTCCAGAATTTGGCAAAGTATGTAAACGAAAAGACGATCCCTTACCTTATACCTTCTCATGCATTCCTTTTTTGTTCTGGTCGGAATGCAACTGGCTATTTGGTCCCACCGATCTGGAAGAGTGGTGGGATAAGTCTTAAGTGCTTGTTCAAGGAGTTTTTGTTCCGCCGGCGTCCACGGCTCTTTCTTAACCTCCTTCGCATCACTGGCAGTACCGTTCGACAATGGATGATCAAGGCGTTCGGTGAAAGCGGGCATTCTTTCTTCGACAGGTTCCTTTGACTTTTTCTCGGCAATAAAGTTATCAAAGGCCTTCTTATTAGCTTGCTCCTTCATGCTAGATTTACTGAAGTCGGTTGACTGCAGATCTTTAGCTTTAGCCAAAACCTCCTTCGCTTCGCGAACTACACCGCTGGAAGAGTTGCCATGTTGATTGATAAAATTAGCCACCACTTCCCAACGTTGATTAGTTCCAGCAGGGAATAGATTAACGGCCTTAATTAACAATTGCAAATCACTCTCCGTCCACGGAGCAGAAGCCTTAACCTGTTTGTCCGATGTGTTGCGAGATTCGTTGTTCGTTGTAGCAACTTTGCGCTCCTCGGCCATCTTTCTTTCGGTCTCTGCTATAATATCTAGGAATGCTTGCCTACCTTCCGACTGCAATCTACGCATAGTATCCTCTAGCTGAGTCGACTTGAATAACTCGCAGATCTTTTCCACGCTCTCCATGTGTCTAATGTTTTCCGATGGACTTTCGGCGTAGTAATTATTAGTCTTGCACAATTCCCTGAGTGCCTTTCTCTCCTTACGTAAGGCTTTCTTTTGTGCTTCTCTCTCCTGTTTAAGGGCATCCATTCTTGCTTTCTCCTCCAGATCGCGCTTCTCCTTGTCTAGCCGTTCCTTTTCGGCCACTTCTCGAGCTAGACGCTCTTCCTCTTGTTGTCGAGCCTTGGCAGCTTCTTGCTTGGCTCGTTTAACAGCAGTCTTCTTGTCTTTATCATCTTGCTGAAACTTTTTTATTCGAGGATCCAGATTATACGCCATGTCGACTAGTGTCCGGATTCGAGTCATTTCCTCCTTCTTTCGTTTAGCTCGTGCAGCTTTATTCTTCTTCTCGATCCACTTACGCGTGTCACGGCTGAAAACATTTATTTGTGCTTGTTTTATCATTAAATCATCATTAAATTTAAATTCTATATGCAGCTTAAGTTAATCCAGTTCCAAGTATGTACGTCTACTCACTCTTGCCCGCTTTCCTTGTCCTCTTCGTCGATATACGAATACTCTCGCCATGAGTCAAAATCATACCAGAATGAATAAAATTTTTCAACTTTATCTCTAGGAGTGCCAGGTCCACCTAGTTGGGGTACTGGTGTTTTTTCCGACCATCGTGAATTCTCTTCGAACGCTCGGCCCATTACTTCATAGAAGTTACTCTTAGCATCTTTCTCATCGGGAAGATCATCATTGAAATAGGGATCGACGCTATCGTAGCTTCGTCTTTTTACAGGATTTCCAAGGGTTTCCCATGCCCTTGTAATGCACGTGAAATAGTCATCATCTTGCCTCACTTCTTCTCCTAGTGCCTTACGCTTATCCGGGTGGTGTTTTAGAATCTTCTGCTTGTCTTATATCGTCATGCAATTTAAAGTATAAAATTATACACTTTTAGAAATGATTCTCAGAAATAGTATACATCTATGGCAGAATTCCTATGAACTAAACGTAGTTCTTTTTCGTTAATGAGCTTGGATGTTTATTACTTGAATAAAAACTTTTAAAGTTAAGATATTACTATGACACTGTATTAATATGACCAATCAAACTCAGTCATTTAATGTAATTCAACAAATAATAACCGTGCAACACTATGGTTTATGTCAAAAGAACTGTTCTAATTTATGGATTTTATGATAAAATCGTAGCAATATGAATTCAACTCATTAAATAAAAAGCTACATACAAGCTCTCTTGATATCATCCTTGGTAGCCTTGTTCCTTAACTTCTTCAAACCCAAAACTGCGTAATGATCCTGATGTTTCCATTCCCTGGGATCTAAGGATCTTAAGTATTCTAAATCATCTTGAACCTGATCGTCGAGCTCGTCGTCATTGGATTCCACACTATGGCAGTGCAATTGGCTACGGTAGAACAGTGGTCTATGATAGCAATGTGCGACTACATTCAAAGCCGTAGGGCGTATCGTATCCACGATATCTTCGGACGATGCTGTAAAATAATCGATAAATAGTACAAGAATAAACAACGTACATATACTCTAATACATTTCATTAACGAAGTATTTCATGCTATTTTTCATGTACTTTAATAAAATACAAGTGACATAAACTGTAACACGACATGCTACCTCAAAATATATGATATCCTATAAATATAAGCGACAGGATATACTAAAACGAGACGAACGACACAATCGGAATGCAGCTCTACCGAAAAACTTAATTTTAACAGCTTCAGTCAAATTTCTGCTCGACGCTTCTTCAAAGAGAACCGAACTTAACCTCTCATTACCGGAATAAAACTGACAACTAGAATTTATAAAGAACTTACAGGACAACGATTCGGAAATTGCATTGGTTTTAGCAGTGCCCTCTTCTGACATGTTTTCCTTTCAATAAACGGATTGCACCACGAGAAGATAAACTAATAAACTTACAAGTATGAAACATTAATCACGAGCAACCACGGGCATGGCGCTATGAAACCCCGTGAAACGCTACGGCATTGTATGTATGGCCGATCTAGACGTCTTTAGAATGTCCACTACTTGATTGTGGAATAAAGTATTCCAAATAATTCCCTCCAGCTAGCGCTGTTCTACCAAAAACCGAATTCCCTATGAACGTAGAATGATTACATTTCCATTATACTCAAAATCCGGGATTTATCGAGTCCAAACCCACTAAATCCGAATTTAAGTGTGGACAGAGATGAGCAGACCTGCTCTAAAGCCGCGGTGTAAACTAAGCCGTAGTTGGCATATATCATATAAACGGCTTAGTCTTTTTAATTTACGATTCATTCAGAGAGTGCGACAGAGACAGAGTGGTCTCCTGACGAATGGAGTGGGAGAACCACACCAGGTAACCTGTTGCTCGTAACTAAAATTGTAATCCTTAATTTTCTTCGCATTGTTTTCCTGCGTTCGGGCTCTGAACGCATCTTCTCATCACGTATCGATATTCAACTCAGCTTCCGCGAAATTATCGAAGGCTATCGACCGAGATCGGTATATGCACTTGGGATCGGGTTCATGGCATATTTCCTCCATGATCACATTTCGCTTCCAGGGAAAGAGATAAGAGGCGTTTACGGGTTCATTACCGCAGGTATCGAAGACGCCTTCCAATTATTCGATAAAACTACCGAAAAATTTAAGCAATACAGCGGTGCTACACACATATCACGTATGTACGTACACGCGTACCTGCATACTTTGCAAATCACGTAAAACGGTTATTTCGAAGCGTCTATGAACTCTGATGACAGATGACGCGTGCGTGGGCGTCGATTCGGAGTTACAATTTCGCCGACTTTTTCCGCCAAGAAAAAATATGTACTTCCTTAAATTTACTTCAAGTCACTGAAGTCAATTAATCTAGTGTTAAAGTATATTCCATAAGACGATGCAAATTACATTGACAACGAATGTGAGTTCTGAAAAGATATAACGAGTCCTTGACCTCATAGAGGATCGTATTGCCTAATTTTCCTTGAAATTAGTTTTGTATGTCGCTAAACATTGGGTGTTACTTTTATAGTGTTATTTAAACCTTGTTAGTTCCAGTTATAACTTGTAAAATTGTAGACACATTCTAAATTTAGAAAAGAGGTCATGCGCTTTAAGCATCCCCGAGCTTGCAAAATCTGGAAAACGTAGAGTTTAGTAGAAATGAACCGCGTTAAAAAGCTAAAATTTACTCGTTTGAAAATTTTAATACAATCTAATTTTTAATTTACAGGTTTTCATATTAACTGAGCTTACTCCTAGAGTGGAACGATTGGGGATGTTTTCTATAAGATTCAACCCAGTACCTTGAATATGTAGTATTAAAGAATAAATCGGCATATTGTCGATTCGATCGTTAATTTTAATTTGTGGCATAGATCCAACACTTGGTCCAAGTTGGGAACATGGGTGAGTCCAGTGACGATATTATATAACAGTTCTTGTGGTTGTAGGACAAAATCCATACTAATTTCATTTGAAAATCCTATAAACTGCATTACATGGATTTCTTTCCTAAAAATTGGTATATAGTGATGGCAGGAACGGAGCATGTATCCGGTCAAGTCGTGGAAGAAAATTCATCTTCCCGACTAGAATGGCTGCAGCAACGTCGGGAAATGCTTCAGGAGAAACTACTCCAAAAGAATAATGAACTGAAAAATCTTTGCATCGAAGAGGCGGAAATAACAGGAATTTTGCCACCAGAGATACCTCTGGAACCTGGAGAAAGTCCACCTACTTTCAGAAGAAAAGTAGGCACATCCTTTTCGTATCCTCAAAATCTAATCAACAAGCTTAAGAGTAGCGAAGTCGTAAGTTTCCTGTTTAAATTGCATAACCTTCTTGCATAGAAAAACTCATCGTCATAACATTATCATTCCTTTTTAAAGGAGGAATCAACATTGGAGTTGGAACGCCAAGTACAAGTTGGTATAGCCGAAGCAGCCTTAGGCATTATCAATGACTCCGCAGAAAGTAAAGCGGTGCGGCGTAAGCACAGATTGGTATATCAGCAGAGTCAGCGAAGACTTCAGGAGCTGGATGCGCGGCTGAATTTCATTAGACAGAGTCACGGTAAAGCGCATCGACAGTCTCAGTTGTCGAATGTATCGTACTGCCCTCAGCCACATCTGCAGACTACCATGAAACACAGAACGAAGAAACCTCGACCACCGTTAGACAGATCAGGTAATGCTCATTAAGCATTATCTATCCGACGTAATATAAACCATTATCTATCCGAAATAATATTTCCAACAGTATGTATTAGAACGAAGAATAGTTACTTCATAAATCCCACTTTTTACGCTACCCAAACATATCGCGGAAGCAAAAATACATAATCCTTGTTTAAGTTTTAGGAAGCGAAGAAAATGCAAGGACAACCGGTAGGGGAATCCTCGTGGAAGGTGGCGTAAGCTTGAGTCCTCTCTCGGGTGAACAAAACTACAACACGTATCCAGGATACATGATGCACGACCCTGACCAAAGCCACGCTTGTCCAGTATTAAGTCCCGTTAATCAAAACCACAGTGCTTACCCAGTGTCAAGTCCGATGGACCACCGCCAGAGTCAGAAACTTCTGGGGCATGACTTAAATGACAACCATAACGTCTACATTCTCCCAGAGAATTGTCGCTCCCGTACTTACTCCCACGGCAGTGGGAGCAATCGGCCTCCTCACCCAGATAATCATTACCTAGACACCGACAGGAACTACCGGGCCGCATTAAATGCATGTACCGAGCAAGAACGAGTATCCTCTCATTACCGACACTCTCATCGCCAGCAATTGCTGGAACCACCTCGCAACAGTCACCAGCAATGCCAAGAGTACAAACATATGGACCCGGAGGTACAGCGTCGACCGGTACACCATCAACAGCATCCGCACTACGAAGCAGAATACCGGGACCCTCGTTATACGCATCCACCAGGATACCAAGTGCCCATGAACGCGCGATCCTCGCATCGACAGCCATCGTTGCAGCGAGATCGGGAAGCTGCAGCCATCAGATCCTGCAGAAATGCCGTCAATACAACGGACGAGTCTCTACTACCGCCAGGGTACTGGATGCGCTGCGGGGAAGAGATCGTCTGGTGTCCGGAAGATCCGGCAGTTATCGACAGGTTCGGCAGTCTGGACCGGAGGAAGCAAAGTGGGAGCGGATCGCTGCTGCAGCAGCAGCGTCAGAAACCAAGACAACACCATAGCACCGTCAGCACCGGGTTCGTGGATGCCCAGACTCACCATAACGTGAACGCGAAGAGCCCTCCGGCTCATCCTCGCCAGCATCCATTCGTTAGCCCGAATCAAATGGGCCAAGGAGAGCAAGTAGCGACACCGGGAAAGACCTTGCTGCGTACTCAGTCTCTAGGGAACGTCGAGACCTGGAACATGCATTCAGGATACGCATACGAATCGATCGGTGGCAAGGATACGATCGACAATGCGAATCGCAAGGGAAAAGAGCGACAAGGCGAGAAGGAGAGGGGTTGGTTCGAGACGTCCCTTGATTCTTCGAGCATCGGGTCCAATACCATGTCCTCGTCTCCGTCGATGTCGGCACACGATGCCGGGTCTCTCGTCAGTCCGGAGTCATATTCCTCCAGGTCGAACCTGAGCTCCGGTCCCTGCTCCATGCCGCGACATCCGCACAGGATGGGCAGCGCATCTCCGGACTTCCCTCTCGGTGGAGTCCCCAATGTCAGGGAACCGGATCGAGGACAGTCCGTCAATAGACAGTCCAGCAGAGGTAGAAGTCATCCCAGAGCTCCTCGAGTCCTGGAGATCCCGGCAGAGTCGAAACCCGTCGATATCGGGGACTCGCCTCACGACATCTCGAAGAACTGCACGATCGTCCAGCCCGGAAAATACCAACCCTACCGCGAAGTGACCAAGCCCTTCGAAATGTCGGACTTCTACAAGTATTCAACCAAGTATCGCAAAAAGAATTCGGAGAACGCACAGGGACAGAACTCGGCTACGCCGCATGGAAAGCCCGCGACGACCTCGACCTCCTCGTCGCCGCAGACTCCGCCTCCGTTGACGGTTTCTGCGACGATCAAGGCTACGCAGGGGGATGCTAGAGTCGAAACGATGGTGGAGATCAGTCGCGAGATTCTCGGCTTGGGGCTGATGGACGGTTCCGAAGAAAATAGAACCAATGTCCTCGCTAGCCCCGTACAAAAGAGAATCTATCAGCCGGTTCAACGTATGACTTGTCAACCGTACGGAGCCCTGAGGTAATTCGCGAACGAATTGTATCTATAAACGAGTCCCTGCATAGCGAGACGTAAGTAACAAGTAGAACCCGAGTGCTGGTTAGCTTCTGGTTGTAGAAAAAAATTTGGATCAAGGAACCAGGGTGTGCGTACCAATTGACTGGTGCTAAGTACTATAATATAAATGGGCAACGAAATGCAAATGGCTGTATGGTGTCCGAATACAACACTTTATGGATGGTATTCGTGATAAGATAACGAAGATATTCATGGCGAAGTACACAAGGTGACTGCCACAGCAGGTTGCAACTAATCACTGAAACCAGTGCTGACTAATCTTGCTTGGAAGAGATTCCACTGGCTAGTTAAGGGAATTGTTAGCTTTGAAGAACGTAACCGAAAGCAGAGAAGTGCTTTCGAAGGTTCTTGCATAATGGATTATGAATAATTCTCGCTCGTCCGTCTCAGAAATTTTGTAAGATCTGGACAGACCGGCTCGCGAGCTACCACGAGTTGTCCTTTGAACTCGAACAACCGAGTGGCCTAGATAATTTATTATCGGCAATACCAGTGGGGAAGATAACACGCCAGGAGACCTCGGTCAAACGATACAGAAGTTTTACGACGCTCGAGTTATTTAAAGCTCGCTGGGAACAAGATCGATCGTCAAATAAGAACACGTGGACTTCCCCGTGGACTCGCTTAATGCGTCAAAATATAATAGGACCGGCTTCGTCATTTTCTAGCAATAGTACCCGCAAAGGGTCGACCCTAAGATATTCCAGAAACCGTTTTGCCTTTAGTTTAATCGAGCTTTCCTAAACCAAGGCTGAAAACTTTGGGTACTAGTTAAGATCGTAATTTATATCGGTATATTTTTCACCGGGCATAAAGAAATTGACTAAGACCGTTTACACACGTACGGTGTGGGGGCAAACAGCCTAACGGTGAATCGTGGAATACATAAGTCGAAGCGGATCGATCCCCGAGAGATGAATTTTTTCTTCGTCAAAATTATACGAAAGATCCGAGGCTCCAAGAATTTTGATCAAATGGATTTCGAATCGCGTTAACTCAAGATCGCCGCCCTACGTCCTCGCGTGATCTCCGTCGATGAACAACGATATTAGTTTTAGGTCTTTCTTGCTTCCGCCTAATTCGATACCCGAAGACTGTCCAAGTGCCAGAAGAGATTTCACTGCCGCTCGAGTGCCAGTTTTAAGGAGACTCGCCGATCATATTTTACAAACCTAAGTCTTCTGCATACGCGTGTACGTATGCAACCAAGTAAACCGAATCGCGCAAACTAGTTACCACGCGTAGGGTTTTTGACTACATTTTGTATTCATGTTTAGTACATAAGGCTCGCTTATGTACAAATCCCGTGTCAGGATGAAAGTGTACATCTCGGTGCTGTCGGGAGAATTCGGAGACAGCTTTCCCTCCCGAGTTTATGGCCGAAATAAATTTGGGACCTCGTCGCCAATGCGTACGGGTTAAAGCTGCAATTTTGCCTATACTTTTAACTTTCCACCCCCTCGGTTGCCGGTAGTCGGGAAAATGTAGGAATATATTTAGCATTTGTACATACTTGCCCCATACGGATTACAGCATCTACCGGCACACAAGAACCAGCATCTGGACTCGAAGGGTACGTCTTTAAGACGATACAAAAGGCGCTGAGAAATTAAATTGACGTTAAGAAATTAAAATTCATCTATACCCTTTTTGGTGGTACCATTGTGAATACTCAAATGGTAACATAAATTGATAAGCCACGTTACTGGCATTTGCATTTATGATAAGAATTATTCGAAATGAAGCGTTCCTTATGTCACTTCGATGGAATAATTATAAGGAGATCGAAGTAAAATCGTCGAAATCCCGTGGATTCATGAGTTTTGATATTATAATGGACTAATGGTGCCATCTAGACCTGTCAATAGATTAGGTTGATGCATAAGTAATGGCATTCTTTTTACACGTTACGTTGCGTGTTAAAAACACCACTACTTATGCATCAACCCAATATATATAGGCTGACCTTTTCATATCACCTTAAAGACTCAAAACCTCGACGGCCCGTCAGCTGGAGCCGGATGCGCATCCTCGCTCTTCGCCATGGTACAACTATTGAGAATCGATTTAAATCAACGTTTATTCTTCCAGCTGATTTAAATCAACGTTTATTCTTCCAGCTGATTTAAACCACACATACCCTTCTCAGTGCAGTCCTACATCTTGTCTTTCAATCACTCTAGAGTGTAAATACTTCTGTAGTATAGGAATTGCCGTTTCGAGCACGATACCAAAAGCGCTTCTTCCGCGCGTTCTCTCTAACCACGGGAGGACAAGCACATACGCGATTTACGTGCGCAATTACGGATCACCAGAGATGACACAAGAGGACTTACTCGAGCGATACGAAACAGCCATTTCGCATCCAGCCGAGGTGGCGTTTTTACGTCGGAGCACGATGCGACTCGAGTTACTCGGTAGAGCAAGTACCCTGAGAAAAAAAAATACGTCTAATCGAAGAAATATTTCTTTGAACAGTCCCGATGAAATGTTCGGTTAAATCAAAGAATAATTATTTGTCTCAAATAAATTGTCATAATTCCGAAGGAATATTGCATCCAATTTATTCGAATTTATTTCAGTCAAGTAATTATTCTTCGAATTAATCAAATATATTCTTTGGTACTATTCGAAGAAATATTTCTTTGGTTCGATGACATTTTTTTTTATCAGTGACATACATACACATTACGAAAAAAAGATAAGTTGACTGAAAGAAATATATATCGTTGTCTGAATCATATATAATTGCAAGACACCATTGTTTCGTTGAGAAGAAAAATTATATCGAGGATTTATATGAATTTTCTTCACTCTCCCTGATATTTCTTTGGACGTACTTGATCGCATTGTTGTAGCAATGCATATTTCTTCGAGTCAACCAACTGTTTTTCCTCAGTGCACGGTACTTAGAAACGAGTATATACGCAAGAAAAAAACCCTCGTACAAACAAGATGAGTCAACGGTTCTAAATCGAACGATCTCTCAGTTTCTACCGCAATCTCTTTCGTTACCTTGATTTTTTTTCCCACGGATAATGAAAACGTACAACCGCGAGTAATCTCTATTCCGCAATTACTGGAGCTACGTAACGCGACACCTCGGCATTGCGCAACAATCTACTTTTTTTTTTTAACTCTTTCGTACGACTCGATGATCCCATTCTCATCTTTTCACTGATGTCTCGTACGTGTTGCCTCGTATACGGATATACATACATACATACATACATACATACATGTTATATGCATGTCACCTACGTACCTGTACGGACTTATTAACAGCTACTTTATTATTTGTCTAGTCTTCCAATAACAAAAATATATTATCGTAAGAAATGAAATCGAATCCAATCATGTGGAACTTCGCTAACGTACAAATTAACGAATAATGGGCTATCAACGTACATAGATACGAATGCGGCGAACAACGCGATAACACTCGTTCGTTCAACCCTTTCCCAGTTTCGAGGCATGAATACAACATTTATGGGCAGTGGTTGGGATTTCGAATCTGTCGTCTTTCGCACTCGCCCATTACTTTGACTACTTTCCTTAGAAAGAGGATCAGTGACGCGACGAATCGAATACTTTGTAGACTCGAATTACGCGAATTCGAAAACGCTGCCAATTCGAGTTTGAACTAGATTCGACAACTCGACTTTGGATTGGATTCGACAACTCGAAGGAGAAACACGTCGAATTTGTGCAGAGTTGATGAGTAAAACGACTCGAATAACGACTATGATAAACGAAAACGCGCGTTGATCTCGTACGAGCAAGTAAAGTGTTAAAAATTGTTCGTCTCGAGCATTTTCAAATACTACTAAAATTTCAAAATATTTTCCACGGTGTATTAAAATGGCAGATCCAAGCCCGCTATTTTGGAGCGTTTTGAAACTTCTATCTTAGATTCTCCGTAGAACGTCAAATAAAACAGCTCCATGAACGAATATCCCCGATATCTTTTAATTCTTGTTTAAATTCACTTTGATTAAAGGGCTAGCCTATTGTAACGGACCAAAAAATAAATATCCTTTTGTCGAAGATTTCCTTTAAAATAAAAATACGATTACTTCGTCGTTTCATACTTACACCGTTTTGAGAAACGTCATTTCAAGAAAATCGTATTTTTCAAATCGATAACACAATTATTCCATTTTATTCCGATCTTTTGTCTTACTGTTACTTCGCTCTGCTTCATAAATCAGACCTTCCATTTCGGCTGCAGTATTTTCTACATTTTCCTCTATTTTACAGTAGGCTAACCCCCTAAACACACAACTTATTGACCCCATCATCGAGTCGAAGCAAACGACTCGTCGTTTCCTTAAAAGAGATTCTTAAAAACAGGGTGTTCTCAACACGCTCCTGTATTTAAAATCTAACACATATATTTTGAAACGCGAGTACACGTTTTCTTGACGTGCGAATTCTACACATGAAACCACGAAGTAGTATAAGAAGACATAACGCTAATGGTCGGCTCCACAGAAAATAACTCGTTAATAGGAACCCTGGATTTCAGATTTTCGCTGCGAGCGCTACTTACGAAAAATGAGGAAACTCCAATTCTACACGATCAAAACACTTCCTACCGATGTAATTTACCTAAACCGTTTTTAATTTTACAAGGTACGCAAAGCGAAACGATAATTCGCGTATAACATACAGAACGTGATTTTTTTAACGCGTTAAAGCCCAACGGACGATAATGTTTAATTGCAAAATTTGATTAAGGCGGTCTCGGCAGTAGATCGGAAAAAATCTGAAGATCTTGCACCCCTAAAATGGGAACGATCTCAATACATTGCGTTGTATCTGCTTATACTACTTCGTGCATGAAACGTACGAGTGCACCCATGGCCAAGAAAGGGTTGAGGACGACGGTGACACGGCGGTGAACGGTCGATTCGTCCTATCCGACACGCGGTGCCGATCCGACAAAAATTGCAATATACGTTTCAACCAGGCTAAACATCGCAGATAGTGACTAGGTCAGTGTTTCGTGCCTCTGTATATATATTTGGCGCGAAACTCTACCGAGTTCCTTATTGACACCATTTACTCTACACGCGGGTCGGACAGTTCGAACGGAGCCACCGAAATACCCGTTACGATATTTTGTCGGATCGGTACGTGTCGGACAGCGGAAATCCACCTTTTCTCCGTGTTTCAAGACATTCCGCGCTTAATAACGGATAATATGGATTTGTGCTGCGCGCACGTCCTGCATGTGTCGTAATCTGTGCTAGAGTCATATCGTTACTTAGGGAGGAATTATTATTGTAATCTCTAACAGCGTTATAGACTTTCCATCATTAGTAATAAGTCGCGTAAGTTGAGACGGCCGAGAGTAAAGCTGACGGTAGGATTCCCATGTTACGTACACCTTGTACCAGGACATCGACGGGGACCGGGTGAAATTCAGGAATCGAAGTCCAGGGTGGAATCGCGGCGTCAGGTTCGACCATCGCGAGGAACGACCGGAACGAAGGAAACCATTGCGGACGGACGTAACGGCGAGTCGATCGACTTTCCGGACAGATCTCGATATACGATTACTTTTCGCTATCCACGTAGACTCGGCGGTTCGACTCGGATGGACCAACTGTGACAATCGAAAGCAACAATGAAAAGTGAGCGCATGAGTCTACTCCACGATTCCGCAAGTTCGAGCGGACCTTCGACAGCCGAGCACGACGCGCTTCGACAAACCGTTCTAGATATTCCTTCTACTCCAGTTCTTAACTATCGCATCAATTAACACACGGAACGCCCTACACGATTACACAATGGCAGTAGCGACTAACGAAACAGCAGAGGAGCCCTTTAAGATTCGCTTCCACCGCCTAGATCGGACCTTCGGTTCGAGCGTTACTCGTTCTCCTCGTCGCGTTCTACCTCCATTACTTCTCTCCTCCCTTCTCGTTCTCACTACAAGTCTATTTCATTAAAGGATACTCGGTATTCCCTGCCACCGATTCCACGTTTTTCGAGGGTGGGCTTATTCCAATAAACAACGAAAGACGTCGAAAGAGTCCCGCGTGCTCAGTCCGCTCTAGTCGCTCGTTCGCTTTTTAAGGTGATGCGAAAGTGTCGTCAAAGAATTGTCGTTCATGAAACATTTCTCCAAGTTGAATGCACCGAGGCATTTGAAACTTCACCATATGTTTATGAAGCCCCTAAGGAAGAACGCGGTGCTCATAAAGTTTCATTTTTCTTACAAAATTTGTATTCATCCCAGACTAGAACCAATACATATTCATTTTTGTTTTTTAATGAAATGTCATAAGTACTTCGTTCTTCCTTAGAGCCTCCATAATAACACGGTGAAGTTTCAAATGATTCGATGCGCCCGATTTATCGAAATGTTTTATAAATATTTTGACGTTAAATCTACAGAATGACCCTTTCATAACACCTTAATTACCTGGTTAACGAAAACTCGAAACGCGCCGGAGACCCGCCTATGACACTATTTGCTATTCGCGACGAGAAACGGGACAGGTGGAATCGCAGAGGAGCAGTAGCCGGGGAAGGTTGACGTAAAAGGTAATAAGTTTAACTGCGAACTAAGGAGGTAGATGCTCGTGCACCGAATCTGTATGTGTATGTATGTACGTATTCGAGTTAATCGTAAACATTTATCGTAGCCGTATACCTTCGCGTAGGACTACATCTCCGTCTACGTCCACCCTTATAATTAAGGCAAAAAAGGTACGAGTATGCAACGAGTGCAAACGTTTACAGCGCATCTATTTTACGGCTATTCAAAGGTGCCCCCTAAATGCGCTAATGCGAATACACTTTCGGGTGTTGGCAACGAATTTTTTGACATCCCTAGAAAAATTCAAACTATGAGGCAATGCGTGGTTGGCTCTTATAGTCTAGTCCTCAGGGACCATATAGTCCAGTCTTCGGCTTCTCCGATCGGACCCTGCTGTCCCCTTGTCCGACAGAAGCCGAACGAAACGTCGATTTTCACGGCCACAAAGAGAACCGTGCTCTTCCGAGGAAGCAGGAAAAGGAGAGTCGAAGGAGAAAGGCGGAAATCTACCGGAAAGGTGCATCTAGAGTTCAAAAATTCTCAGTAACATAAAATTGGAGAAGGTAACTGTGAGACATGCTACAAGTCACCGAGAATATCGAGAATTTATGAGAACGTTAATTTTTTTTTTCGTTATTCATACTTTAAATTTCTTCATTTAAATAATTTTGTTTTTTTCCCTGCACCTCGGAGTTCAAGTTCAAGAGTAATGAATATTATATAAAAAATACTAATTATAGAGTTTTATTTACTACCGGTTAAAAATATTCGTGTAAAACCTCATGTAGAATTCCATGTGGTTCGTATCAAGAGTAAAGTCGATATTTAATTCTTTAGCGAATGAGAAGTTTCGATTGGCCGTAGAAAGCGAACGGAAGTTCCTCCACTTCGGTGTCTCATGGCAACCAATCGGAACCTCTCGTTCATTCCGTTGCGAATATTTAAATTCTCATAATTTCTCGAAAAAAAAAAGCTTTGGAAAAATTACCGATAAGTTACCAGGAATTTCTCATTGTTCCTAATTAACTTACCGCGCTTAGAACTCTAGGTGCATCCCAAGCCGGGCCTTGGTACCGTTCAGGGATCCGAGTGTTCGTCGACACCGGAGATACTCCCGAGATGATGCTCGTTTCCAATCGACTCGTTTTTTTCTTTTTTCACTTTTCGAAGGTAAACGAGCCTTTCGGTCGTTCCCGAAAAGTGCAATTCCCGCTCCGGCGCTTCCTTTGTCGAATGCCGAGGCGACTCAACGTCCTTTCGGGACGGTAAAATCGACGGAAGCGCCGAGTCGTCGAGACAATAAGTCTAGGATTTCGGAGATCAAGATAGAGAAAAGAAAGGGAGCAAAAAACAGAGAGAATAGAGAGATAAGAGCAATGAGTGCACCGATAGCCAAATAGTGGAGGTACTAGTCATTGGGGACACATCGACATTTGCTAATAGCTTCACGAGTGTCCTGCGAGGGCGACCATCGACGAATCACGTGATTATACTTGATACCGTCGCCATCGTGAAAGCTCACTGACGTTTCTTTTCACCGCACTATTGCTGTCTTTGCGACCTCGGATCAGCCGGGGCACGTAGGCGTAGAGCTGAGGCGAATGGTCTTTTTCTTTTTAACGAGGTGGCAGCAATGCGTAGAACGATGCAACTAATCGAAGAGAACCTCGTATTCGGACCCATCGGAGTCTTCGGAATCCGATACAAACGTTACGATATCCTCAAACTCGTCGATGTTGTACATCCAACGGTTGTCCCGCTCGTCCAGATACTCCCATAAGAGCAGCTGCTACAAAACGCAAGAGAAACGTACGATATACCTAGGAATTTTATTCGTCGTAAATATTTGTATTCGGTAAAACCCAGATAGACAATTGATGCAAAATTTGCATGAAATTTGCCTCACCAAAAATCATGAAACGAGTCATGCGAGTGTTGCGTGCAAATTGATTGTAAATCGATTTTCCTCATCATATGATCATGAATTTCTATCTGGCTCGGTAACTGTTCTACAAAATTCCAGAAAATGGTAAATGTATTCCTCATGGAATGATTAAGATACTTACATGTAACAATTCAATTTCTGCGTCGGCATTTCGACGTTTCCGAATTGGAGGTCCGACGTCCGCTCTGGTACCATCTGGTAAGGCGTGAAGGTAGAAGCACTTGTTTCCGAAGGGACATTTTCCACAACCCTTGTTGAAATACTTGCAGTCCTTGGTGCTAAAACAAAGAATGATCCAATGAGCCATATCGAAAATCGTCGTTTAATCAAATCCTTTGCAATGATAAACGATAAAAAGTATGCACAATACATTGATTTCATTTACCTTAGTGCACCTTTGTAGTCCAAGATTAACTTTTCTTTCTCTTCTTTTGTATCGACCCAATACATGCTTGGGCACACAAAGTCAGATGTTACACGACATTCAGGACAAGCTCTGATAATTTTGTTGTCGAACTGCTTGGCTTGCCTCCACTTTCTAATGCAGGTCAGGCAAAAGCAATGGTTGCAGTTCGGTAGGATACCAAACCTCTGTTCTCGAGAAGCCTTTTCCATAATTGTTTCGAAGCAGACGCCGCATGATTTTTCGCGGCTCCGTTGTATAGCAAAGGACAATTCCATATCGACCTCATGTTGCTTCACGCATACCTTTAGAAAGTTACGAAATATTAGTAATTACCTCAACAATTGAATTCTGGCAGCACTAAATAGCAATATACTAACATTTGTGTGTTTCTTTCGGTGTTCTTCATTGTGAGGGTGAAGAGCAGCTCGACCACAGAGTTCGCAAATGTCACCATGAAGGTACGTACAATTTGGTTTTTTACAAATACCACTGGCTTCTGCATATGGGCAAAGTGGTTCCGAAGCAAGATTTGAAGACTGACCAGTGGGATTCACAGCTTGAGCATAAGACACCACGGTCGATGTGGTAATTGGCAAGTAAGCCTCCTTTGAAACGGGTGAAGGAGCAGCAGTAAGGGAGGAAGAAGGTACGAATTCTGGAGCATTGACCCACTGCTCTACAGCCGATGCACCATTTTTACTGTAGTCATAAAAATATTGGATAAATGACGTATAGAATCTCTTGGAACAGTTTTCTCCTAATTCATTTAATGTCCTACATCACATACTTTTCCAAAGCAATTTCGTTCGAAGTGCGAGCCTTTGGAGACGCTGTCGTTGAAGACTCTGCAATGGAAGTTTCGCCTGTGGCATGACTGAAATGGCACCGACTTCCATATCTGCAGACACCTTGCTTAAAATATTGACAAGCTCTCACAGATGCCGTAGTCCTGTTCTCAGGCTCATTGGAAGGAGTTTCATTTCTAGAACCTTGAACGTGACGGTAGTGACAATTGGTTCCTTCTCGACAGGCTGCATTTTTGAAGTATCTGCACAAATTTATGCCAAAGAAACATCGTTATATGAGTTCCTTTTCTTTTATAACAAAAGACATTCCATGACTCAACATGGATTTTACATATTTCAAATGCAATTTTAAAATCTAATCCTCAATGACACCAAGTCCTATGCTTATATCTTTCAAACAGTTATCGACAATCTTAATACATTTATTCAAGACCTGTTTTTGTTCATACCCGAATGTGTATTTAATGTAACCCAATGATTACCCGTGATAACGGCGATAATCCTAACCAATGAACTAACAGAGATACCCAATGCTCATAGTTGTTGATAATTCATAATACAAAATGGCCTTATAATTCTAGATGTATAAATATACCGCTATCGACCACTGAACGTCAACCACCGCATGCATTAACATTTTATGAACTTTCAGTGACCAGCACATTTTGCTTGCTCACATATTATACAAGTAGCTCAAACGTATACACCAGTATTCACAAATACAATTAGAATATACGTGTTAAATAATACAGTCCCAACGTAAGATCAGATAGAGACAACCGACGTCCAATTCCATTGGCAATTCATGACATGAAAAACCAGTTACAGATTCCAAGTTAAAAAATAGATATATCGCTATTGTCGGAGTCAACTTCAAGATGCCTCGACATCTCATGAATCCTCTTCTATCGGCAATCTCGATTTCCTCACGTGCCTTGCAAACATACTCGAATAGATAAGTGTTTACATACAAGATCTGACAATATACATAATCGAATTGGCACGGCCGCAACTACGAAAGAGCCGACGGAGATGACGACTCCAATTCCGTTACGAGTCTGCAGTTTGAAAAAAAAAAACGATCAAAGTCCTCGTTGGAAAATGTATACAACTATCAATATTAGTATTTACACTAGACCATGTTGACGTTTCGCGATTCTTTCAAAGCGGCATAACGAGGCCGCAAGTGCCGCGGAATTTTTGCCAACAACGAGCGAGGGTCCGCCCGAAAAAGAGCCGTCAATCGTAAGGCGTCTTCGCCATTTGGGCCGCGAAACCCTGGCATCCTTACCGGCAAGGAACGTTTTTGGTCCAGTTGTCCGCCATTTTCTGAAGCGCCCGTCGTAACAATGATCCGTGGCGCGCCCTCGAAGAGCCGCTCGCGCGACCGATCTCTCGCGAGATGCGAGCGCGAAGGTACCGCGCTGTCAGGATTCCACTTCTTGTCCGTTAATTCCGTTTCGAGCCCGAAACTGCCAGTTCCACTCAAACGACGAGCATTCACGGCCCGCGGTGCACCTCGATATGCCTCGCCCAGTGCCCCTTTTCGCCCTTCAACGCGATTAACAAGGATCAACAGCGACGGACAGTGGGTGCAAGCGAACGATAGGCGTGCGCGCACACCGACACACCAACGTGCAATAACCGTCGATGATTTCAGACGTCCTTAGAAGCGTAACGGGATAGGGCACAGGGAGGCACTGCCGGAAACTGTCCCCACTTCGGATACAGAGAGGTACCCTTTCTCACCGACAGATGGTGCCGCGACGGCAAAAACGCGATTCGATCTCGACGACTACGTCTCCATCGTCCTAAATCTGGGATTTACGGATCCAGTAAATCGCCTGTCTCCATCGCATTAGAATTACGCGGATTAGATCCTCGGCGTCTCGATCGACCCTTAGATTCGGATTTACTGGGTTCGGATCCGATAAATTCTGTATTTAGGAGGGCGACGGAGCCTTTAAAATCCGAAGCCTCGCGATTGGCCCCTTGCGCCATCTGCCGCCGGCACCTCGCGTCGCGGCAGGTCTAGGCGCAACTGTCTCGCGCGCGACCAGTGGCCGACGGCACCTCAGAAAGGGGGAACGAAGGAACGGAGAACTGAGGCAGGCGCGGCGAGCCGGGAGGTAGGAGCGGCGAGCGGGCGGAGGCGGCGCTCAGAGAGGCATCGCCCTAGATAACGGTAGAGTCGGTAGAGTCGGTGGAGTCGTGCGCACCGATCGCCCCGTCGCGCTACAAGTCCCGGCGAAGTCGCGCGCGCGCGTGTGTGTCTCGCGGCCCGCTCGGCAGTCGGTCGACGTCGGCGAGGGTCCGGGTGTCCCGGAAGGCTCGGGACCGCGCCCGAGGACGGAGGAACGAGGCCAGGCGAGGAGAAGCGGCGGCGGCGGCGGCGACGGCGGCGACCGCGGGTCGCCCGCATGTACGTAGGCGCCCCGGCTCGCGAGAGTCGGCCTCGGCGATCCCCGAGTCCCCTGGGGGCCGCGGCGGAGTCGAGGGAGGCTCGAGGACGACGGGGTGCTCGTCGCGGCCCGGTCGGCGAGTGATCGCCACGCCGGGGACAAAGACGGCCGCGCCGGCCCCGGGGAACGACGCCCCGCGCCGCTCGCGCGCGCGCACCTACACCCGCCCGCGAGGTAAGCGCGTCTCTCTCTCTGTCTCTCCTCCTCCCCGGCTCCGCCGGGCCAGCCCGAGCGCGCCCCGGGAGGACCGGGCGTGACGGCGACGTCCTCGAAGGACACGCGCCTGCCCGCGGTTCGCGCGTCGCCTCGCAGATGGCGTGGCGGGAGGCGTGCGCGCGCGCGCCGAGGAAGGGAGCGGCCAAAATGGCGCGCCGACCACGCCGGGCGAGATCCGAAGTCGCGACGAGTCGCGGCTCGTCGCGACCGGGTCGCCGTGATTGGCCCGTTTTCGAGGTGGCCAACCGATCGATACGCTCGCACGGTGGCTGCTCTCGGAGAGAAGCGATCGCGAGGTCGAGTAAGTGCGATCGATTCCCGATCCCGACGCGGGGCGCGTCGGCGTTCTCCGCGGCGACGATGGCGGCGCTGAGTCAAACCTCGGCGCGGATTCCGATCGTGACTCACGATCTCGTCCGACGAGTCGCCTCCGAAATACCTCCCGCCGAGTGCAGTGTCGTCGTTGCTTTTCCCGAGGGCCGGTCGATATTATTTACGCGCCGGAAACGGTACGTCGGCCGGGCACAAATCGGGGAAATACGTCGTGAGGCGGATCGATTAACCTCGACGCGTCGACGATGGACGGGAAACGGTTCCTTCGCCCCGGTCCGTGTAACCTTCCCCGCGTTGCGTTCCGTGGGTTCCATGGCTTACGCGGCGTTTCCGCGCCGGGTATTTGTATTAAATGGAGATTAAAGTTCCGCGGCCCGGGTGGTATCGATGCGTCGGGTTCAAGGACCCGATTCTCGAGTTCGTGCGGTTTTTTTTTTACGTACGAATAGATTCGTAGGAAACTTTTACATTCTTGCGAAGTCACGTTATTCCTCAACTTTTCAAAGTCTTATACGAAATTGTCAATTTCGCGTGCGAAAGTTGAACGTATGACCTCGAAAATCGGGTCCCTGGTATCATTTTTGCTAACCGTTCGTGCAAGATAACGTTTGGTAGAATCGATATAAGATGTGTCATAAGTTTAGAACATACGAGTATTACGTTTCCCACGCAATTTCGCAGTTTTAACGCGAGACTTTAACGTGAAATCGTCAAATGATAAGTTCATTTAGGAATTCGTAATGTATGTATGCTAATTCACTTTTAGGATATTAAATGTATAATTCTATGACCTTATGTACCAAATGTGCATGAATTTGATGGACATTCATGTACATCTGCGGCATCCTCCACGTTGGAAACGTAATTTACTGGTTATCTACGATTTTCTCCGATAAGCCACTCGGTTTACGTAATATACGGAAAAAACGTCGAAAAACGCGACCCTGCTTGGAACGTGTCGGCCACTCGTCCTTTAGACGAGGAAAAGTCGCGTCCAGTGGAGGAAAATTCGGGCGAATTCGGAGGACGAACTCGTCGGATCGTCTCGTTGAATTAAAAGATTAAGCCACGACTCTCCTCGACTCGCGTGTCGCCCCCGCGAGTACTTACCGTAATTAAACGCGTCCCATTCCTGGATTAATCCTACTCTCGCTTTCGGCCGCGACGACGAGTCCTCCGATCACAATTAATCGATGTTACTTCAATTAGCGACTAGCGCTCTCTCGATTCCGACGTTCGACCCGACGTGACGGGGGTCATCGATCGCCCCGCGTTATCGGGAAAGGGAAGAAGAGATCGCCACGGTATGGCCAAGAAAGATCTTTTTATGTCACCGCCCTCGTCGACGGAAGGAGCGACTTCCGCTCGGAATCTCGCGTCCCCGTTTCGAACCGATCGGGCCTTTGCGACCGCTTCCGACCATTTGGGACGAGGCGAATGCTCTATCGACTCGAGTCGCTCGAACTCGAAAACCTGACCGACTCGAGTCGACTCGGCGAAGGAAGAACCTTTTGAATCCGTAGCGAGGGAAATTATTCGAGGTACGAGTCGAGTAAACGAATAATCGCCTATTGGGACGGGTCCGTGCAGCGTCCGTGCCGGAGCGGTGACGTATCCGTCCGGAGTGTTCGCGTCCTGTCGCGACCACCGGACGGAAAGCGAGAGGAATGAATTTTACAGTCGACGAACTCGCCGGGATTGCGGGAATTTTAGTGCCCTTCCGCTTGGAATCGCGCGTCCAGCTCGCAGTTTGTCATTTTTATACGAAATTAGTAGCAAAGACTCTTTCGGAGTCGCCCAATTTCTGATAAATCGAGCAGTCTGGGCACTCTGGTCGCGCGCGTTTGTCCCGTTCGCGCGATCGTCGAAGGTCGCACGAGGGAATTCGCTCTCTCCGCGTCGCCGTCGTTTCGTCTCTCTCGCTCCCGCTCGCTCGGCCTCGCTCTCGCTCGCTCGCTCCCTCTATCCCGCCGTTTATCGCGAGTTACGCCACTTCCCGTTGGGCCGCTATCGAATGCCGAAGAACGCCGTGTTGCCAGCACCGGTTAAGGTTGATTCAGGCTGGAGACTCGCAGGGCTGTCGAGTTTAACGAGGTCCGAAAGGTGAAGGCCCTCTTGGACGGTCCGGAAAGCGAGCGAAGCTCCTTATCCCGTTAAAAGTAAAATCTAACGCCGACGATAAGGCCTTTTATGTGGAATTATCGAGACAATGGAGATATTCCGTATTCCGGACTGGCCGTGCATGCACAACGCGACGCTCTCGAGGCTGTAGTGGAATTATAATAAACCGACGATGAAAAGTCACTCGAAGATTCGAGATTCCCTCGAGAGGGTACGCTGCATCCGGTGGAATAAAGGCTGGAAACGAACCGATAGAATGCTAAGTGAAGGATAACGAGAGGGTAATGTAACGATTAATCGCGTACCTTTGATGGTTCCCTTCTTTTATTTTTTATTTTTATTTTTAATTAAACTGCGCACGGCACGATAGCTGGCGAAAATTCTCGGACTTTAAAGGGAACCTGCTTCCGGGAGAAACGCTTTTTTAAAACGGCGGGAACTTCTTCCTCGACCTAATAGAAGGTCACAAAATGACCATTGAAACTATTTACGCTGCCGACTGTATTTTCGCTCGCATTTGGCAGGCAACCCGCAGTTACGGAACCGCGGTCAAAATTATCGGATGGTTAAGCAACGTTAACTTGGCAGTTATGGCTCCTTTTACGCGGAAAGAATGCCGCGAGAAAAATGTTGCCATTGAGGTATTTACCGTTTCGCGTCGAGCCTTACGCGTAATCCGAATCAACCTTTCCGTCATCGAGTTCTATGAAAGACTCGTAGGCGAAGTCGTACAACGTCGACTCGTTCGCTTCCACCGAGCCGTGGTCGAAGATCGTTGAAATCCTCCTTAGAACCGAGCAAAGTGTACCCGGGGAAAAACTCCTCTCGTAATGCTCTCGATACGAGATTACTCGCGAGTTGTGTACGTGGACGTGACCCTGCTGAATGGAGAAGGAAAGTGACTTTTTACCGGAGGAGCTTACCGAGATCTTAATCTAGTTATCCAAGAAAGTAGCAGTCCGGGGAACGAAACTCGACTCTTGGGAGAAGTTTTCTACCGTCGTGGCATGTCGTTTTCATTTTTTCTTTGAAACTTTACGCGGTCCCACGAATGGTAATGAAAGTGACGAAACTCGCGATCGACTTTGCGCGTAAAGGTCGTTCCAAACGTATCCGTGCCGTATCCGTACCGTGACGAGTCCGTGCCCGGAAAAGAAGACACTTGAGCTTTTAGCAAGGAACGGTGGGACGTCTTCTTAGATTTATATTACAATATTCATTCCTTTCCGTGTCAGTTTCCGCATGCAGTCGTGCCAGGGACGGCACTGAACGGAGTTTACGGCAGCGGAAGATTCCCTTATACGGATACGGCACGTACACGGGACGGACACGTTTGAATCGACCTTTACGAGGATGGGTTGAAAACGTCGCTTTCGGAACAATGCCCTCGGGACGGAGGGAAACGAGAGCCGCGATTGAAAAATATGAAAAATAATTAATAATTTCTTCCATCCCGCGACACGACGGAAGAAAAACATTTTTACCTTTTGAGGGCAGTCTCTTTCTCTAAAACGGTCTCGATGGTTCTTCGAATTCTAGATTTCGTGGGTTATAAATATGTATATGGGAGTATACGCGTGTATGAATTTTCGTGTCAAGAGCGCCTTTGCCGGAAACGTCGGTCTCGTCGCAAATCGTCGCCGGCTTGAGTTGGCTCCCGACGTAGCGGAACGTCGGCATGTGGAAGGCACTCTCGAGGAGGTCGTCGAGGAGGCGAAGTCGAGGGAAAGAAAGCGAGAGAGACCGAGGAGAAGGTCGTTAATGCCGCGCATTGTCCTCCGTGAGAGAGCCCCCGTGGGGTAGTGGCCTCTAACGAAGCTTCTTCCCTGAACTTCCCGAGGGCGGATCGATCCCATGGTGGGTCAATGGAATCGGAAAAGGGAGCGCGAATCGTCCCAGGACGAACGAAACGCGTCCAACAAACCCCATAAGACTCGAAATTGCGGAGACCCGACTCTCGACCGTATACGATCAACGTTCGCACGTGAAATTGGCAGTTTCGACTTAGTTTTTCCGAGAGCAATTAATTGGCAATAAATTCTGGCGCGTACGTCAACTATGATCCTTTGCTGTATCATTGTTTATATAACGTGGCAATGCCAGCTTTACGTACATCCGAAATTCGTCAATTTCACCGCGGATGTTGCTCGCGAGCTTTTAATCGAATTAATTTCTGCTTTTCTGTGGGAAAAGGTATCGGGTCCTATCAACCGCCGGCACGTTTCTGGGGATTACAGGTGACGATGCGACGATGCACTCGAAATTATCACCGCGAAGCGACTCGAATGCCCCGACCATTGCGTTTTGCCGGGGCCTGGTGCGGCGCATATGCGGAAGGAGCGAGAAGAGTGCAACCTGCGCCGTCTCATGCCAGGCCGTTGCAGTGGTTGCACCGGTCCCTCTCGGTCTCTCCCCAGATGTGCGATGCATTTTGCGAGGGCATGGTGCGACGAACGCAGGGAGGGAGCGAGAAGAGTGCAACCTGCGTCGCCCCGTGCCAGGTCGTTGCAGTGGTCGCATCGTCCGCCTTGGTCTCTCGCCACATGCGTGATGCACTTACCAAGGGCATTTTCCGAGAGGGACCGAGAAGGGTGCAACTTTTTGTCGGGGTAACACGAATTGCCCTCATTCAACATTAACCGATCACGTTGAAATTATAGTCGGGTCTCCGTTTCGATCTTAATCTTCTCCTTTTTGTACTTATGCCCTGTTGGATTTCTTGCAAAATCTCGACGGAAATTGATTTTGGTCACCGCTAAGTGTAACTCGTGTCGTCCCAGGCCCGGCCATTGCGTTGGTGGCATCGCTTCCTCTCGGCCCCTCTCCGTATACAATTCGCAAGTGTGATGCACATGGAAAGAGGGGAGGAGTGCAGCCTGCGCCTGCCTATCCTAGGTCGTTGCGTCGGTTCTACCGATCCCTCTCCGTGGCTCGGCCGGTTGTCGGATACCGGTCGGAGGTTGCCGGTTGCCGGTTGCACTTCCTCGGTCCGATTACCGCCTCGTCGGGTCGGGAGAACGCCGACAGCGGGATGGGGCGTATACGCGTGCTCGCATCGCTGTAATTCAAGTACCTAGATATGTATTACATACGGACATAATGGGTATGTCGCGCAGAGGCGTCGGCTCCCCGATCGAACTCTCCTAGGCGGAAGAAGTTCGACTTTTTCCCGATATCGAGCCTGAGGGAAAACTTTTGCGAATGCGAGCTCTCGTGGGTTTTTTTATTTTTTTTTTTTACTCTCGTTTTCGGTGCGTCGCGAGGAGGAAATTTTACCCCGAGAGAAAAGTGCACTTACCGGGGAGAGATAGACGATCCCGCGAGAACTACCCTATCGAAAAAGTATCTCGATTTTATATCATATTCGTTGAATGTTTTATTCGAACGTGGCTTGCAGATCTTGTAACATATTTTCAAGAATATTTATAACGCGTGTTGTAAATTTAGCGCACAGGAGCATTTATTTTCCGATTTTTTAATAAAAAGTAAAAGTCCGGTTAAGTGAATTTCCCGCGATGGAGGAAAATTTCGTTGCAGGGGATGCAATTTTTCCGATCAACAGGCGGTCCTTTCGGAAGTCGCGAATCAAAGTTCGGGACACTTTTTTGAGCGAAACTCGAAAAGTCGCGGGAAATCGGTAAGGTCACTGGCTAAAAAGTCACTTCCGAACTTCGTAACTCGCGAAAGTTGAGCGAACGGAGAAGGGACGATAGGTGCATTCGTTTACTTTTATTGCACGCGTAATCGGATTCCTGCAGGAATGCTCTTTTCCACGAGCCAACCCACTTTCCGCGTCGCAACAGTTGTTCCCCAGAATCCGTCCGTGTAAACGGTGGCCATTCCGTTTGCCCTTCTTTTTTCCCTTTTTCTGCGAGATCGCTGCTAAGCACGTTCCACGAAATAATAGGCCGAGCTGCTCGAGTAAATTAAACAAAAACGGACTATCGTTGGCCGATCCGAGACGCTGCCTTAACCTTTGTTAACCCCATTGCGGTGGACGTGTTCCGTTGGTCGATTCGCCGATCGTAGGTTTACCAGAGATCGTTTACGACTTAAATTTAGCTAAGGCGACAAGAATTTTGAAATTACTCGGGAAGTAGAAGGGGGAAAGTGCGGCCGGCGGCAATTTAAAAAATGTCAGGGTTAATCACTTTTAACGAAAATTTGTAAATCCTAAATCGTTGATTACAATAAGCTCTCGTAACCCGCGATTGTCTTTGATTTCATATGAAACAATGAAATTCGGTGACAAATGACGTTCGACTTTAAAATTGTGAGGATGTGCCATGATTTCCTGAGTGAATAACCCTTTGGACCCTATTCTACAATTAATTTTGATTTGACAAAGATTTTATTGCATCGACCAAATATTTTTCCGCCTGCCCCAGGACCGACCTCGAAAAAGGACGACCATAAATATATTTAGCGCCAACACCGTTGAACATCTTTCAAGGGAAATTCACAGGGAATCTTTCCACGTTCATACCCGGACTCCGAATCGATTGTATCATTGTGAAATCTATTTTAAATGTAGCCATTTAAGGGCGGTGTCGTCTCGTTATCCGAGAATTGGACTTCGTTACGTCGCCTTCGGCCTTGACCGAGACGATCGAAATTTGGGACCGACCTTCCCGGGATATGAAAGAGAAGGACGCGAACGGACCTCGAAGGGGTGCGCCGAAAAAGTCGAAGAGAAAAGCGCCCCTTCCGACGTAGGCTCGCCGTGACACACTTCTCGACAATGGCCCGAGCACTCCGTCGAATAACCCATATATCGAGTCCCTTATTTCTCCCTCGGTTCTCTCTTGCGGGTCCGTCGACGTCCGAGGACTAATTTTCCACCCGTCACTCTGAGAAATGATCGCCGGAATTTAGAATGCGATTTTAAAACCACCCACGCGACGGACGAATGACATACGCAATTGGTATTTAACCCTTATACAGAAATTGGGTCATTTTGATTCAACGTCATCCTATCGGATATGTACAAAGGATAGAAACGTTTCTTCAAAACATAAATCCACCTTTTTGCTTTCTCTCCCATTATTGGTAGCAGCGACTACCTACGTCAGAGTATAATGCACTGAGAACGTATTGAACCAAAGAAATATATTTGGTTAATTCGTAGAATAATTATTTCGCTCAAATTGTCATCGTTTAATATGGATACGTAGAGGAGATGGATGTCGTCCTTCGGTTTAAGGGTACATCCTACCGTTGAAACGCGCGTACAGGATCGTTCCATGTCCCCTTGTTCGTGTATCGCTGGTTTCGAGGGTGGCTGGAAGATTTCCAATAACTCCCCGTCCCTCGTCCTCGCCGGCGAGACTCGGTGTCCGAACGGCCAATCTCTTAGAAAAATCGATTAATCCGAGTAACGCGGACTCTTCTTGTGGATTTTATTTCCTCCGGGTCACCGGGCTCCAGCTCGCCGATTAATTCCCATGGGAGGTTATGTCGTCGTTTCGTACATCGGAGAGAAATCGTCAAGTTAGCCGTCAAAAACGACACGCGTCGCTCGCGGATACTAGGAAATATACATACTTCTAAAATGGACGGTGTAAACTAAAAGTGCCATTTTCGTATCGCCTTCGAGTGATGCAAAATACGAGGTCTCGTTTATGAAACTTTTCTTCGAATTGGGTGCACCGAATCGTTTCAAACTTGACAATGTGAATATAGAGGCTATAAGGAAGGTCCTGACACCCATGAATGTTTATTTTTTATAAAAAATTTCAAAAATATCTATAAATAAATTTGAAAACAATTGAAGTTTCGTGGCTGTCAGAACCATCTTTGTAGCCTCCATATTCACCTTGTAAAGTTTGAAACGATTCGGTAGAAAAGTTTGACGAGCGATTGACCGTTCGGACGCTACTTTCGGGTCGCCTTAAGTCGGGTCGAGATTACAGTTGTCTTTCGGTTGCAGGTCCACCTCGGGTTCGAGCCTAGAAGCGGCAGGATTCGGTGACAGGACGTGGCGGATCCGGTGACCGAGGCCGCGGCTGCGACAGGGTGCACCACTAGACAGGGCGAGAGATGCGGGAATACAAAATCGTGGTATTGGGCAGCGGGGGTGTCGGCAAATCCGCCCTCACCGTCCAGTTCGTCCAGGGCATCTTCGTCGAGAAGTACGACCCGACCATCGAGGACAGCTACAGGAAGCAAGTCGAGGTCGACGGACAACAATGCATGCTCGAGATCTTGGACACGGCAGGCACGGTGAGTGCGCGAGTTGCGTCCGAAGATCTGGACGGGCATGTTCGATTCTTGATCGAAACGACGTCGTAGATTTATATCGAGATTCAATATACTTCCATACATCGTCTGTAATAATTAATTGATTGTCCGGAATAATTACCTGCCTGTAATAATTAATCGAAAAGTAGGAACTTTCGTCATAGACGCGTTGACGCGCCGCGGTCAATGGGACGCCTGTCTCGAGATGCGCTCTCCGATTCGCGTTTCGCTAATCGACGCGCCCGGTTAACTATATTTCGATTAATTATTTTCGGCAACCTATGCGCCGTAGGGAAAAATTGTAAAGGACTTCTCAACTCCATTTTCGATGAGAATAACTATGTGTATTTTTGTCCCGCTCTGTGTGGGCGAGAAGATGGATATAGATTTAGAGATTTTGTGCGACCGGGGTGTCTCGATACTCACGTCGACTCGTTCTTCTCTCGACAGGAACAATTCACGGCCATGAGGGACCTGTACATGAAGAACGGCCAAGGCTTCGTGCTGGTCTACTCGATAACGGCGCAGTCGACGTTCAACGACCTGCAGGACCTGAGGGAGCAGATCCTGCGGGTGAAGGACACGGATGACGTGCCGATGGTGTTAGTGGGCAACAAGTGCGACCTGGACCCAGAGAGGGTAGTGGGCAGAGACCAAGGCGTCAACCTTGCCCGGCAATTTAATTGCGCCTTTATGGAGACCTCTGCCAAAGCCAAAGTTAACGTTAACGATGTAAGTGGAAGCGTCAGAGGTAATCTTAACACTTTACCGACCGGAAGCCTATTAACGCGTAAGCGCCAAGCCTGTTTTGTCTTGCTTTCCGCAAAGCCCGCGATATCCAACTGTATCCGACTTTACCCGGCGAAAAGTATACTGTCGGTCACCGGGGACTGACATGGCACTTAACACGGTAATCGGTTTTGCGATACCCGTGATTGTCGTGTACTTCCAAATTCCCCGCTCGGTAAAGTGTTAACAAGCGGGATCCGACCGGAAAGGCCGCAGGCGGTCCATCTCCTCCCCTTTATCCGCGTTGCGTCAAACGAAATGTTCTCCAGATTTGTATAAAACGTATCGAGGATAATCGCAACCCTCGGTTTCGCGGGAACTCGGCGAGAATGGTTCTTGTTAACGTAATCAACGAACATGGCCGCGTCTTTCATAATATGGGTCATTGAAACAATCGTAATATCGTTCGTCGCCATAGCACCGAGAGAGAAATGGCGAGAAATATTCCGCAAACATCGATCTTTTCGGATTCTGGTGGCGACGCACCGTTCGTTAAACCTGACGCTGGCCTTTCTTTTCCAGATCTTCTACGACCTGGTGCGACAAATCAATAAAAAGTCGCCCGAGAAGAAGATGAAACAGAAAAAAAAATCGTTGTGCCTACTTCTGTAAGAGGAGAACGAGCGAGACCCACCGTTATTCGGCGACGAGTTCCAGAAGAACCAGGGGCGAGGGATGAAGTAGAGCGTTTTGAAAATACTAGCATGAATGGGGGGGAAGGGGGGGAAGTCGACGCGAGACAAAGGGGGTCAAGGATAGAGGGGGAAATCGAGCTGGCTTGTAACGCGGAGCGAGGGACGAGGAATGGAAACCTAGAAGGAACTGGAAGGGAAGAGAAGAATATGGACAAGGGAGCGCAAGGGGTTGAATATTGTATATACGTTAGTCCCGGGGTGGTTCGCGTGCACGCGCAAACGGTGCGCACAAAGGAGGTTGAACGTAGCCCCGAGACACCGGTTATCACTGTAGGAATTTTGCATTAAAAAAAAAAATGATTAATATTATATATTTAGGAGAAAAAGGAAGGAAAAAGAAATGTTTTAACGTGCGCGCGCGCTGGCCATCAGCCCCGTGCATCGTTCGCCGCGCACCTCTCTTCTTATATAATATAATAATTATACATAGACGGTACTACATTTATTATTATTTTTTTTAATTATTATTATTAATATTATTATTATGAAAGCATCAAAATATTCATAAGTTATCAACATCGTTTGTTTCTCAAACAATATATGTTTTTCTATATCTCTCCGTATTGAAGCAAATAATAAAAATTCATTAAATGTTGACCGATCGGTGGAGTGACAATGGCCGTCGAAGGCGGCGCGACTTCCGTCTCACGTGACTCGCAGATTGCCGGATCCGACCATGTATATCCAGACCTCGTATTGGACATCCCATTCCCAAATTTTCGAGCGGAACGGTTTTAACGCGTTAAGGCGCCAAGCCTTGTTTTTAAATATGAACAAATTAAAAAAAAAATTGAAATTTCATGGTGCCAGGGCCTTCCGTATAGCCTCTGCATTCACGTAAAGTTTGAAACTACTCGGTACACCCGGTTCGGAGACAAGTTTCATAAACGCGATCCCTTAGACGCCACTTTCGCGTCACCTCTACCTCTGTAAGTGAGGTGACGGCTCACGTGGTACATTCGTGTATCTCTTCCATTGCAAGGTGAAGTCTGTACATACATGGTCTAAAGTCTGATTGGATCTGACTTTCTCCTCGTACACGATGCAACACCCTGCGTTTCGTTGCAATGCGAGGTCTAAATATCTATGGTCTAAGATCGCCGGAGTCTGACGTCCGGGGTGGAAGCCAAAGGCACTGGCGCGACGGAGGACGGACCAGGGATGGACTAGACTCCTAGGGACAGGGTCGCGACGAGGAGGGCACCCGAGAGCCTGGAGGCGAACCCAGGATACGAGGTCGAGGCGGCGTCGGTGACGTTGCAGCAGTTGTTGGTCGCCTCGACGAGGACCGAGGGGTAGTACTCGTTCCAGAAGGCCAAGGCCTTGTAGTCGACCTGGCTGGGGTCGGCCATTTCGACGGTGCGGTCGATCAGAAGAATGCCGGGGGAGGCTTCGGAGTAGGGCTCCCACTTCCCGGACGAGGGGACCGGCAGGGAGGGAGTGCCGGTACGGAGGAAGTTGGCGAAAGTCGTCATGACGGTGTCCGCTATCTTCTTGTCGGCGGCGTTCCACTGGACCGGACTGCCCAGGGCGTAGGGGAGGCCCCAGAGGAACTGCAGGTCGAACATGTGCGGCACCCCGGCCCACTCGGGAACGTCTCGCGTCACGGCGGGCGTCTTCGGCCGGTAGTCGAACCGGTAGACGTAGGCCTGCTGGCGATGAGCCAGTTTGCCGGCCAGGAACGTTAGCCCGGACGCGTAGCTGCGCTCCGTCTGCATGTCCAGGTACCGATCGCGCAGCAAGGTGCGGTTTTCGGTACTTGGATGGGGCTTGTAGAAGAAGAGCACCGCGTCGGCGACCACCTTCGGCTTGGACTCGCAGGTGCTGTTCTCGTCGGGCTCCTCCACGGTGGCGGTGGCCTCGTCCACCACCAGGCCCTCGAAGCGCGTCAGGGAGAGGCCGCCGTCCTCGGCGCCGACGACGCCCTCGATGTAGGCGAGCGCCTGCTCGTTGTTGGCGTACCCGGTCACCAGGGGAACCGCGTTGAAGACGCCGCTAGCCAGGGCGTCCCGAGGGTGCTCCGGCAGGAAGGGCTCCGACGCGTTGACGGTGTCGGCGTCGACGATCGGCCCCCAGGTCTCGATGTCGGCCGTCTCGCGCACCAGGATGGCCCCGTCCACGCGGCGCAGACACTCCATCAGGGCGGATGTCGGCCGCCGATAGCAGCCGAACTTCTCCGCCACCAGGTCGACGACGGACTCCTCGGCCTCGGGGGAACCTACCGACCCCACCGCGTCCCCGCTCATGGCGATGGCCTTGGAGAAGAGGCCACGACTCAGCGGGCTCACCAGGTGAAGGCCGACGCTGATCGCTCCCGAGCTGTGCCCGGCGATCGCCACGTTCCCCGGCGACCCGTCGAAGACGTCCACGTTGCGCCGCACCCAGTCCAGCGCCGCCAGCTGGTCCAGTATCCCGTAGTTACCCGGAGCCTCGGCGTCGGTCGTCGTGAAGAAGCCCAGGATGTTCAGTCGATAAGCCACCGTCACCACCAGAACCTGCCGGAGCCGGGATCTGTACCGTCGACGGCGCCCTGAGACGCGACGTCCTCGTCCACCAGGGACAAGCATCGGGAAGCGACGCCGGGACTACCCTAGAGCGTACCTTTTGCTTGGTCACGAACACCGAGGCGTCCCAGATGGCCGGCGTGCCGGTGTTGAAGTCACCCCCGTGGAACCAGACCATCACCGGCCAGCCCTCGGGCGGGCGGGCTCCTGCGAGAAGGGCGAGCGGGACATTACGTTCTCCGAGGTTGCGAAAGTGCCGCGTTCACCCTGTCCGCAGGTCCGAAAGGGTGAACGGTGCCACCGAAACGCGAGGAAAGGCCGATTCGCGTATCCGGTCGTAACGCGCGTTACGCGCGTTTGGATCACGCTGGTCGGATACCGTGGACGGAGTCGTCGGACCGGCACCGGCACGTGTCGGCCATAGCGAATCGACCTTCGTCCCCTTCGTCCCCTCGCGAATACCCAAATCGAACCGCCGAGATCCGAAGAAACCGCACGCCACCGCTCCGACAATGGAAACGTAACCGGAAAGCGCTAGTTTTTTCCCAGAGGGATCGATATCGCGCTTATTAGTTCCTCGCTTCGGGTAGCGGCGTCGTCGGCGTCGCTCGCTTATCCGCGAATCTCGACTGGTTCGGCAACCGGTGACTCGAATTCGGCCGGCCACGCTCCCGGAGACGCCTTGACCTCGCCGACGCTTGATCGCGCCCCGAGCTGCCATTCGGAGATCGGGTTGACCCTAATTCGGCCGGGCGCCGATAGCGATCTCGAGTCCCCGTCTTCGCCGGCGGCGTCGTCGTCACCGCGACGCAGTCACGGTCGCGTCGCAGCCGAAGGGATGGCGGACTCGGGGGTAGGTTTCGTGACCGGAGTCGGGCCGTATCTCGACATCTCCGACGGCTCTAAAAGATCGCGTGCCACCGGGTGCACCAGTTACCGCGACTACTTTTATCGACCGACGCCTCCCGCGGTTTTCCTCGCCGTGATTCGGCCACGGTTGATTTTTATCTACCGGGGGATGACCCCGGGCGTCCCCGTCGAGGAGACCAAATGGCCCTCCGAGGCGAAGCATTTTTTTCGCTCGAGCTTTCGGGTGATCCGTTGAAATCGTAAATGAAGACTGCAATGCGGAAGTGGTTGTAAAGGCCCCAAGGAATAACGCGATGATACTTTAAAGAACGTTAACTTTGCGCGCTAAATTTTCGCTAAAAATTGCCGTTGGCAAACCAAATGGTCAAAAGAACAGAGGATTTCGAGGTTTAACCGCGATCGATAATTTCTACTCGGGCAGGAGAGTTTCCGAGCCACTCGGGAAATGGAATCGCACGTATCTGCATATCTGCGTATCTCCGTATTACGTATGTCAGTATGTATGCTGATTTTGAAATTCGTCGACACGGAATGTGGGGTTTCGATCGAAACAGGGCGCCAGGAAACCGGGGAATCTCTCAGTCTCCTCGTGGAGACGCTTTTTGTAGAGGGTGTTTTTTTATTTGGGGTAGTGGAGCAAGAAAACCGCTATATACCATGCGATCTGCATTGCGGGTTGAGGCGATGACAAACAAAATGGGAAGTACATGCGTGACTCCTCCGTTTTGCATTTATTAAGGTCTGGAATGTCCCCTTGATGCATGATTCAAGAATGCATCGACGCGGATCGATGGTGCTCGATCGGAGAACGACGAAATGCTCGAAGGAGAAGCCGAAGGAGATCTCCGCGAATTAATTATCGTTCTCGCGAGTTGCGGAATGAACGTCTGAAACGCGTATCCTCGCATGTGCGAGGTAGGGGCGACATGAGAATGAAATGAGAAATATGCGCGACTCCTTTGTTTCGCATTTATTAAGCAGTTAAAGGCCATTGCCTTGCTCTCGGAACGCGACGCAAAATGGCGGCGAAGAATTGGCGTCCCCATGGACGGAGCCCAAAGTCCCATCTTAGACCAGAGGGAAGTCTGCGCATCGGAAAGAGAGGGATAGAACAGCCATATTGTTGCGTCCATTTTTCAGCCTCCTGGTTGGTAGGTCACTATAGCGACAACTATATCCCAGCCAATCGGGAAGATAAAATCTCGGCTCTCCAATCTGGTTACCTTCTCATCGTTCCTCCGTGTTCCCCCCTTCCGCCGTTTTCACAGCACCGGTTCTTTATCGATGGTAATAATATAAATAAATGAAAGTTACGTTGCTTATGGCAGAAAAGTCGGTGCCGACGCCGGTCTTGCGGGTACGTATGCAAACGGCCTTACTCCGACACTCGCTCCTCTGGCATGGGTTTCGTCCATATATTCTTACGTCCACGGGCGTCCCTAACGTGCAACGAGGAGGCACTGATAACGCGAAAGAAAAAATAATTATCGTCGCTATCGAATTAACTTATTTCATTTAGTGCACATCGAGGGGACTCGGTTTAACGTAACAAAATGAAAAGTACATGCGTGACTCCTAAGTCGCGCGTTTATTACGGTAGCACCTCGAGATAACGCGGGATTAACGTAACATTAATGCCGGGTCACGAGATATCACGGTTTTGCATTTCGTTCCCATCGGATACCGAAAAATGTGCACGCAATGGGAGAGGTGAACAAATTAGAGCGCCGTACGCAATTTACCAACATTGGTAGACATTAATGCGTCCATCGCTAACATTGCGCGGCACAGAAAAAGAAGAAAAGACGTTTATGTCCGGAAATTCCTCCGCATATCTTCGCGTCGAGGGAGAAGAAGAGCAAGGAGGCGAGGTTTTTCGTTTCCACGGGGTGCCATAAATAATTCCAGATCACGATACGAATTAAAAGTCGGATCCACGCCTGTTAGCGCGCCGAATAATTTAGGAGCAACGCCCGCCACCCCTCGGCTACGCGGTATTGACTTAACCGATTTGAGCGGATCGACCGCAAGCCGGTAGGCCTCTTCAAAGAAAAGAAGAAAAAAATGAGAAAGAGCCAAGTTCGGTCCTATCGGCAGATCGATCGCCAAGAGAGCGCACTCCGCCCCGACCTGGCCGTGCGAGCTCCTTAGCGATTACCGAGTTCGACATTACCTCGACATTGCGTGCAGCTGGTGAGACTTCTCGAGCGGAAAAAACTGGGAAATCGCTCGGTCCGAGGACTATCGCGCGAATCGAAAATTTCCTTCGCGTTTTTACCTCGAAAAACGATTTTCATCTATCCCGGAAGCGCCTCCCACGAGGCCTCAAGGGCGCCGCTCTTAATTCTTCATATCGGAACTTTATCGAGCCGTTGTGCGAGTTCGCGGGCAAATTTTTTTTCCAACGAAATTTCTTTCGAAATAATTGCATGCTCGAGTAAAACGGGGGGATTAACATTGCCGAGGAATACGTTATTAATTTATCCGGCGTTTGAGAAGATATGGTGTCCACGGGTCCTTCATCGAGAAAAACGATATTGTCTGTACGGATGACATCTTATGACGTTCTCTTAAGGCAATCAAAACGTCCTTCTTGTCCTCCTCGAGCATTCAGGACAAGGAGGACGGATATACAACTTATCCGATACTTCTCTTGGGATTTTACATTTTGTGTCTAAGAAGAATCGAAAAATCGGCTTCAGAAAAGAATTGAGGGAAAATCGAGTTATCGGAGGAAACGCGGAAGTGCGTTCCCTGTCTAATTATCACAGAGATCGGCGGTCTCGCCTCACCGTCGGGCACGAAGACGTTGAGGAAAAGGCAGTCCTCGCTGAACCCGGGGTCGGGCTGGTCGTCGGGCGGCAGGAGGCGCAGGTAGAGGGTCTCGTGGAGCTTGCGCCGGGCGACCTGCTGCTGACAGGAGGGCCGGTACCGGGAGGCGTCGCGCGTGCCGGTCCACGAGGGCAGCGGCGAGCGCACCGGGGCGGCGAAGCGCAGCGGCCCCAGCGGCGCCTGGGCGTAAGGGATCCCCAGGTACGCCGTCACCTTCTGCGCGCGGCTCAGGAACACCTATCGGCAATCGGGGCTTCCGTTATCCCGGGAGGTTCGGTTTCGCGCCTTCCGATTCTCCGCGCGAGTTTACGTTTCCTACAATTTCCAAACCTCTAACCCTAGAACTACCAAGCCCAGTCAAAGTGACCGGTTTTAGATGGCCGTAGTTCTAGTACATGTTAGCGAACGCGTCGAGAAGGGTCGTTTTCCCAGGTTACGAGTTACATGGCAGAAGCCACGGGCAACGTTTCGCCCCAAAACCAGGAAGTAGCGAGAAAGTGGCAACGAGATCCGGTGAACCCGGTGAACCCGGTGAACCCGAGGTCGCTCACTCGCGGCGCGGGGACGGACGTCGTCGGGGTCGTCGGCGACGCACCTCCTTGCCGAGGAGCGCGCCCTGGCCGGGGATCCTGACGGTGGGGGGCTCGCGGCCGAGGCCCTGGCGCGCGTGGCTCCGCTGCGACTCGACGAGGGGAAGGTCCTCGAGGAGCAGGACCTCGCAGAGGAAGGAGAGAGCGAGACCGAGCCGCGCCGTGGGCTTCATCCTTCCGACTACGGGCTACCGACGTCGACTCCACCCTGACTTCCCCTGAGCACCCCTTGCCCCCTGCATCCCCCAGGCGGATCGCGTGACTCGAGCTCAGGAGACCTCCTCCTCGGCCGGCACCTGCGCCCCCGCCCCGATTCGAAATCCATCCCCAAGGCCCGAGTCGGACCGCAGACCGAAGACGCGGCAAACGCCTCGAGAAGCGCGACAAAGACGAATATTGGATGTACGTGCCGAGATCTTAAGGGGATACGAAAGTGGCATCCGAGGGGTCGATTTTTCGGCAAACTTCGGAACCTCGATATAGAAGCTATAAGAAAGATTCCGATACTCATGAAATTTCATTTTTTATTAAAAGATGTTAAAGAAATTACTGGTTTTCGATGGCCGACCACGGCCAAAACAAATCGACCGGTGGTTCTACCCTTAAAACGGAGGAAACAAAGCACGAAAGGATACAACCGTACAAGGCAAGACGAAATGAAAGAAATGCCTGGTCTTAGGACTTATACCAGGTAACGAAAGAAATCATCGTACTCGCATGTGTACCCAGCTTTAAGGAGGATCGATCGATCTTCTCTCCGGATCCGGCTCGCGGGATCCCCGGAAAGGCGATCCCGCGCCGATTTGCATACGGAAATTAATCATAGATTTAATTTCGAGAGGCACGATCCTGCCGACCCTCCCTCTTGCGCCAGTCTTCGCGGGGATGGCGCTCGACCTCCTCCGCTACTCCGGGGAATTAACACTCCCCGTCGACTTCTCGACGATTACCGCCATCGCCGCTCGAAAATGCTCGAATATGTCGAAATGTCTCTCCGGGGACTGAATTAAACTCGGCCGATGTCGCGACGCCGCTCGATTTTCGTCTCGCGAATCGGCCTTGGGGTCGATCGTCGATTACCTTCGCGCGTCGCCGGCTGTCTCCGTCGAGTAATTACCGTTCCGATTGAACGGAATGGGCGAACCTAGGCACGATAGGTTCGCGGCACTGCAATCCGGTCACGGCACGTGCGGCGATTGCGAGTTCTCCACATGCTGCCGCGTGGATGCCCCTGTGCCACGCTCCAGCGTCGCCGAACTCGCGACTCTGCCGCAGCGTTTAACGCTCCGAAACTTTACTCCCTGGATGTCTTAAGTTCGCGTGGAACTTAAGAATTTGCCTTCTATTTTTGCGCAGGACTTCGGCAATGGCTGACTCGCTGGCTACTTATTGGAAAAATGCGTCGATTTCCCTTAAGGCAGGTTGCACCGACAGCGATTGGCGTGAAATTTCTTAACTACGATTAGTTAATCTCGGATTGGCAATTGCGTATCCGAATCAAGAAACTCGGTAGAGTTATAGGCCTTAACGTGCTTTCCTTCCTGCCGAGAAAGAAAGCTGCGTGCTGGAAATCACCGAAATTGTCGTGCTTGAACATGCCCCAATATATTCCGTAATTGGACCTTCTGGAACTTACTGACCAACTGGGCTAGTTACGCATACCTAATACGGGAAGGATATTCTAAAACGGAAACAATCCGCGTCAGTCGAAACGGATGACCTTAGGCGTGTTTCATGCGGTATTGAGTAATTCGATGATAAGGTACTGATACATTAAAATGTTGGTTTTATCTATTTCCACATGGCTCCAGTTCGGCGCCTTCCTTGATCGCCCCTTTTTATTTATAAAACGTGGAGCTAACATTATACAAATATTATGAAAATAATATTCTAAATGTTTTGAAAATATTTCAAATGTCTGCCAAATATTTACAAAAGGCACGATATGCATTAAATATATAAAAAATATAAGAAATATTTTGAGCTACTAGGGGAATTATAAAACGGTAATGTTTCGCTTTTAAAATGCGAGAATATATTTAAATTTATTTGACGCATTCGAATCGCCGCTTCGGGCGCATCGTGTTCGCATTAATGAAGGACATGATCGATTGCAAGCGCTCCCAGGAAAGACGGACAAATTTTCCCTGCCTTATAACTACTCACATTTGCTCGGTCGATACTTCGACCGGTGAGTAATCGTGGAAATCAAGAGTTGGAGTTATGAGCAACGCAGTAATGAATGTAATTGGGAACGTCTCCCAGTCAATCTGAAGGGCGGACTGATGAACTGGAAGACTTCTCACGAAGCGATTTGCTCAACCATTGCGGTAGATAATATCTTTTTCTTAAGATATGAATATTCAGTAAGAAAGATCTGAGAATTCCGTATTCGTAATTTCCTAACAGAACACAATTAGAAGGTTTCAATTTGGATAATTGCTTGGCGTTAAAAAATGTATTTCGCATTTTTTAAGTGGAATAAATAAAAACAATATGACGTTCACTTTTTCGTCAATACTGATTCCACTACTTAAGGGAGTCAGTACACGGAAATGTTTTTAAACTTATTGCTCTGTAGGAAAAAATAGTAGAGAACTTTTTGATTCCTTTTTCAACAAGGATAGCGCATTATAAACCGTTTCCACCATTTCTGTTACACTCTGTATATATCGCGAGTTCTTAAATTAGTAGGTAACGTCGAAATCTGTCATGTCACAAAGCAGTCCGTTCATGCTAAGTGTGAACCAGCTTTGCTGTATAACCGCTAGGTGAAAACAACTCTCGATAGTTGCAAAATATGAGGAACATGGGACTCTCTGCCACTCTTTATTTCTACGGTTCACCGTTTATTAATGAATGTTGTGAATGTGGAATAAGAAACAGAGTATATAAAGTTGTAGTCGTAGCGTACGTTCGAATCCGTTGACTTAGGTTAGGTGGCGTCATTCTTGATGCCGCGCCCGGTCCAGCCCGACTCGGAGTGCTCGGAATAATTACACGATTGGATCACCGACCAAGTCCTGCCTTTGTCCGATCACCTGTCGCAAATATCCGTCATGGTTCTTCTCTAAAAACTGTTACAAACTGTTATTCCTTCCCGAGACTGCTGGGAGCTCGATATTTTGAAAAATCTTTGAGCAGATGTCATTGGACGTGAAAAATCGAGATATCGATCAGGTAGCGGTAAAAGCAAGAAAACATTAACGCGGTTGATTTTGAACGAAATGGAGAGTCGTTGATCGTCTTGGATAGTCGCACAATCCCGTTTTTTAATGCTGATGATCCATTTCTTTGGAATTCGGGAAGCATTGCTGGTTGATGCGCTGGCACTTTCTCGTCGCAGGTAGAGTCAACAGTGTTTAATGCAGGTGTGGCGCGTCGCATATTTTCCGGTATGCTTAAGAAAATTTAATGCTTGAAAGTGAGTACAAGTTCTTCGAAGTAAATTAGTCCATCGACTATTAATGTTGCCATGCTATTCTATACATACGTATAATATTTTCTTTTATTCAATGAATGCTCGTATTTGCACAATGTCATCGGACCGTAATGGTTAAAAAGTTATCGTAAAGTTGAGTTTGATTTAATATCTCGACACGATGTTTGCACCATGGATAGTTTTTATCATGGTCTTAATGCTCCGAAGTCAGAGTTACGCGATGGCTCTGGAGTATCTGGGTTGCTTTAAAAGCTTGGAGTCGAACCTGGACCTTCCTTTCCTAGCCCTCGATCGTGCCAGTAGTCCTTTGGAATGCGTTGCAGAATGCCAGTCTCGGTATTACAAGTAGGTGTATTAAAAAATATTACATTAGTTTATCAAATTGATACATTTAATATTTTAATACATTTAATTTTAATCAGGTTCGCTGGGCTGACGGATGGGCAAAAATGCTACTGTGGTAGCACGTACGGTAGGAATGGAGAGTCACGTGCTTGTACAATTCCATGCGTCACTGATGCGTCTGCCTTTTGTGGATCTCATGAGGCTGTGAGTGTATACGCCACGAGTCAAAAAGGTAAAAATATCAAATGTCATGCAATAACGTCACGTAGAAATCTCTCTTTTTTATAAGTTATTTATTTCTTCTTACAGGACCAAGTCCACCGAGGCGAATACAAGTAAATAGAATGAAACAGGATGAATTTAAAATTACGTGGGAACCTCCTATTCTACCTAATGGTAACGTGACGTTATACAAAGTCCGAGCAGTATCCATCGACACTCACGCCTTTGAACCTTTACCCCCTGTCGAGAGTCGAATACAAGGTGGCACATCCAATGAAACTACGCTTGGAGGTCTCCAACCCGGAACCAAATACAACGTATCGGTTACAGCCGTAAACGAGGAAGGAAATGGCGAACCTGCCTATGCAGTAGAATGGACACCCATTGGACCTCCTTGTAAGCCCGATCCACCAAAATTATTGGGAAAGAGTGACACCACCGTGACCATAATACTGACAAGAAGTTGTAGTGAAAACGGACCCGTAAGCGCATATCAGGTGGTCGTGGTTCGACCAGGAATAATACCGCCATTTGGTGCAGATGCAGTTTTCCCAAATTATAACGACTCGATTCAGGAAGGCCTGGGATACTACGTCACCGGAGAATTCGAGGCACGCGATTTCGAAAAATACGAGCGATTTACGGTGGGAAACGGTGGATACGTAGGTGGATACTACAATGCACCTTTGATGGCAGGCGCACCGATCCCTCGAATAGGAGCGGCAATCGTGTCCAGAGCTAGAGACGAAATGCGATACGGATACTCGGATTTAACAGAAGGCACACGGTATTTACAGCATTCAGCGGAGGCGCGAATGGACTCCACGGCGATCGTCCTCTGCGTGGCCATAGGCATCCTGGGAACGCTCCTGGTTGCTTCGATATTCCTCTATGTACTTCTGAAACGCCGTCATCGAAAGGGCCGGGAGAGAAGTCTGTCCGAGCGCCGAGAACTGACCCTACAAGGGCCGATCTACGAGGTCGACAACGTTGCGTACATCCCCGAAGACGTTCCCGAGAGAGCGGATCACTATCACGAATTGAAGAACAAGGTTTGGAGCATCCCGCGAAATTTCCTCTCCGTGGACGCCGTGGTTCTTCGAAGGGGTCGCTTTGGTACGATCCATTCCGGCACTGTAAAAAGGGATGGTACACCGTCCAGGGTTTGCGTCCACGGCATCTCGGATGGATTGTTGAGGGGATCGGAAAAAAAGATGATGCTGCGGGAGCTCGACGTGTGCATTCGTGCCGGGTCGCACGAATACCTCGCTGGACTCACGGGCACCTGCGAAACGCCCGACACCCTGTACGTCGTCTTCGAAATGCCGCCTTTCACCCTGAAGGATCATCTGCTCGACTCCCGGTCGGGTGGTTCGTTCCCTTCTGATAGAATATTGCCTATCGGAGCCCGCGTGGCGCAAGGGCTGAGGTACCTGGCCTCCCAAAAAATCGCTCACGAGCGTCTCTGCGCCAGAACCGTTGGCATCGCTGAGAACTGGATCCCGAAGATTACTGGCCATGGACTGGCCAAGCACTCCACGGAGGACCTGAAGTATATCCGATGGACCGCCGTCGAGTGTTTCGACCGAAACTCCAGGAGGAACCACCAGCCGGGAGTGGTTTGGGCCTTCGGCGTCCTCATCTGGGAGATGCTCAGCGTCGGAGGCACGCCTTACGCGGATCTGGAGCTCGACAGCGACCTGGAGGAAGCCGTCTCCAGAGGTCTTCGACCCAGACGACCACCCGATGTCCCGGATCCGCTCTACGAGGTCGTTCTTTCCTGCTGGCAGTCTGACCCTGAAGAGCGGCCGTCCTTCGACGAGCTGGTTCGCCTGGTAATTGTGGCTCCTAATATTCTCTTTCCGACCCTGATATTCCGGCTCCTCTTTTTCACCCTCATAACGCGATCTTCTCTTCGTTTGCAGGACACTCTCAGCATCTGTCCGATCACCGCCATCACGGAGCCTTACGTCCCGGAACTCGAATTGAATTAAGAGATCTAGAGCAGCATCTAGTTTTAAGAATTTTTATATACATTCCAACGGGTACACGTACTTAATTGCGACCTACTCGTGCTTGTACAAGTCTATGTACCAGTGTCGGGGGGTGTTTACGAGATCTAACGTAACGTCTTGCACGTGATTTCACGCAACCTAGATAAGGGGGAAATTCGATTATCTCTTTATTTTATTCTCGCTCCGTAATACGCGCTTTTGCTCGTGTTAAGGCTGCGTAACTTGTTCAGTCCCTTGTGTTCAATCGATTTGCGTATATAATCGAGTCTTAAACTTAATTGAAGTAACTAGGCAGTATTTTTACAGATGTCATTATATGAATGAGTTTTTATACCTTTTGTTATAGTACCTAGATCTTTTAATCATCGATATTAGATACTTGCGCGATTTATTGCGTTCAACTTCATGCATTCCATTTTTGGATTTTAAGTTTAAATCGGTACATTCGAACGTTACACAACAAACGCGGTATTGTGCACCGATTGGCGTTCCATATCCGTACAACGAATACCGAACGTTTATACGAAGGAAGGGAATTAAGCCGGCAAAGTTGTACATAATGCAGAGAAATATTTCTATATTTTATGCTTTATATTTATATCGTAATGGCCGACATCAAAGATTTCGAAGACTTCCGGTCCTCGCGCGCTCGTACGTCCTGAACATCAACGTCGATGTTGAATCTACGCGTTTCAATGTGGTACACCAAGGAGGGAGAAGCAAGTACAAAGTTTAACGAGACTTACTCGGTATCGCATCTCGCTAATTTAATTAATTCTAGCGAACAAATGTCTCGCGTCGTCGCCAACGTCGACGTCCGATTAACGCATACATACTTAATTCACCGCCTTTGTATTCGAAGCACCGGAGAAGACCAATGCCGATCTCAAATGTTTTTCACCGAATGCGAACATAATGCACGCAACGATCTGACTAATTTTAGTACACATTAATTATATACGTATTAATTCCCATTACAATGGACACCACGAATTAACGAATCGGAAGGTCACGCGTGGGCGCGGGGTATGTAATATATATACACACGTCTTGAAATAGCGACAATGACGATGTAACATCGAACCAGGTTGTACATTAAATGGCATTTGACCCCAAGAATTATGTTTTGGGCGTTGATTAGTGATGCGACGAGTCGAGTATTTTAGCTCGTTAATCGAGTCGTTTTCCTCGCCAACTCGCAATAGACTCAACTCACCGCGTCGAATGTATGCGTTCCGAGTTATCGCCTCGAGTCCAAGCTCTTATTGGCAATGCGTTCGAATTCGAGTAACTCGAGTCGGTAAAGTATTCGACTCGTCGCATCCCTATTGTCGACGCGCGGTCATCTCGTCAGTCACGAAGAAGACGCAAGCAAAAGTTCCTGCAAGATAAGTCGGTACACCTCGGATCTCCCCGGCATTTCAAGAAACGTCCAGAGTCAAGGGAACGTCTTCGAGGGCCAACTCATACTTGAAGAGCAACTTCAGGAAGAGGAGCCCCGGAAATGGCCGCTACGTCGGTTGCGAGGACATCTTGCTGGAGTGCGAGTGAGTGGGTTTTGGACCAACGACGGTCGGCGGTTTTCCGGTCGAGCGACACAAAAGTTGTCTATAAGCTTCCCTGTAGAGTTTATTCGTCCCGGCGTAGATGAAGGGGTTGACGACCGAGGATGCCCAGGCGAGGACGGACGCGACCACGTGCAAGATCGGGATCCTCATCTTGTCGTCGATCACGTTGACCAGCATCAGGGGCATGAAGCAGAGCAGGAAGCAAAGGAAGATGGTGAGCATCAGCCTGGTCACCTTGGAGTCTTCTCTTCGCTTGAATCCGCAATTCCCGTTCCTGCGACCGTGGGCTTCCAGGTTCTTGCGGCTGGCGCGAACCTTCCAGTAGATGCAGAGGTACGAGACGATGATGACCACGCAGGGCACGACGATGCCCAGCAGGAAAAGGAACTTTTTCGGACTCTTGCCGTCCTTCTTCAGGATCGTGCAGGAGAAGGTCGCCGCGTCCAGGCCCAGGGTCCCCCAGGCGTCCACCAGGGGTGGGATCAGCAACGAGAAGCTCAGGGTCCAGATGGCGATCAGCATAGCCGTGATGCCGTGCGGCGTGTACAGCCTGGCGTAGATCTCCGACTTGGAGATCAGGACGTACCTGAAGAGAACCTTCCGTTACCGCTAAAAGTACCGATTTCAACATTTTTATTTAAAAGTATCTCTTCAATTTTCTCGTCTCCCCTCGATCGATCTTTCCGCGTTTCCTGTGATACGTATAACATTAATTCCGCATTATTCATCCATCCAGCCTTCATCGATAAATCTGCAGATACGAACGCTGGATATATCCGGCGTCCATCAAAGGACCTGCAGATCCGCGCAATGTGTACCTTTTCGACGCGGGGCTCTGTTTAGTGAGCGGCGCCGGAACGAAAGGGTTAAAAATAATTCCGTCTACTATAGCCCATTCTAAATCGACCATTACTTGCCCTCGCTTGACCAAAGCATAAGTTATATTTAAAAACCAACCCCAATAGAAATAGGTATATATAAACTGTCGATAATTTTAGCGTTATAATCATTTAACAACGGGGTATCTTCAGCCTCACCTGTTCACCGTGATCGCCACCATGCTGAGCAAGGAAACGGCGACATTGCCGTAGAAGAAGACGGGGAAGATGCGGCATAAAGTCTCCCCGAGGACCCAGGCCTCGTTTAAGTATCTGCTGGCAGTTAGAGGAAGATTCACCCCCGCGAAGATCAGGTCGGAGACGCTCAGGCTGATTACGAAGGCGGTGGTCGCGTGCCTCCTCAGTCTAGCGTACCGGAGGAGGGCCAAAACCGTTATCAGGTTACCTGTAAAATCACCTCGATTGAAGCCGTCGAACCCTTCGCGGGATCAAGAGGAATCAAGAGGAATCGGGGTCGGAAAACGCGTTCGCGAGAACTCTCGGTACTCGTTGCCGTCTGGACGAGCACAGTGCCTCTCGTTGTTCGCTTTAGCGATACCAAAGTTGATATCGATACCGCAGCGACTGCTGCAATGCATCGCCCAGGCCCTCCTCGGTGTTCTCGAGGAAATCGTTTCGTCGATATCGCAACAACGACTTCTTACGTTGCGATGGGACCACGCGCGTTACTCGTCACACGGTTTTGCAACGAATCTTAACATCTAATCGACATCACCGAAACGTTGTCACAATTTTAAAGTCCAACGTGTCTCGTTACCGAATCGCATCGCTGTTTATCGTACGAAACCAAAGGCAAATCGTTTTCACGATTTCCGAGTGAATGGCACAATTCATCAAAGCGTACTCAGGCAATGGTGATCCATTTGGTGGCCATATATAAACGTCTTTATCTGTCAAAGCGTTGAAAAGGACACGCATTAGCGTTAACTGCACGAGGAACGTTTTCCTCGGACAAGAGTTTGAACACGTCCGTGATATCTATTTCTTATTGGCCTTGAACCGTTCTCCTTTCTTATACGAAAAAAAAAACGCGCACGGTTCTCTTCATTTCCGATTGTCGTTTGATTCGATATTTCTTACCGCAATGATTCTCAAAATCCAATCCTAAATAGAAAATAAATACAAGGATGTAATCGGAGATGTTTAATCAATTTCTGACAAAAGAGACCCGTGAAGGCGGGCCAGCGGCGCTTAACGCGGCGGAAGAGCTCTCGTTAACGATCGTTGAATCCTCGCGGATTTTATCGTTGATTAAAACGTTAAGTCGATTAAATCGTTTCCAGCACCGAAAGACGCGCGTTCGAGAGCGAGATCGACCTCGTGGGCGCAAAGAGGAATAGAAAGATCCGAAGTCGAGGTACCTAGAACGCCGACGACGCTGAAGACGATGGCGCAGACGGCGGCGAAGACCGTGGCCGACCTGGGGAAGTGCCGAGGGTACTCGTCGAGCGAGTGGTTCCCGTTGAGCTCCATGCCGGTCCTCCCGCTCGCATCCTCCGCCCTCTCCCGTCCGCTGGTCGCTACGACGGCGACGGGAGGTCTTATCTCCGAGTGACCGACCCGTTTCCCTCTTTCGCTCTCCGGAGAGGAGCCGCGTCCCGGTGGACCGGCGGGACTCCTCGTCCCCCGGAATGGACGGAGGCGCGTTCCGTTATCGGGCGAGTCCGCTTTTTGCGATCGACTCGGCGTCGGGTAAACCGCGTCAAATGGCAAGAACCGTCGAATTGGAGACACGGGAAGCTGCGTGGCGCCAAATGGACGGAAACGTCAAACTTGAAAAACCCGATAAAACGAGGGACCACCGTGTTGCGCCAGTTTCAAAATCACAATGTACCGGCAAAGACGAGAAATCACCGAGGAACGTCACGGACGCGAAACCACGGAACAAAACCACGTCGAAGACGAGAAAGCACTAAATCGCGCCAAATAACGAGGACGGGAAAAATAAGGGACCACCGATGATCACGGAAGAAGAGACGCCGGGCAGACGGCGCGGCGTCGACTGGCGTCGACCGTCCGATCGAGAGCGAGCAAGAGCGAGCGCGGCCCCCGACTCGGTTCCCTCTCGTTCCCCGAGTTCCCCCGGTCGGCCGCGGTCCCGGACTCGGACTCGATCGGGCGGCGGACCAGCTGCCAACCCCCGAAGCCAAAGAACAATCGCGAGGCGAGCATCCACGGTAAATAGGACCGACCCCCGAGAGCTACCCCGAGCAAGGGGTCCGGGACCCTTAACTCGGCAAATATCCTTTATACCCCTCCTTATCTCGCAGCTTACGGCTCGACGTCTCTATCGCTTCGCTCTTTATCCTCCGTTTGGCACGTTTCCGCTTCGTCGACCGACTTGGCTCTCCTGGCCGTAATGAACGTACGAAAGGATTTAATGAAATTTAAACTTCGTCCGTGACATCAGTTTTTGGAATATTTTAATTCGAGAAGAAGTTCGTTCCTCTCGGAAATCGCGGCGAAAGGAAATCCTGACGTTTAATGACGACGAATAATGCTTTACAAAGAATCCGAGTGACTGGACTTCCTTGCCGCAATCGTGGTTTTCGTTGCCGGCGAATCCGTTAACTTTTATCGGTTGGCCGATTAGTGGCATTATTATCAATGGGCTCGCGTTCCACGAATATCGTTACCATGCGAATAATGCGTATCATATGTGTAATCGCTTTTAACGCTCGGTCAATTTTTCGTTAGATATCGTCTCCGATAAGACCGAATTCTTCGATGCAACGACAAAACGTCCCGGCTACTTTTCGAGTAAGCATTCCAGGGACGAAAAACTCGTTTCCTTTGGTTTCCTCGTTTCCTTCCACCGCGATATGCCGATCTGCCGGGGACTATCTCCTTGTATTCGGGTCGGCACGAAAAGAGAGGCGAACCCTTAAAAGCCGAAAAGCAAATAGAGTGCAAGCAATGGTAGGAGCGGAGTCGTGCCTACTTCCGTGAATAGATAAGTAGGAGAATGCGTCATCCCAAATTGTGTTCTACGAAACGTTCCTCTTTTAAATTCGTAAAACGAATCCACGCGAAACGGACCCTCCGCGTAAATTAAGGGACGACCGTACCTACGGGCACGTTGCGACAAATACGAACATATGACGGACAAATATAGACATAAACGCGATAGTCGCAGATAAATTCGAAGGAAACGAGCGTAGCCCCTAATCGGCCTCGCGATACGTTCGCTCGATAAGAAGGCGTTTAACTCGACTTGGCCAGGAGGCGATCGGGCAACATGGAAACCCTTTCTCGGGCTCTCCTCCCTTGTCCCTTGACGGCGACTGGAAAGGTTCCGGGCAAGTAGACTTTGAATGCGAGCATTGTGCACCCCCCCAGGGAACGCCGGCCCGGTGCTCCTCTTCCACGCTCCCTTCCGACGCAACAGAGTCTCCATTCACGGGCGAGACCTCGCTGCAAGCTGCCCACCATTTTTACCCCGAGCCCTGTACCTAGAATTCCACGTATCGTTAACTCGATCATTTTTTCTCATTGTTAACGCATTATCGATGCAAAGGAGACAAGGCACGCTCCTAAGGTCCTATTTTGTCTCGCTCCGCGCTTTCCGAAACGCCGCCGTTAAAGGGCTATACTCTCGGAAATCGGTGAAAACGGTTTCCTTCTTTGAGAACCGATTGCCTTTGATTTCCCGCGATAAAGAACAATGCGATTCGGTAACGAGGGACGATCGGCCTTAAATACGTCGACTTTATGATTTCGGAACAACCAGCAACGGGGAAGGCAGGCTCTCGAGGCGGAGACTGAATTTTGCGAAAGCCGTGCGAATTAATCGTAGGATAAAAAATTGAGAAGACTGAGCAGGGGAAACTGAAGAAACAAGGGTGAATTGCCGTCCGCCCGGCGGGGGATTTTAATTCGCCCGAGGGGCACAATGGAGTTCCGGCATATTGTCCGGGTGTATTGGAAAGAAGCCATTCTACGAGTCGCCGGGGTGTTCTCTCCGCAGCTGCGATCGCAGCCTGCGGACCGTTTCGGAGTGGATAATCTCGAGGAAGCGGGAAAATGTTGTTTCTTCCCCCGTCCCGATAAGGACCGAGCGAATTTCCGGTGCCGGAAGTGGGAAGCGACCCGCGTTAGCCGCGATTTATCGTTTTACCGGGTCCATCGGTTTCGCGTAAAGTCTTAAAAGCGGAGAAAGAAAACGATCGACGAGCGAACGTTGAATTTCTGACGTCGAGTAGGCTCTACTTAACGCTTTTCTTTTATTCCTCTTTGTAATATAATTTTCTCGAGGGTACATTCGTAACAAAGTATTAAATATAGGATTAAGACGATGCGAAAGTGACACCTAAGGGGTCGATCGTGCCGTCACCGGTTTTTTTCGATGGTAATTAAGTAAATAAACGAAAGTTATATTGTTTCTGGCGGAAAAGTCGGTGCCGGTACGTGGGCAAACGGCCTTACAGCCTCCATGTACACGTAGGAGAGTTTCCGACGTGCCGGTACTCATTCGCCGATTCGCAGAAAAATCTCATAAACGAGACCCCATAGATGCCGCTTTCGTCCCACCTCGAGGGGTTTTGGTGTAAGTATTGCGAGTCGGCGTCTGGCCGTCCGTTGCAGACGCGCCGACGGTGGGTTCGTCCGTCAGCCGCCGAACGGGGTGATTATGCACTTATGTTACGACGAACGACGAGGGTCGACGCGTTTTGAATTACCGCTCTTCGATTTCTTTTCCTCTCTTTTTCGTTCTAGGCCGAGGCAGCTAATCGACGAATCGGCCGAAGCGACGATACGTCCGGCGCCGTCGAATCGCCGCCATACGAGTCATCGCCGAGAGATAGACCCGGATGAGTCGGTGCTCCTTTTTGAAAGGACCTCCCGCTGGACCTCGAGGTAGAAAAGAGACCGGAAGTGGCGTCCTCCCACGCTCGGGGAAGGGACGACCTCGAGGTCGCTATCACGTGGTCCATGAAAGCGGGCCTACCGGGCCCGGCGTCGCGAAAATCGACGCCGACGACGACTTCGACCGGAGACCCGGACCTCTAGGAGGAGCACCGTCTGTACAGCTGGGACTTGGTCTCGATCTCCTGGAGGTGTCGGTCGATCTCGGCGGTGAGGGAGTCGACCTCGCCGGTGAGATCGCTCAGCATCCTCTCGTTCTCCTTGTAGACGCCGTCCATGCCGTCCAGGTCCTTGAACTTGGTCGAGGTGTCGGCGGTGAGCTCGGACGCCCTCTGGAGAAGCCTCTTGGCGCGCTGGATGTCGTCCCTGCTCTTGTTGGCCCGATGGTCCAGGAGGCCGTTGGCTTTCTTGTACTCGGCGGCCAGACGGTCGGTCTTGGCGTCGACGTCCCGGGCCTCCTGGGCGACCTTCCGGGCCTCCACGCCGATCTCCTGGTTGATCACGAAATCGTTCTTCACCGAGTCGGTCTGCAGCCGCTTGAGGCGGCCGTCCAGCGCCTCGACGGCGCGCGTCGTGTTGTCCGCTTTCTTTTGGGCCCGACCCGTCTCCTGGACGATGTCCGCCAGATCCCGTTCGGAGAGGGCCACGTCCTTCTCGGCCTTGTCGATGGCTGCCTGAGCCTGCTCCTGGGCCTGCTGGGTGTCGCTAAGCAGGTCGACCACCTTGCCCGCCAGGGTCTGCCCGTTGACCGCCTCGTTTTTCGCGGAGCTCGCCCTGGACGCCAGTTCCTTCGCCACCTCGATGTCGTCGGCCGTGTCCTTCAGGATCTTCTCCGAGTCCGTCAGCGAGACGACGATGCCGCTGATCCTGCCCGCCAACCGCTTGATCTCGTCCGGCTGCAGCTCGATGTTCGTCGCCAGCACCTGCTCCGCCAGGTCGCGAACCATCGCCGGCGTCGGCTGGTCCTCCTTCAGGATCGCCCAGATCTTCTCGTTCGCCTCGGCTAAAGCCTTCGCCAGGACTTCCGTGCGGTTGCGGGCCACCTGCGCGTAGTTGAACGCGTCCTGGCTGTTCGACCTGGCCGCGGTCGCGTCCTGCTTCGTCTCGATCATCTGCAACGAGGAAACGTGCTTTCTAACGATTATTACTCACCGCACCCAGGATCGAGGAAACCGGATTTCCTCTTTCGGCACTTCTATGAACGTGCCCTGATAAAAATCGATGGAAATTTTCATACACTTTTACATACCTCATAAATAAAGGTTGCCACAGAAAAACGTCAAATGGAATAATTACAAATTAAAAAATGTATAAATACACATAACATTGTAATATACACCATATCGGTGTATTTATACTCAAATTAAATGTAACACTATATTATAATTCTCTTTAACGGACAGACGCTAAATGTGATGTTACAGGGGCAACGTAATAGGCGTCGAAATAACTAATGATTGAGGGTGTAAATTTACAGGAGCATTTTTATCAGTGTACGACTTATGCGACACTTACCTTGACCCTTTTTGTCCTAACGAAAAAAATCGGAAACTAACTGGATAACTACCCCCACGAAAAGCCCCCGATGGATCATTCCGAATTTACTCACGTTCCTGAGAAGTTGCTCGGCCTCGTCCTTGTGGGCCTTGATTTGGACCGCTTGGTTCCTGGCCACATCGAGAGCCTGATTGGCCTTGGTGACGGCGCCAAGATCGCAGGACAACCCCCCGCAGAAACCGCAGGCGGCACCCCCGCACAGAGCGCTGCAATCCGTCACGTTTTCTCCGCACATCGCGAGATTGACCAAGGGCATGTCCCGGTCGACGTCCTCCAGTTTTCCTCGTAGTTCCACCAGCGCCTCCTTGTTCCTGCGCTGCGCCTCGTCCACGGCGGCCGAGTTCTTGGCGAGCAAGTTCTCGGTGTGCTTCCGGTACCGCTCGGCATCGCCCAGAATGCTGGTGGTGCCATTGGCCGTCTTCTCGGCCTGGCGGGACTGGTCGGCCATCTGTAGGGTGACATTGAGAGCCCCCTGCACGTTGGCCTCCTGCAACCTGGTGGCGTTCTCCCTGAGCTCGTTCGCTCCACGATGCAGCCCATTGGTTCGGTTCTTCATGTTCTTCAGGGCCGCGTCCGCCAAGCTGACCTTCTGGCCGACGCTCTCGAGGAGGTCGTCGACCTTGTTGAGGAGATCTCCCGAGTTGGAGACCCCTGCGCCCAGCTTGTTGGCTAGCTCTGCCAGCTCGTCGAGGTCCTGGCTGCGCACGGTAGCGTTTGCGACGAGATCTCGTACCCGGTCCAAACTCGTCAGCATGTTCTCGAACTCCTGACTGTACACCCCGGTGGTTCCAACTTTCTGAATGCGCGAGGCCTCGGCGATGACGGCGTCGGTCCTGTTCCGCAGACCATGAAGAGCGAGGTCCCAGTTGTCGAAGCACTCCCCGCAGGGGCTGCAATTTGGCGCGAACCCGATGTAGCTGCGGTCGCACCTGTCGCACTTCTCGCCGCCGATGCCCCGGTGGCAGGCGCAGGCCCCGGTGTCGCGGTCGCACTGCTGGCTGGCCGAGCCGACGAGATCGCAGTCACAGGGGTAGCACTCGACGTTGGGGTTGCCCCAGAAATTGGCCTGGCACTCGTTGCACCTCCTGCCACCAAAGCCGGGCCGGCACTCGCAGGTGCCGTCGTAGGGGTTGCAGCGATCGGACACGCTACCGACGGCGTCGCACCCGCATGGATCGCAGCCCTCGCCGCTGGCGATGCGCCAGTGGTTTTCCTCGCAGGCGTCGCAGAGTCGGCCGACCACGTGAGGCAGGCAAGGACACTGGCCGGTCCGGTGGTCGCAGGGTCCTGCAGCCCGGTCAGTCCCCAGGACGTCGCACTGGCAGTCCTGGCAGTCCTGCCTAGTCGCGTCCCCGTAGAACCCGGCCCTGCAGACCTGGCAGTGGGCGCCGTCCGTGTCGTGGAGGCAGCGCAAGCAGCGCCCGGTCACCGGGTCGCAGTTTCCGGATTGGGCCAGGTCGGTGTTGTTGCTGCAGTCGCAGGCGATGCATCCGCCTCCGGCGACCTCCGGGTTGCCGTAGTAGTTGTCGGCACAGCCCTCGCACCGCGGCCCCGAGTAGCCCCGGTAGCACTCGCAGATCACGTCGTGGGTCACCGAGTCCAGAGAGCAGCTGTCGGCGTAGGAGTGGCCCGAGTCCCGGCTACCCGGGCACGGGCACGACCTGCAGGGGATGTCCACGCCGATGCGAGGGTCGCCGTAGAAGGACTCGACGCACCTGTCGCAAGTTCGCCCTGTCGTATTATCACGGCACTCGATGCAGGCTCCCGTCTTCGAGTCGCAGTTGTCCGCGTGGCCGTTGCACTCGCACCGCTGGCAGTGCGGGAAGTTCCAGAAGCCGGGCTCGCACTGACCGCAGGTGCGGCCGTAAGTGTTGGGTCGGCACTTACACCTGCCGGTCTCCACGTCGCAGAAGTTGTCCAGAGCGCCAACGCTGTCGCAGTCGCAGGGAACGCAGCCCTCGGGACCGAATCCGTAGGTCCCGGGCGCGCAGCGGTCGCAGCGACGACCCACCACGTTTGGCTTGCAGGGGCAAATTCCGCCGTATTGCTTACACAGCAGACTGTGGGAGCCCGTTCGGTTGCATTCGCAGGCTACAAAAAGGGAACGCAATGGAGTTATTAACATCGTCCACGGGATAACTAACCTCTACGTCGGTTCGCCTCGACTTACCGTGAGCACCATCGAACACGTAGTACCCTATGCTGTTGTGGAACTTTCCGCAAATCTCGATCAGGTCGTTTCGATAGCCGCCCACCTCGTCCAGGAACTCGTTACAGCGATACCTCTCGTACTCCTGACGACGCAGCTCGCCCAGTCCGGACTCGCTGAAGAACGGGATGGTGTCTATCCGGGGTCTGAGAACGATCTAAAAAGTGGCATACGTAGATGACGACCTTAGGTAACCGTATTTGGATCCATCTGTAGTTTTACTTACCGAATCCACCAGTATCGACGCGGATGGAGTGTCCAGGTGTCCTCCGTACTTCCGGAACTGCAGCATGATGTTGTACCGCTTGCCCTCTTCCAAACAAACCGACGGAATTGCCACGGCACTGTGAGAGTTCGCCAACAGCTGCACTCGAAGACGATCGTCGTCGGGTCTCCAATCTACGCAAGGACCCTCTCTGTCTACCCGGCCGTCTCGTTCGATGATGATCTGCACGTCCTCCCAGGCGCCAGGGTGAACCGGCTCGTAACGGACGACGATGTCGTACCACATCGACCTACGGATGTCATCTACGGTGAAGTTCAACGTGGAGCCTTCCAACGCCTTCATGAATCCAATTCCGGTCCAGGTGTTGTTCCTTCCGTCTCTGAACGGTTCTCTAATGACCACTTGGCAATTCTACGACGATAAGTGAAAGACGGATATTTATACATATTGCTGAAATAGAGGTACAAACATCCTAATCGCAAAACCACGTACATCCGTTGCTCTGGACAACTCTCCCTCGTAGACGAGGAAATCCAACGAGCCGGTGTAGTAGCTCTGGTCCGGTTGGTTGCAAGTCCTGCCCGCAACGTTAGGTCTGCAGCGACATTGGCCGGTTATGACGTCGCAAGAGTTCTCGTAGGCGCCACCAGGATCGCAGTCGCAAGGCTTGCAGCCGTCGTGCTCGTCCGACAGTCCCCAGTACTCTGGTAGACACTGGTTGCAGTCTCTTGCAGTGACGTACCTCTTACAGGTGCACTCGCCGGTGATCGTGTTGCATCCCTGATTGTCAATGGTACCGAGAGTATTGCAGGTACAAGCTGGAATAAGCAAGTTCTGCGTGAGATCATGCACTTGCGACCCTATAAAAGTCGCTCCAATGAAGACACCTTACCTTGACACCCTTCGGGATTGTTAAGATCGAAATTCCAGAATCCGTTTTTGCAGCGGTCGCAGCGCCGACCCTCGACGTTGGCTTTGCAGTGACAACGTCCAGACTCATCACCACTTAAAGGATCGGTTCTAGAGTCGCAGATTCCGTCGTCCAAGGAGCCGCTAGGATCACAGTCGCAGGCTGCGAAAAAGTTGCAAGTTAACGTTAAGCCGATAAGACTTCCGGAGTAGTTCCAAAGCGATTGGTCGACCCACGTTAAAGACAACTTACGCTGGCAGGCATCAGGATCCGAGATATCCTTGCTGACGTCGTGGTAGTAGAACGGTTTGCACTGCTCGCAATTTTGCCCCCGCGTATTGTGCTGACAATCGTCGCAAACACCTCCGGATACCCTGCCGGACCTCTCGTAGACAGCCTCGTCGAAGTGGCAGGACGTCGTGTGGCCATTACAATTACACCTCCTACAAGCATTTGTCTGCTTGCCCACCGCAGGTTTCCAGGGCAAGTCGTTGTAGAAATCCTCGCAGTTCTCGCAGTTGAGGCCCTTGGTGTTGTGGGTGCACTCGCATCTGCCGTGTACCATGTCCTCCTCGTGGACGACGCCCGGAAGAGGCAAGCACCTCGAGGCGTGGCCGTAACAGGAACAGGATCCACGAACGACCATATCCTGGATGGAGTAGTAATACTTCTCTCGGATCTCCGCGCGATCGTCCAGGAGGTCGTCGCCGAGGGTGTGCAGCCTCGTGAAGTTGATCCTGAGGTTGGTCATCTTCAGGAGGTTCTGCACCTCCTTCGAGTACGGGTTGTCGATCTGCAGATTCGGCGGTAGGACCCTGAAGATGATCTCCCCACCGGAGGACGGAGCCACGTTCGAGTACCTTGACTCGCAGATCACGTCGGTCAGTTTCCTCGGAGAGGTCGTGGGAACCCCGGGGAAGGACTGCTCGCAGTCGTGGGCAAAGTATCGGTACACCTGCCACGTTTTGCCGAAATCGTAGGATCTCTCGATCAACATGGCCGCCGGTCGGAAGGTTTGGAAACGGATGATGATGTGGGTGAAGTGAAATTCAGCCTCCAGGTCTAGACGCAGGGTGACGTTCTCCACGCCGTTCTCCGCCTGCCACCAGGTCTCTACGGATTTCTTGCGACTTGCAAGAAAAAGAAACGGGTGAATACCAAAATTTCAACCCGAACGATTCCGGACTATCTCTGTCTCTCTTTTTCTCTCACATACTCCCAACATACTCACTTGCTGATGATGTTTTCCACATTGTGTTGCTTTTTGGGTAGCGAGGCGTCGCAAAAGAAGCACTTTTTTCTCTCCTTCAGGTGGGAGACTATGCAAAATCTCTCAGGTCCTCTCAGTCCGCAGGTGGAGGAGGCCGAAAGTCGATCCTTTCGTCCGATGAGCAGATTCCCGGTTGCAGGATAACAGGAACTCTGTTCGCAGGGGTGAGGCCTCTTCGCGTGAGGACCTGATGGCATGGAACGGACTTCGTTACGACCAAGAACGCTGGATAGTTGGACCTTTCGTTCCTTGAGATAGGCGATTCGGACACGAGAAAAAGGGGAGTCCGGAATCGAGAGTGCAGGGCAGAACGGGAAAACGACGGCAAGCAAGGGAGCGAGTTAGGGTTCCCAAAAGTCCTGAACCTGTATCGGGGAGGGCCTCCGAGGGGCGGTGGTTGGACATCCCTACCCACGTTGAGTCAACGTATTCAATGTTCGCGTTAAACCCATTTGAAAGGGGACATTGCATATTCATCGAACATCCGCTGTCACCTGTTGAACATACTTAGCATGCCCAACATACCCTGGACCTCCCCACGCTGCACTTGTCGTGTAAGAAATGGTCTTTGCATGGGTTTCATTTCAACCCCCATTGAACGCGTCGTGTCACGTGGGTAGAGATACGCGGACGTGCCGGATTTATTCGTACTAATTTAGGTTAGGTCTAAGGCTCCGAGGCTCCTGAGGGTCCTCTCGAGGGAGGCGGGTAATAAAGCGGGGCGTGGGGTTGTTTCATTTGAGTCCTGGAGGACATGGGTGACAAAGCAATCGGGTCGTGTCATCGGGCATCGTGCGATCGAGTTTCCACTGCAAGAACCAAGGGGGCTACCTCTCGCTCTGGGATTCACCGAGGCAGGCCAGTAGGGACGTTCGGTCATCGCCTCCGCAGGTAGCATGTCGCCACGTTGGCTCGGTCCTAGAACACCCCCTTAACTTACACAGGACCCTTAGTGCACCCCACCTGTCCCGAGGCCGCCCTCGTGCCTGGACTCTCCGCCAATTCGCGAGTGGCTGGGACTCGAACTTTTCACCGAAGAGACCCCCGAATCGTGCCACACCCGAGAACCACCCCTTGCGGCTCTCGTACGAGGAATTTGAAAAGGTTTCCTGCATTTTGCGAGGCGTCGACACGACGAAATACGTTCGTTACGTGAGATAAGGTCTTACCTCTTGCTGGGACTCGACGTTCTCCGTTGTACTGCTCATTCGTCGAACCTGTTGAAACGGAAGAAAAGCATTCGGTTAGAAGGGCAAAGTGATTTCTTTGAGCGTTGTTTGATACGAAACGGGTGGGTGAATCGTGGAGTCCTCTTTTTCGAGAAAGGGTCCCCTTATCGAGCGCCGTTCCACATCGCTATCACTCGCCGAGGCGGATGTTTACGATAGGAAGCGTCCTCTCGTGAATATCCTGGATGTTGGTTACTCGACTCCGTCAAATAAGCGAGGAAACGCTTTCCGTGCTTTGTATCTATTCCCCTTCCTCAATTTACACGGTTTCGAAATGTCATTATTTTTTTTTTTAAGCTATTTAAAATAAACATGTATTTCTAAAGTTTTCAATATTTTTTCTTTTGTCCCGATAGACCATATTCGCGCGATTTTCATTCGCTTAAAACGAATCCACGTGGAACGGATACTCCGCGTAAATTGAGGGACGGGGGTAGTTTTTAGTTTTCGACGGCGCGAGTTTCGACCTCACTTCGAAACGAACGCGAAGACTTCCATTTACATTTCGTTCCGCGCGAAGAAGGTACTTCGGAGGGGACGTTTATATTTCGGGACTAAAATAATCTATCGGGTTGAGGACGGGGTCACGGGGTCGAAGCGGTATCTAATCGCGGAGGATAAAGTCACGGAGTCTTGCGAGGGGTTTCGGTGGAAATTAGAGTAAAGTGCTTTCAACCCGTTTCCGGCCCTTTCAGATAAACCGCCCCGCTTCGTTCGCATCGTTTCCCAGCTTCCGGATTGCGGCGAAATTGTAACCGATTGAGTATCGAGATCGTTTTTGATTATTATCGCCCTTATACGAACGTGATTTACTACCGCTTGTGCCCTTCGTGCATTTCAAAAACTTGCAAGTAACCGTATGAGTATTTACCTAAGGAGACGACGACGAAGAGGATAACCGTGAAAGCGAGACGATGCATGATTGATTTGGTCCAATCAACCGATCGCATCCTCCAAACGCATCGACGAAAGCCGATCTTAACACAAGGGCTACGTTTTCCCTTTCTCCCTCCGCTCTGAATAGAAGAGAAACAACTTTTCGTTAAAAAGTTTCACGCAAAGTATGGCAGTATACGAATACAATAACGATAAATTGGCAACACTGACCAACTACCACGAGAAGTTTCGCTTTAAAAATCCGGAGACTCACCAGACGTTCCACTCACTCCTCGGTCCGAGAAGTTCCCATCGAGATGCAGGGCGCGTAGCACGTGTTCCTTCCTTACCGACCGAGACGCGTATCAAATCTCGTACCCGAATGGCACCGGCGCGGATGCGAGTGCGTGCGGACTGTTGCGCACCTGCTCTCGGCCCGGTTGTTCCGGGTCTTGGATGCGCCGTGCACGGAGGCGATCGGGTCGGTCGGATCGGCAAGAGTCGCCGGGACGCTTCTCGTTAGGAGGCTGCACCGGTACTCGGCCCTGCTCGGACCGCGTCGGAGCAGCCGGAGACGAGAGTACTGGCGGCGCCGGAGAGAGAGCAGGAGAGCGCTCGACGCGACCCGAGGTCGGCCGAACCGGCCCGAAGCCGCCCGAAGTCGAAGGGACGCTATCTCGGAGCGCTCGTCGCTTATGGTAACTTTTCCTCTTTGGATCCGTGTATGGGTTTATGTGTCATTGCGCTTTCAAAACGGACCAACGTTCCGATGATTTTCCCCAATGGTCGCTCATCCGACCACCGGCGTTGCTTAAGATTGCGAATGGCCGTTAATTAAAGTAAGTTTATCAGAGAACGAGAAGACGTATGAAACATTTGCCTACGGGCTGTTTTATCTCAAGCTTTACGGAGAATTTGAGTGAAAATAAGTTTAATAATAACGGTTATACGTTTTTATCACGAATACCCCTGTCGTCGTTGTCGGGCGAACAAAATGGAGCTTGTAGTCGTTTTTCGACGATCTTTCCTTAAAAAATGGCGGAGAAAGGCATCGCGATCCCAGCGGCAATGCCGGTCGCGAATGTTTCCGGGAAACCGACTGTCGCTTTGGGCTTCGTCGTCTTACGCCAGATGTTTCGAGAAGCTTTACTTAGGGCCGAAACTCGAGGCTGTCTAACTACCTACCGTGCACTTGACCACCGGGAACGAGACGGATTCTGAGGTCCCTTTGTTGCGTTAAATCTCCCTTTGTGGGCACAAGGACGCGCGATAAACCACCGCTGCCGAATTCCTCATCTCCGTTTTTCTCTCTCGAAAATCGAGTCCTTCCTTTCATTAGAACGTTTAAAAGGCAAATCTATTCGAGTATTATTTTTTAATTTCTCGAAAAATTTCCTGACACTCCAAGCGTTTTCCGAGGAAAGGCCATTTCTTTGTCAAAGCTCCAGACTTTTCTACAAACGGAGGCTTCGGTTTGGGTTCACGAGCAATGGAGACGGAAGCCGAACCTATGGGGACGCCTTTTTCTCCCATCGTCCATCGGTCTGCTTTATTTCGGTCCTTAAGAGGAGGATCTATTAATACTTCTTCCGCGGCGTGGGCGGGTCGAGGAACTGCGTTTACCGGCCGTTGTATGCCAACGAATTTATTTTACCGACCCTGCTCCCTTCTTCAACTTATTCTCTCATTTATAATACCAATGTTCATTTTAATGATTCAATCAAATATTTTTCTGCGTCCGTTCCGGTTACTTGTAATTGATTTCTCGAACGACCGATCCTCCAAATCCTGAGGTAGCTATCGAGAGATGTAAATCGAGTCCAAAGCGATCCGGTGAACCCGATCATCGATCTCCTCGTGAAACGATATAGGCTTCGCATGAATAAACAAGACGCCGGTGATGTGCGATATCTTTCTCCCTCTTTAGTCCACAGAAAAATCCGCGTCCGAGAAGCGGCAATATCGAGCCTTACGAATGCATCCCACCCACGCAATCGCAACGTATCGCTGCAATGAATGAAAGACGAGCTACAACTTATAACTTAATATCGCGATGACGCCTCTCTAGGCGAACAGAGTCATATTATGAACATAAGTAACCAAATCGAGTGCCGAACCGTTATTCGGTCTACTAATAGCCAGTTCATTTTTATCACGAATTTCTTAATAATTGATTAATTTATATAAAACTCTATTTCTAGGGTCAGGAGCTCAAACGAGTAATCGAAAATTGGAGTTGCCAGGATTTCACTCAGTCGTGATCCGGACTCTACAAAAAGGGACGTAAGTGTATATTTGGCGTATATTCTCTCCCGAGTTTCCTGATTTTAACTCGTGCGTTGTGGGAACGTCTCTCGAGACGCGAAGCAAAGAGCGGTCCACGTTCACACGTGCGGCACATTTGTTCGCCTCCGCCTCGGCCGCCCCTTTTTCTCTCCGATTCCCTTATCCTAAGGGCTGCCGAACGAGAGCGAAAGCGAGGACGACGAGAACCGTGACCCGGTGAGGCAACTTACGGCGAAGCTCCGAATATCGCGCACCCGATGACCTCGATTCCGCGGCTGTGCGTGCGCTTATCATCGAAATAAAAAACGCTCCCCAGACCTCGCTCCGCCGTGTGAACGTCCGTCTCCTCCGCTGTCTACGCGTGAATAAGGTTATATTTTATTTTAACCGTTAAATTATTAATTCCTAGAAAAATTATAGAGCGTGAATGTAAAATATGCACTTCGCGAGAATTATACAAGCGACCTTAGTCCGCAGTCACATTCGGAACGAGCTTTCGGGAAGGAAGAGGAGCGTAGGCGCGTTTATCACCAATCCGAGCCCGGACGTCGAGGCAGATAACGCTTCGATGTCTCTTCTTCTTTCCGACCCCTCTTTATTGCTTCCAGTGACTCCGCCGAGAGTCCCGTCACGTGCTCTGCAATCGAGAATGTTTTCGAGATCGAGTTCCGTACAGTCACCAGGAGTTAAATGTAGAAATTGATATTTCTGGGGTCGATAAATACCTGTGTATAATCCAATAATTAACGGAAGCTCGTATTTAGGTTCCGGCGATGACCCTTGCCCTCCGATATGCGGCTTACGTGTCTATCGGGACAAATCAACGCCTAATTATTTTTCACCTGGTTTGCGAAACAGAGTTCAAGAGCGTGCTCGGGGAATCTAGACCGACGAGGAAGTTCCTTCTGTATTTATAAAAAAGAATAGGAAAATAGGAAACGCACCTTTCTATGGGAAGGGAAAGTATCCCAGAAGAAAGTCAGATACAAAATGGATGACGTGCTTCAAATTTAAAGAAATTCTTCGAAGGCATCTCACGGTTGAAAAATTAATTGCACACCCTGGCGTAATCTCTCCTTCGTTTAATCAGTTTTGTATTTTACAGAAATCAAGGTTGATTCGTCTCTTAAGTGATAGCTTTGCTCGCGCGAACGTAATGGGCCCTATTGGACGTGTAGTTAGAAAACGTCGATTCACTCACAACAGAGAAGTAGGGAGAGCAGGGGGAGGAAACTTGCGGATAAGTCGATAATTAAGTATGCATAGAGAAAGAGGCAAGGAAAAGGACGCTCCACGACCGCGAGAACCCGGCAGCCCTTACTTTTGCGTTACTTTTGCAGGGTCGATGGCGCGTCTCTGAAATGCATCGCTAAAACGAACGTGACATCGCGCGTGATTACGCATTTGAGCTAGAAAAAGTTGAATTCTCTCGCTTGGTTTTCCCTCGGAGCGATTTTTATCTCGACGACGCGTATTCTTGCGGTCTATCTAAACTCTCAACTTTTTAAAATCGAAACGGCCTCGCACATGAGCCCTTGGGCACAAAATCGTAACGGGGAAAGGAAACTTACGATCTTTCGTGAAATCGACTAAATCTTACGCGATCGAGGCGTCGATCGATCGCGTTAAGGAGCTTCGTACATCGTGATTCCCCACGAAAGTTTACGGCTACTCCAATTTCTTCCTAATTCTCAAAAAGCACGAAATCGTCTAAAATTTTGACGCGGGTACTGCTTTACTAGAAGCGAGAGAGAGAAAGCGTATATTCATAGACTATGGAAATAAAATCTGAGTTCGATTAGGAATGACGCCATCTTTGTATCTTCGGATGGTGCGTCATGGCGACAACGCGATCTTCTTGTTAAACGTCAAATTCGAGGCTCTTTAAGAGGATGTGAAAGTGGGATCCGAAAGCTCAATCGTTCTTGAAACTTTTCTACAAACTGGGGGAGCATATCATTTAAGACATATATCCAGTTCGAAGAAAAGCTTCATAATCGAGACCTCTTTCGAGCCAATTTCACATCACCTTAAGGATCGAGGTGGCCGTCCTTCGGCACGAACGCGCCCTTTGGACGGCTCTCCCGTTCTCGCGTGCACTACGTCAACGGAAAGGATCGCGAAAAAGTCGAAGAGTTATCGTTCCGAAGGCGACGAAACAGGGCGAAAAGTCCCTCAAATGTTCGTCCGGAGAGGATCTCGTCGGCATAACCCCCACGTTTCGCGATTCGGGGTTCCCAGGGGTGGATGATCCCGTCAACTCGAGGGGAACGGTGAGCTTCTCCGCGCGTTTTCGGCCTAACCGCGCACAGTACCGCATATAAGTAGCAACGCAAGCGATTCCGGAGCCTAACGCGAGTCCGAATCTAACTCGTGACCTCTCGAACCTCGCGATCGTCGTCGATCGTCGCCAATCGTCATCGATCGTCATCGATCGCCGCCGATCGCCGCTGACCGTCGCCGTCGGCTTCCTGGGCGACCTCGCGACGCCGCGGTTCCTCTAGATGTACTCGGCGAACATGATCCAGTAGGTGACGTTCAGCAGGGTGAAGAGAAACGGGAAGAAGACGCGCGACACCCGGTCGATGTTGAGAGCGCGCATCCTCGCGCGCTGCGCCGGCGTCGGGCCGGGAGGCGGACCGGAAGTCGACTTCTGCGACCGGCCGGAGAGCAGCATCGCGTTCTCCTAGGTGACAAGGACCGCTTCTTCAGCGCAGCCAGGGAACCCGCCCCCGTGCCCCGGCGACGACGAACCGAGCGACATCGCGAGTTTGAAACCTCCGCGGAAGGAAAAGGCGAACAACGTGGAGATTTTGTGACTCGTTTGCGAGTTTGCAAGCATCGAGCGACATTTCCAAACATCTTATTTTTCGTTACTCATCAAATTTTACGACCGGTAGAGTTTTAAACATTTCCCCAAAATTCCTCCACGGACTTGATTTAGGAAAATTAATATTTTCACCAAACCAATACCCCCTTAACTCGGGCCACCAAAATGGCGGTTTCCACGTTAATTCCATATACTTCGGTTCCCCGACGGGACGGGACACGGGACGCGGGATAAGGACCCTCGCGGTCCATCCTTGCGTTACCTTGGTGGCGATGTCGAAGATCTTGTCGAGCTTGTTGCCATCCGGGGGGCCGCCGGCGGTGGCGGGTGCCGGGGGCGGCGGGGGTGGCTTGGCAGGGGGCGCGTCCGAGTCCCCGAGGACGATGTTCACCAGGCAGTACTCCATCAGGGCCATGAAGACGAAGACCGTGCAGACCGACATGAAGGCGTCCACCGCCTTCAAGTAGGAGACCGGCGGCAGGGACGCCTGGCTCTTCGCATGCTGCGTCGACAGTGTCAGAAGCGACGTCACCCCCAGCGTCACCCTGGCTGGCGCCGCTTCCGGTTTTATCCAGAAGGACACCCACTGCGGACCCGAGTCGACATCGGTGATGGGCAAGGGTCTCGCTAATCGTTTCCATCCGCGTGGAAGGAGCGCGGAATCGACGCGGAATCCACAAAGTCCGCGTCGATCCCGCGGGCTTTCCGCGCGGATGGAAACAAGGCATCGGTTTTGGTCTCGCAAAAAGTGCAAAGCCTTGACCGAGCAAGACCAAAACCGAGGTCTTTGGTCTTGGTCTTGCGTTTGCTCGTCCCTGGTTGAAACTATCGATCTCGGTTCAACCTCTAAATCCCCTACTTATTCTTCTGATCGTTCGGTTTGCCGACTGAAATTTCGGTTTCATTTCCCGAGCCGAAATTTTTATCCTACTTGGAATCTTTAATTGCGGGCTTTGAACAAGTTTTCAGACAATATTCTTTCACGTGCGAGATCCTACTTTAGACCATACAAATGGCAGATATTTCCATTTGTTCTGCTTGTGAGCCTAAAGTAGGACCTCGTCGATATCAAGTAGGACGTACAAGGTCGGAAATAAGGTCTGAAAAGTGAAACGAAACCAAAAGAGGTTGCACGAATTCAAAGTAGGGCTAAAATTTCAACTCGGGTTTGTTCGCCAAGAACGTCGAAGTTCATATTTTTCGCTAGAACCTTGAAGTCCTTGGGACGTCACAATTGACTCGAAACTTGACAAATGATCTTCAAACTAGTCATCGGAGAACGGAGAAAGTGAAATCCATTAACCCAGAGTCTAGATTTTCCGGTTAATTTTGCCCATATTGGAAATATGAATTCATTGCACCGTTGCATTCATAAACGGTAGAATCCTAAATATGTAACGTTCCTTTTGCGCCCATTTTGAAGCACGGTCACGAAGCAAAAGGTATAGAAATCGCGACAATAGATACGTTGGACATTCTTTTTACCCGAAAAATGCCCGCGACAAAAACGACTATCGCGTGCTCGGAACCGTTTTTAAATCCGCTTAAAAAACGTAAAAACAAGTCTAGCAACGAAAAATGGCCGCCACCCGTTTTCTGCCCTTCCCTCGCGAGTCCCTTCCACCTGCCTTTTGACCCACGGAATAACTCGGACTGGGAAGCCGAGGTGAAAACCGCGAAACCGAAATTCAAGTAGCCAGAGTCCACCCACTCACCGACATGATGACGATCAGACACGTGGGCACGTAAGTGTGGAAGAGGTAGTAGCCGAGTCGGCGCTTCAGGACGAAGATGACCTCCAGACAGGTAAAGTTACCTGAAAGCAAAGGCTCGGTGAGGATCCCGGTGCCCGGGGCACCTCGTAAACGGCGTACCCGTGGAGTAGACCTGCGTGCAATCGGCCGTGTAATTCTTGACGAGCTGCAACTGGGGCAGCTCGATGTTCTCGTCGACGACGAGAGGCACGTCGGGGTCCCACTGGAAGATCATTTCATCCGTCGTGTGCGACACTGTTGACCGAGTTGTTTCGTGTTTATCAATTTGAAAGGCACGGAGCCATCGCGGCTGCATTTACGCCGTTAAACGGGCCGTAAGCTTCGTAAGCTTTCGTTCGAGCTATCGACTTTTCGCCCATTCTTCCTCGTCCACTTTGCCCCTTTCGAGCCAGAGGGTGCAAGAGTGGATGACGTCGACGACGCGGAACCTCGCGCGATCGCCCCGAGAGAGAATCCTCTCCACCCCCCGCGAATTCCGCCACCCTCTTCCCCTCCCCCGCGCCCGATTTGCGCGGAATCGAGGCTACTCACGGCTCTCCATCTGCAGCTTGCACTCCTGGGTGTCGTGGGGATAGATCAGGAAATTCATGGCGCAGGACAGCTTCAGGGTTAGCCTGGAATGGAAAAGCGTCTCGGGTTCGTTCTGGGACTCGTCCCCGTAATCGCGTACGTACTTCACCATGTACAGGATGGTCTTGTCCTTGTAGAGCCACAAGTAATGGTTGGGTATCGTCATCGTCTGGAACGTCACGGACTTGGCGTTCTTGAAGAAGGAGTCCGGCCTCCACATGTTCTTCAGCCAGTCCACCTCCAGTAACCTTTAAGGAGAACCGAAACCCGCCTCAAATCGGTCGATTCGAATAAAACACCTTTTTTAAAATGGCATACTCCAGGATCGAACTGTCCTGGAGTATACCATTTGGGACGATACTGGATATAATTCGCGAAAATGCTGTCGATACGAATACGAACGTCGGTAACGTGCGTATTTAGAAGAATCGGTTTTACCGACGTCGATCAAATTTCTCGACGTGTTTCGCTTCATCTTAAGACCCTCCGATTTAACGTCGCGCCCCGATAATTACTCACCTGTATTCGGAGGTCATGTTCTCGGGCAGCCTCAGTCTGTTGTCCTTCCACGTTTGCGCGAAGAAGATGTCCGCCGCGTAAGTCTGCAACAGCACCGGATCGACTCGACTCCTTGGGACAGGTCGAGGGTAATCAATCAGGGGTAATCACTCCCTTACCATAGAGGTCTCATCGATGGAGTCCAGACCCATCACGGTCACGTGAAAGTACACCACCGTCGCCTGTCCGTCCTTTTTCGGCGGCCGCATCTTATCGTAGAGCTTCGGGTCTTCCGGCAGCAGGTCGTAGAATTCCAAACTCCTCCTGTAACCGTTCGGCACGACTTTCCGATTACCGATCGATCTCCCCTCGACGCTCGAATTTTCTACGACTCGTTTGATTTTCCGAGAGAGGTTTGTGAAAATTTATATTCCACGGTCGGGGTGGCGGGTAAAGGGGTCGATAGGTAAAAAATCCTCCTTTCGGGCGTAAACGATTTCACCGAAGGACAAATCCGATGTTCGCGATCTCTGATCGCTAAAAATCGCCCAAATCGAAAAGGATCAAATGCTCCAGAGGTCTCGCCGAGAAATCCTTCAAACGGCAAAGATGGCCGCTCGTGACATTCGATCGATCGCCCCGAGAAGTTGAATCGAACGAGGAATGAACGCGTTTTCGATTTCCCTATAGAAAATCCCGGCAACGACGCGTTACGATAAATTGCACGGTGTTCTTTGGTTTAACGTTGCGCCAATTTAGATAAGAAAGCTCCCGATAACGCGAAGAAGAGAACGCGACGCGGACCAAACCGAGCCGAATCGTTGTTTCTCTTTGCCACCCTACGAACGGCACCCCGATTCGTCGGAGCAGGCTTTCCAACCCGCGTTATCCTCCCGGAACCCGAATAAAACAAGTCAGGAAGAAGCAAAGAGTCGCTTACTGGGCCCCCGCGCCGGCGGCGAGGAGGAGCAGCAGAAGCGAGGCGAGGAAGACGGAAGACGCGCCGCCGCGTGCCTCCTCCATGGCGAGGGTGTTCCTCAGAGCATGTTCAGGGACCGAGTCGGGACCAGCGGAAACCGGCTCGTGTCGGGCCTTCGGGGTGGCTCCGGGAGAGCCGAGATGCGACGCAAGGCCTCGTGCCGACCGACTGACTTCTTGCCGAGATTTTGCCCAACTTGCAGAATCGGTTGCAGTGGGAGGCCAGAGGGATACGGAAGGTGCCCCCGCCACTTCCTCCGTCGCTCTCCCCCTCGCAGGGTGTAGGGGTGACGTCGCGCGTTGTCAGGGAACGACTCGATGGAAGGGCGGAAGTGTTCTCTGCCGCGCCGCGACGAGTCCGAGGAAAGAAGTGGTAGTAATCCCTCTGGACCCGGAGCTGCCAACCCCTGCGATCCCTCTCGGCGCCGACCCCGACCCCGGGCCGGCCGCGGACCCTATCCGGGAGACTCCTGGACTACGTAGGGCAGGTTCGGGACGGGCGCTCTCTTTCGCGGAGGACTCCTCGATTGACCCTTCGGGGACGGAATGGACGAAATTCGTCGACGCGTGCAGGCGATATTGGACCTAACGAGGAGACGGAGGGTTAAGGTCGCATCGAAACGGCTTTCGAGATGTCGATCGTTATGGAACTTCTCAAACGATCGGGCACATCCGATTCGGAGGAATGTTTCTTAAACGATCGATCCCTCGGATGCCACTTTTACGTCAGCTCAACTGTAACCGTGAACGTGTACGAAGAATTGACAAATAAATTGCGGAAAAATTAATGTCGCATCCTATTTCGGCAGTTTTATCGTCCAGCTGGAAGAACTCTTCTCGTTATAACTTCGGTTACCCTTAAAGTATTTGCGAAGACCTTAATCCCTCCTCCCTAGGGGGAAACGATCGAGGTAATGCAGTTCGCGCTCCCTACGAATTCGTATCAACGTTTTTATTTCAAAGTTCGGATTTCCGTTCAAGGACCACCAAATATTTTCTTCTCCTCGGCACTCTACCGAAGGAGCTTTCCCGGATATCGGATCCGCGATTCTCGGTTTGAGGCTACGCGACCGGAATCGAGTCGACGAGCGCGTCGGAGAGGGTAAAAAGTAGAGTTTTAACGAGGCCTCGCTGCGAGAAGTTTCGAGAACCTAATGGCGGGATTTAATGTCGAGGTTATTAACGAGAAATGTGAGACTCGAAGGGGAGATTGCCCGCTGATATATCCGATGGCGACAGTTCTTCCTTCGTAGGAAAACGTGGAAGGCGACTCGTGACTTCGATGCTTTCCGTTCGCCCCCTTCGACGGACCTTCAAACATTTTTCCTTCCCTTCGAGTTTCTTTTTTTTTTTAAGTTTCATCCGGTCGTTTCTACATTTTCACGATATCCGTTACATGGGTACCGATGTCAACGTTTTCTTGTAGGGGATACAGGGGTTTGAAGCAATTTTCGAGGGGATTCATGACATCATGCGAGGATCGAGGACACCCCATCGAGTTCCTTGACGGAATCGAAGGAAAAATTGAATTCAAAGTCTACTTCCTGGTCCCTAATCACCCCGCAATCGCGGAGACCGGGCGCCACGGGGAAGGGCCCCTTCGACGCGTCGCCCCCACCGAAACACGTCGACCAGGGCGGGGGGCAAAATCGGGAGGACCGGGTGGCGTGGCCACGCCGGTCGATATATCGATCCTCGAAATTGTGCCGCGAATAGAAAGCGTCGCCCTAGGTGGAGTGGCCACTCTCCGCGGAGGAGGCTCGAGCCTCGACCGGGGACGAGGGAACTCGCGGGACCGAGCTTGGCGACGAAGGTGGCGCGGTGCCCATCCCGGGGAGGGGAAGATAAGTATCTCTCTCTTTCTCTCTCGTCCCCCCGCGGGGGTCGGCAGAGGCAGCCGAGGCCACCCCACAATGTCCGCAATTATAATCGTTAGAGGCGGAGGGCGGCGAGACGAGAGCCCCTCGGGGAAGCGTTCGCCTTCGGGAGTCGAGACGTCGGCTTCGGGGAGTCCGGATTCCGTGGCGGAGGTTCCCTTCCGGAGGTGGAAGGGAATCGGCGCCGAAGGTCGCCGGGCCAGGGTCGGCTTTCGGCGATCGCGCATTCGCCGTGGGAAGGATCCACAATGGGCTCCTAATTGCCGAGAGGGTCAGGGATAAGGTCGAGGGAGCCTCCGATTCGCGCCACTTCCGGTCCGCCGGGATTCCTATCGAGGGGCGAAGGCTTTATCTTCGCGGCTTCCCAAACGAGCGGGAAGCCTCGGGGAGAGATCGCGGTCCTACGTGGAACCCTTTAATCGCGCGCCTCGAGGTGACTCGTTTATGAAACTTTTCCGCTATGGGTTTAAGGCAGAGTCGAAATTTCGACTCCTCGGCGGTATTCGGTAGCCATCGATATCGATGACTATCGAATTGGCGGACGGAATCCCCGCGAGATTTAGCCCGCAGAATCGCCCCCCGTTCCAAACTCGACGTCATCCGGAGGTCCAAGCACGAGTCGACGGGGAACGAAAGTCCCTCTCTCTTCCGTCGTCGAAGTCTCCACGGGGTAGGTGGGGTCGGAGAACCAGGTCGAGAAAGGTGGCACCGACTGGGCGCAAATTAGATTGGCGAACCGTCTTTCGAGGGCGGGGACGGGGGCGACGACGTCGCGTTCCGCGGACGTCAGCTGGCGCGCCGTCGGTATCGCGCGACGTCAAGGTGGCCAGGGGAGAGGAGGGTCTCACCTAACCCGGACCCCGTCTTTGGCGCGATAAGCACGCTCGCCCCCTCCGTCCTCCTTCCGCCGATTGGCGAAGTAGGCGATGTTACCGCATCTCGCCGCAGTGATCGCCTCCGATCCGGCCCCGAGCGGTCGAGTCCGAGGCCCGTAATTGGCACGATTTCGACCGACTCCCAAATTCTCTCTTTCTCCCGGAGTTCAAAATAGATCGAGGGGGCATTCGCTCAGGAAGTCATGGATCGTGACGCTTTAAATTAGCTGGAAATCATTGGAAATCCCCAAATACCGTCACTTATTACCGAATCGCATTGTTGTTTATCATATAAAATCAAAGCGAAATAAATCATCCACGAGTTCACGCATAAATATTTTTCGCGGTAGTCGCATGCCTAACCCTCTATAGAGACGCGGGACTGCCAAGTTATTTTTTAATCTTATTTGATTTTTCACGGGGGATCGGCGGGCAATTTCTCAACTACGACTAGTTGATCTCGGATTAGTAAAATTCGTATCCAAACAAAGATTGTGTCCGACAAAAATTAGGCTAACCAAAAATTAAAATCCGCTCTCGAATAATCACCCGAAGTCGAGCGACTCGTTTTAATCACGCGTTGAGTAATTCTTCATTCAAGAATTTTAATTCGGGCGTTGGGACCGTCGGCCTTAAGGATTCCTTTCGTCGGAATTATAATTTTTAATTCTTTCCGCGTTAGTCCACGATCTTATGGAACGACCCAACACTTTACTCCGTTAACAGCTTTACCTATAAGGATCATAAAGATTTGACGCAAATGGGTGGCGTACCCGGTTGGCGATGCACTTGTAAACTCGTAAAAGTGCATTAAGCGTTGTTTGGATCATTATTCTCCCACGTTAAAAGGGACGTATACCCAAGTACGTCTACCGATCACTGAAAAACGCTCAACTACGATATTATCGCGTCTTTATTATCCATATAGCCAAAGAAAAGTCAGGTGTCCTGGATCCAGAAAGTAGGTACATCGTGTCGAAGATTTCGCGTTATTATTAGATTAGATTACTCTCGTCTAGCTATTTATATTATATCGATTGTACTATTTATATCGCCTTTCGTCGTTCCTCGTATCCAGTCGGCCCCGATGGTGCGGGCAGATCTCCTCGTCGAGCCAAATAATTAAAATAAAATTGAAGGGTTAGAGAGAGGAGTGCTCGCGTTTTCATTAGGACACCCCAAGTGCGTTTGGTGCACTCGACACTCTTCGCGAGAGGCCTACCCTCTCGAGAGGGAAACTCGCGGTTACGTCCCCGCTTTTACACACTTTACCCTGAAGAGGTGCAACTTTTTAATGCGCTTTACCTCTCCCCGCTTTTCTTTCGGCGTATCGAAGAACACGGCGACGAATCCGGCGATATTTACACAATGCGTCAGATAAATTTAGCCGTACATGTGCGGACAGACATTGAGACATTGCATGTACTTAACTTTGTTTCATATTTTCAAGTATTTTTGGTTCATCATTGTGTACTGCAGATATGAGTTCCAAATGAGGAGTCATCGGCAACACCCTCGTGACTGGTTTCATGATCTTTATCAGGAAATTTGTTTCATGCAAATTTTGCTTCAACGGGCAGGTTTTGCGTTAAATCTTTCGAACCTTTAATTCTTCTACATAATTAGAAATGACCCGAGATGCGAAGGGACCTCGCTAAGGTAATGAGTGTTCTGTAATTGGGTACTCGATCTCGGACGTCACGCGACAGCAAACAGCGACGCTTACGGACGTCACGGAAAGCTGGGTCACGTAATTTGAATTCTTTACTTTCCTTTGCCGAAGCGTGACTTCGATCGTCCCGATCGTGACTAAAAATGAATCAGGAGCTAAGTGATCGAGCAATTTACCGTAATTGTCAATATATACGATACGACATATCACAAATTGTATAACGCGGGATTCTATTTTTTCATTTTCAAGATCGTGATTCCGCCTTCCAAGGTGTATCTGGTTTTCCCGATTTAAGAGTTTGGAATTAACACTTTCGAAACGTGTGAACGGTCGATCAATTAACTCTTAGAAAAATTGTCTTGCTTTCGCTTCCTTGCAAAAAGAAATAAATCTCCCGGAATCACAAACCTTTTCGATGATTCGATCCGCGGGACGCCGATCTCAGTCGAAGCTCCTCCCTCGCGTACAGAAAACTCACAGGTGAAGGTTCTAGAAATGTCACTTTATGATCGAACTAACGAAACGCGTCCGAGGATTGTCCACGTACGAGTGAAAACTCAGGGTGAAATAAGAAAGGACCCGAGCCGGGTCCCGAACGACGCGCGACCAAGGGACAGCTTAGTGCCCTGTAAACAAATAAGGGGTGGAAGGAGGCGTCGCAGAAAAATGAGACAGGGTTTCGACTTACCTGACAAAAAAGCAGCCATCACCCCGCAGCCTCGGGTCAACTCGTCGGAGTGAAGCACACAAGCCGAGACATTTTGGTAGGATAGATGACATTTATTCTGTTTTTTGCATTACTCATATTCATCGTTTACGCTACTGATACTATATTTATATAGATACCTACATTATGTCAATAATTATGCACGATTCGTCCGAGAAGGCGAGGGTGTTCGTGATTTCGAATAGCCTGCGTCGGTCTACAATGAGTGTATACGACATACGTAACGACGAAGTGGAACATGCTCCCCTCCCAGGGCGCCTCCGCCGAGGCCCGAAAGACGCGTCGAGCTTTGGTCGTCGCCGGCGGGATTCCTTCGGAACCCGGAACTCGGCGAGGGTTCCTTAGGAAATCCGCGGCCGCGGCTACTTAAAATAAATATCGCGCGACGTCGCTCCTCGAGACCGGACGGTCAAAATACTTTCCACGAGAAGGCCGAGCGCGTTTCCCCGCGTTCCGTCGCGTTTCTCCGCACCGCCGTGCACTTCGATCTCGTTCCGATATCGGGAGTCCTCGCGTTTGCGATTCCTTCCCTTTCCGCGCGCGTCTCTTCGACCGTTGGCTCGCGGGCTCGAGAAGAGCTCGGTGCCGAAATGGGAGCCTCCGCGCTCTCGTTCCCTCGCTTAGATCTATCCTTACACCTCTAGGTACACCTTTTGCTAGGGGGCAGGGATCGCGACCCCCCGTCGTTTCCGATACCGATTCCGAGGCGCTTCGCGCCGGTCGCCCGGTCGAACGCGGGGAAATTCGACGCACTTCCGGGACTCGCTTTCGACGCAAACCTCGAAACCGCCCGGTTTGCGTCGGACAAAAATCTACTCCCTGGATAACTCGGTACGGTCGTTTTCTTTCCCTTCCCCGCGATTCCGGAATTTTCGTATCAAGACCAGCGAAAGTGGCGTCAATAAGATCGTTACGAAACCTTTCTCCGAACCGGAGGAACCGAATCGTTTCAAACTTTACGCGAACGTGGAAGCTGGAACGAAGATCCCGACCCTCCCGTGAAAGTTCACTTTTTTAATTTCTTATAAAAACTGAAATTTCATGGCCGTCAAGACCTTCCTTGCAGCCTCTATATTCGCGCTGTAAAGGGTGAAATGACTCGGTATCCTCCAGTTCGGATAAAAGTTTCACAAATGTTTGACCCCTCGGAAGCCACTTTCGCGTCCCATTAACGGTACGCCCCGCGATTACAATCCAAGTACGGCAACCTTTGCCGTAAAGGTGGAATCACCTTCTCCGACGCGTGCCGCGGGGTCGATCCAAGATGACTTTATCGCGCGCGACTCGACGCAACCGCGCGTTACAAAGTTTCGTTACAAGGTCGGATCGGCACCGGCGCGGGTCGGTCCTTGTCGGGTACGTGGATCGACCTTGATTCTCCTCGCAGGAATTAATCGGACGCGCGATGGTGCTTCCGTTCTTGGAGAGAAGACGATCTCTCCCTGTTCCGACCGTCTTTCGCCCGGATGGAAACCGAGTCGCGGTTCCCCAAGGAAACCCGGATTCGCAAGAAGCCCCGGCTCGACCGGGTCGAAGTCGGCCGCTTTCCCGCCTCCTTTCCGATTTCTTACTCTTAATCTCGCACCCGGAGACGCGCCGTCGACGGGAAGAAACGGAAAGAACGGAAGAGAAGCCGCGGCGACGGCGCGCGAGGTCCGCGACCGGGAAGCACCGTTCGACGAGGCACTCCCGAAGGCTGCGTGCCCGCGCCCCCCAGGAAGTCCCTTAAATCTACGTCGACCGATCAGGGTCCGCGGAAGTCCATCTTCCCGAACGACGCGCCGCGTCGCCGAGGAACGTCGAGCCCGACGACGACGACGGCGCCGAAGGGCCCCTAGGCCTCCCCCGGGGGTTCTCCTCCCCCGCGGATTCCGGAAGCGTCTCCGGACGCGCAAAATCGGCCGCTCGACGGCTCGAACCGGACGATTCGAAATTTTAACTCGTCGATTAGAATTCGAAAATTTCACCTCGTCGACTAGAACTCGAAAATTTTAATTCGACGACTCGAGACGGCTGATCGATAGATTTGGTCAATTTGGTAGACTTTTGGCGAATCGACGAATCGGGGAGCGAAACGCAAAAAGCCCATCCGTTCGTCCTCGAGTCTAGTTTTCTCCCTACGCGTTTCGTGCACGCGTGCGCGTACGTGCGGTATCCTGCTTTCCGTCCTTCTTCGAGGTCCCCGGATCGAGTCGGGCTCGTCTCCGGCGAGTCGAAAGGAAGACGGAGAGTCGATCGGTCGAGAGATCGATCGCGAGTCGGACGGGGAGGAGAACGGGGGTGCGGTCGACGCCGACGGCCTCGCACGGTCGCGGGGGAGTTATTGCATGAAATAATCGGGGTGGTCCGAATCCTTCTCAAACCTCTTGGCCTCCTCCTGCATGCTCTCCTTGATCTTGAGGATGGCTGCCGACTCGGTCTGATCCTGCGAACCAACCAACAACCAGGCCGGTTACACGTAAGGTTAGGCGAGACCCGCGAGAGCGAGGACGAGGACGACTCTTTCGCGACCCCTGGCTGCGAGCTGCGCACCCCCTTTCTTCGGCTATTTCCCTCCTGACCGGAAATCGGCGAAAGGACGAAGGGACAAGGGACGCCGAAAACGTCTCGGAAGATTCCACTGATAAGAAACTGTCGGTCGATATTGGACAGGGCAACGATTCGAAGACGAAAGATCGGACTCGACAAAATTTTCGCGCGTGAAGTCTGCAAAAATGACTCGATACGCTTCTCGACGAACCCTTTCAACGTTCGAATGCACGGTAACACCGAAAACAGCGGCACTCAAAATGAAAACTGCACGAACGCGCAATTCATCTCGAGGTATTCCAAATTTTGAACAAAGCGGAAGCATGAGGAAAGGAAATGGAATAAGCGTCAACGACTGCCCTACACCGTGCCTTTCTCAAAATACGTACGATTGTCCGCGATGGAGAATCGGTATCCAAACGCATCGCGCACGAAATCTTACAATAATTTCGAAATATCGCGGGATAAAAAAGACCTCGACCACGCGCCCCCCACATTTCGAACGATTTTATCAACAACGAACCACTTTCGCGAAAAAAAAAAATGCGCGGAACGAGAAAGGCCTTCGCAACGACAATCGAGAGCGCGACGACAAGGCAAGGACCAGCCACTAAAAGCATGGATAACTTAATACGGAGGAGTCCTATTTACGGTTCTTCCCGCCGCGCTTCCGATGGCCGTTCCTCCGCGTATTCGCGAAAGCATTTGCGAAGAGGGAACTCCTGGTCGCGCGTAAAAAGCAGCCAAGGGTCACGCCGGTAGTCGGCTCTTTGGGTTCCGGAGGAAGAGGATCGCCTGGGGCGTCGAAAGTGTCAACGCAGGGGCGCCTCGATCTACGGACTGCGCACGATTGCGCCCGATTTTCGCTTTGGGGCTCGTGCGCCCGATTTGCTCTCGAGTCGGGCAAGGCGCAATTGGCGGTGCGGCGGCGAGGGACTCGCCGACACGCCGGGCGATCGGAGGCGGAAAGGCGAAGGAAACGGAGCCGAGCGGTTCCCATTTCGACGGATCGTTTCGCCAAACGCAAAACGTCGGTTTCAACGTCTTTCCACGTTGGACACGGTTCACGGCGAGTCTCGCCCAGTGGGGAAGTCTAAACATCCTCAAGATTTCGAGACCTGGGACCCGATTCTCGAGTTCATACGAACTTCCCACGAAAAATGTTGCGCTCTTGCAAAGCCGCGTATAGCCATCAACGTTTGAAAGTCGTGCGCGGACCTGGCAATTTCGCGGGCGAAGGTTGAGCGCATGAAATCGAGAATCGGGCCCAGCCAAGAACCGGGTCCAACGCTTAGGAGGAGCGGGGAATGCAAAGGAGACGAGCGACAACCAGAAGTATTCACGCGAAGAAAGGTAAAAATGTTCCGCCCTTCCGGTCGTTTCGACAATTTCGCATCTCGCCTCGTCTCCTCGGCACCGTGCCCGAGCGGATTCGGGGCGACCCGGTGCCCGGCGCGCGTCCGCGTCGAGGAAGATCGGCCGAGGCCGGCGACGACGACGACGACGACGGCGGCTCGCGAACGGCTCGCTCCTTGTCCGCAACGGGTCAGTACAGGCTTGGCTCGCTTTCGTTCCCGTCTCGGGAGGCCGACGGAAGGGGTGAAAGAGAAAGGGGAGAGCCAGAGAAGAGAGACAGAGAGAGGCGGAGAGGGACGGAGGGCGAGACGGCGGCAACGACCTCGGCGACCTCGGCGATCTCGGCGACCTCGGGGAGCGTCCCCGCGAACGGACGCGCGCGGCAGCCGGCACCCTGCGGGTAGTCTGACAAATAAAAAGAAAACGCAGTATATTTCTCAGTGTAACAGGATTACATTTATTGTCTCGATCTCCCTGCAGCGTAGGCTTATATACTGTGTGCGCGTTACGTCACCAGGCGTGGTTATAGCTTACAACGTGGGAGTTAAACGGAGTAGTCGTTATTAAAAGTACCAAGGTGCGTCGATTGCGCTCGAGGACGCGGCGCCTCTCTCGCTAGCCGGGGAGGACACCCCCTACGCGTCGGGACGCGGGAGCGAAGCGACGAAGCGAGCCGAAGTGGTCCCCCGTCTCTCGGTTTCTCCCTCGCTTCGTCGCCGCCACCGATCTCCGCGCCGACCGGACAGCCGATCGGGACCGCCGATCGGGACCCGCTCCACCCTGGGAGTCTTTCGGTGCCGGCCGAGGTCGTTGGCACGTGCAAAGCGACGACGTATCCTTGTCCGGCACTAAAAGGGGTAATCGTCGCCCCATTCCGCGGGGTGTCGGCTATCCGAGCGACGCCCGGATCGGGGGGTGCCGCTCTCGAGTCGAGTCGAGCCTCGGGAGGATCCTCCCTGACGCCGGGGCTCGAGCCTGTACTGACCCGTCCCCTTCGGGGACTCGCGCCCGGGTGGGCGGCCGCCCGCCCTCGCACTCGCTTTCACTCGCTCGTCGTTCTCTGCTGGGACACGGCCGCCTGCCCGCGCCTCGTATCCGTACAAAAATAGTCGTCTCCTTTCGCCTCGCGCCCCGCGGCCGCCCCGCCGCGTGCCGGCCGCCCCCGTCGCGCCCGACGGGGTGCGCGTAACCCTATTTACAGACGGAGAGAGCCTCTCCTCTTCTCTCTCTCTCTCTCTCTCTCCCTCCCATTCGTGAGCAAACGGTGGAGGGACTCGGTGGGGGCCGGGCGGGCCCGGCCGCGGGCCCGACCCGGCCCGGCGTGACTCGCGCGACCGAATCACAGTAGCGGACAGTCAACGGGTGAACGGCCTTTCTCCTCGTCCAGTCAGGCACCTTCGCTTACGAGCTAGTCTCAAATAAATATAAATAAAGGACAGCGACGACCGAGGGCCCTCGTCGTCGACTTTCCATGCGTAGAAAATCATATTACGACCGTAGTAAAAAAAATATAGAGTTTGCAACCTCGTGAGTATTAGCGAAGCATATGTATATGTACATATACATATATTTATATATATATGAATTTATATATAGATGTATGGCGGGTAGTGGCAATTAAGTAACTTCGTCGTTCATCCTCGGGTATCCTTAAGTACTAAATCTAACCGAGTGGCGCGATTGGCACCTGACGACCGATGGGACGCGTTGCCGCGATCGTTCCCGTCGATCGACGAACGCGAAAAAAGTCACGTTTTCCCGAGGCTTCCTGCTCGGAACCGACCGAACGACGCCTTTAAGGGCAAGGAAGAAAACCCGAAAACGACGGAGGACCGCGGAACGCGAGCATTTTTCGTTTCGTCTCCGTAAACGTCTTCGCGGTCTTTCCGCGCGGTAGGGGGGTGCGGCTTCGAAGGTCTCGCTCGACTCGTCCTCGGAGCCGGTGCTCCGGGAAATGAGATTTCTCGGCGAAGAGGGTCCACCAGGAGTCGCGCCCTCGGGGGGAAAGAAGAGCCCGGGGGCGTCCCATCGGCCGAAAGTCGCCAATCCTATCTCGAGCGATGCAACCGGCGGACCGTCCTGTGCCTCTTAAAAATAAGTCTCGATTTCTATGAAACTAGGCGATATCCTATGGGCAAGCATTTATCAGGTAGCACCATTCCGGACGAGCCGCGAGCCCGCCCGGCATTGGAAGAGAAGCCCGAGTTGTCGCGCGTAGGGGGAGCCGTTACAACACTGGGTCGACCGTTGATCGATGGGAGATCAGAATCTTAATATGGACTTATATGCAATGGACACGTTACCGTTCGAAACGCGAGCCGAAATTGAAAATCGAGCGATCCTCGAGGCTGGTCGCTCGCGCCTGCGCCGACGTCCACGGATCGATCCGGGGTTTCCGTCTCCTCTTTTTTTTCCTCGCTCCCCCCACGCTCCCTCTTTTTCCTCCCTCCTCTCGTTCCCTATGATTACCAGGAAAACCGAGAAAATCGAACGATCCCCCGTTTTTCCGCGAGCCCCCTCGCGAACGGTCGGGCTCGACCGGCAATTTGTAATATATCGATTATATATAGGTCCATATTTATATGCTAGATACTACTACAGGGAGTCGTTAAAGAACCTGCTGATACTCACGTTCTCTCCGGGACCGCCAAAACCTCCCAAATTATAGTCACCCATGCCGCTGCCGCTGTCTTCCCTCGGGGTTCCGGGTCCGCCGTTAGCCGGGCTGTTCTTCATTCCGTCGAGTCCGTCGCCGTTCAAAACCGGGCCCATCGTGTTGGGTCCCATAGGGCCCATGGGACCTCCTTCGGGTCCGCCGCCCATCGGAAAGTCCTGCGGGATGACCAACTTTCGTCAGACGGCTTCGGGGAGCTCGAGTCTACTTATACGGGGGCCTCTCCCGCCGTCGAGTCGGCCGTTTACCCACCAACCACGCTATGTTACAGTTACATAACACTGAAATAACGTGATATATAACGAACGTTGTTCCAAAGACACGTTAATATCATATAATGTAGAATCATTACCGTTCGGTAACATTGTTACAGACTCATTAACATTGCAGGGTAATTATGCGTAAAAGGGTGATCCTCTTCGATTTCCGTACAATTTTGATATATTGTATTTTCATGTATATATTTAAGGGTAGAACTTGAATATTTTCGGAGTTAAAATACTCGGGGCGACGTTCTCTACCATATATCAAAGTTATACGAAAATCGGAGAAGATCACCCTTTTATGCATAATTACCCATTGCATTTATATAATATTAACATAACACGTAACGTGTTACCGACGTGTCATGTATACGCTACATTATTCGTTTTATAACAGTGTTATATAGCTGCGGAGGAAATAGTAATACAAATCTTACTTATATACTGTACGTGTTACAAACGTTACGTAACGATTATATATTATCGTTACATGTAACCGTGTTTGGTGGGTAGCGACTAATCGTATTAATCTCTCCAGTGCTTACTCCGGGCATGTTTCCTCCAGGTACAGGTTTCATCATGGTGTACATGTTCTCTCCGCCGCTGTTACTGCTGTCTTGCGGACTCGGCATGATCGGAGTTCCCGGTCCAGGAGGCCCGGTGGACCCGGGAGGGCCGCCGTAGTTGCCCGGCGAGGACGACGAGTAGTTCATCGGCTGAGGACAAGCGAGAATCTCACGGTTAGGTACGAGCCGGACACTTCGAGGAGGGTTTAAGCGATATCAAGGACCCCTATTTCTCCCTTCCACGACGTCGTGGGCGACGCTTCGCTATCGACGCGCCACGTCCTAAGGAAAGAACGAGCGATTTTTAAAAGGGATTAACGATCGCGCGGTGAGTCTCCGCTCGTGCGGTGACTTATGAATTCCTCATAAACGTTAGCCTTTGGAGTACGTCTTACGTTTCCTTCTAATAAATTCGAAGTGCTTTCAAGGGTGAAATAAAAAATAAAAAAATGGAAACAGGCTCCGTACTCCAAAAGTCGAGAAGCGGTATCGGTAAAGCGAGACAAAATCAGGACTTACGGTGGACGTGTTCGGCTGCCATTGCGGCCTTCCCCCGGGGCCCGCCATACTCATGGGGGGCATTCCGGGTCCTCCGGGCCCCCCTGGGCCTAAACTACTGTTAGGTGGTGGTCCCCTCATTCCGGGCCCGTAGCTCCCAGGAACCATGGGTCCCATTCCGGGTCCTCGTGGCGGATTCATTCGTGGATTCATTGGGTTCATTCCCGGAGGTCCTACAGAAAATAAATCTCGTGATCATCCCTTGTACCGGCACATACTTACTAATTCCGTTCTAACATCGAGGTTAATACTAATCTCTATTTGCTAGTTTATCGACTCGCGACAAAGCGTGAGGTAATCTGAAACGATCTCGGTCGATTACAATCGACTCGCGTCGTCACTCCGGTCTATGTTCCCAGTTGGGAGGAGAGCGTTCAGATGTCGATCACACTTTGCTAAAGTCAACGGCGAGATGAAGCGAATGGTTCGGCATGCTAATGTAGCAACAGTATCCACACAGACTATCACGGTGGAAGACCCACTACTAAGGCGAAGATGAAACCCTCGTTTCCGGATAATTGGGAACAACGAGGCACGTTCATCTCTCGTCTTGCTTTGCGTCTTCTGTTTCGGTTCGGCTAAATCGAATAAGCGTGTCGGTCTAATCTACGGCTGGTTTTAATTGCATACGATACGGGATTAATCGGTGCTCGGTCGATGGCTCCGGAAGAGAATTCCTCCAGGAAGCCAGAACGGAGCGCGAGCGTTTCTCTGGACGTCGTCGAAACGACCGAAACCACCGAGACGACGCGAAAGAAATTTTCCCGCGCAAAAGTCGACCTCGACGCGTTTCTCCGACCACATTTCGCTCCGATCTACGGTAACTTCACGAGTGAAATTCCCGAGGAAACTCGCGGCTCGTCAGTCCGTGGGTCCGAAGTTAACTGTCCCGGATCTGTCGGAAGTGATCTTAATTGCGATTGTCATGCTGGATGCAAGAATGTCGGAGGAGGGAAACGGTTGCGACAAGACAAAGCCAGTGCGATTGCCGTGGAGGAGGAACCAAAATATAATGCCGGGTTCCCCCGATGCGTGAACCACTGTCGTGAACCGTGCTTTCATCCGATGCGTTCCGTCTGAACGCACAATCGTGAAACTTGCGCTCGAAATCACCATGCCACGAAACAAAGGTGAAGAGATCAAACGCGTTAGATTTTTTTAGTCGCATTCGCGTCATCGTGGGGCAAAATGACCCCCAACGCTCGTTAATTAAATTTCATGACAATGAAATTGCACGTTTCCTAGATTCGTATAAAATGGAAAAGGTTCTATAAGATCCTTCTTTGGAAGAATATCGCGACTGAGACTTGCGAGCGGCCACAGCTAAAAAAAAAATTAGCGAGTCTTTAAATATATCTTAATTTGGACCGAAAGAAGGGATCGCCAAATTGAAAAATTGAAGAAGTCTCTATTGTCAAGAATTGAATAAAATATGTTGCCTCCAACATTCACCGTTGCGACATCCACTCTTTAACCCATTCATGATCGGCGTTTCGTTTAAGACCGGTAAATCAACGTGAACGATTCACGCTTTCGACTGTCGTGATTAGCCACGCAAGCATACACTCTTAAGTCGTCCACAACAGTGGTTCACGCCCCGTGGGAACCCGGCATCTCAGAGTGGAGAGAAAAAAAGAATAAATGAAGCTCGTCTAAGTCATGTGAGTGTGATTTGGTTGCTGGGTTGCTTCCTACCTTGCCACCCTACAAACTCTCCAGCTTCGCCTGAGGAACACAAGAGCACACATTAGTACGGCAGGTAGGTAAGGTCGGGTCGACGGTAGTAAGCCTAGTTATTTTGCAGTGGCATAGTAAGATCTTTTCGCGAGGGCGGTCATCGACGACGAAGGGAAGCGTATAATCGTACCTTGAGACGCTTCACCGGTCATCTTCATCTTCGGATGCGAAAAAAACGGAAGAGGAATCTCCTCGGGATTCCAAATTCGGGGTAATCGAATCTAGATGGAACTGCGGACTGTCCGGAAAAACGCGATCGAATTCGTTCTTCGACGCCATCGTGGAAGCGGGACGAATCGGTCCGTCGAACCTCCCATGGAGAGGACCCGGGCGGAAGGCGAAAACGCGTCTTTACGAGGAAAGGACCTCGATTGCGATTTTACTGCCGGCGATTACGTCGCCGGCACCTCCGAACGATCGCAAGGAGAAAGCGCCAGAGTATGGAGAGGGCAAACCTTTTCGGACGGAGAAAAGAGGTCGAATGGCCGGCGAAGAATTCCGAGCAACCGGGGAAGGATTCTTGGATCGGCGTCGGAGAAGAAATCACGACCGCGATGCCGGCGGTACAGGGAAAAATCCTCTACGCGGGAATCCAAGATGGACGCGTTCCTCCAAATCATGGAACGCGCTACCGATGAGGTCGAACGTGCGCATGGAACGATTCGGTCCAAAGAATTCAGGGAACCAAGCGTTAGTCGAAGTCTAGCGGCGTCACGAAGCCATTTCGAGGTCGATTTATACCGTCCGGTTGAACAAGGCGCGGAAACGTGGCGTTAACGTCCCGGTAAAAACGGAAGATAAGCGTACTTATACATAAGATATAGTCAAAACTCAATTTAACGACGTTATGGAGCGCGCTTGCCGGCAATGGCAAACCCCTCTTCCTAGGAATGTGGGTAAAAACGTTTGTATCGCTGGAACCGCCGCGTCCGATCGGACGGCACGAATCCACCTTCCGCCCGATGGTGAACGTACCGACACGCGAACCGCCGTAAGGCCGGAAAGCTAACGAGCGCGTTACGATCGTCGGACTTGGCGTTTCTCCCTGTTCGTCCTTTCGACGGTGCTTTACGGGGAAACCGGAGCGGTTCTTAAGTCGCCCGGAGGAAGGGCAGATTAATCTCGCGACGAGAGCTCGTCTCTCGAGATCGGGACACCCGGGCGCAACGCTACGCCACTGCTCGTAACTAGACGATTCAAAAACCAATCCACTCCACATCACAGCAATCCAATCCAATTGAAAAAATGACACGTTCGTTTATTGCTGTGTGGTTTTTGGTACGCATGCGTCTATGCCATTCTCCTCTCGCAACGCTCGTCAACGCCAAAAAAAGGAAAAGGCTCTCGGGTGCCGGCGCAAAGGTGGCTCCTTACCTTGTCTCGTGGGGTCCATGCTGTTGGGCATCATGGGCTGTCCCGGGGGCTGAAACGAGAAAAAACGATCCCAAGATCAGTCAGGAGCTTCCCTCGGGGGCGAGTCGACGATTCGTCGTTTCTCCACTTACCCCGTTGAAGTCGTTTCCCATCTGTGGCATGCGCACCCCGGGTCGAGGTCCAGCGGGGTACCTTGGTCCCATGAACTGCAACAAGGAACGGTTTCGTTGTACCGCCGACGCCGGAATGGACACCTTCCGTTCTCACCGACAACGGTTCGTAAACGCGAGCAAAAGTTCCGGTTAGCGTAAGCCACGGAATTAAATCGCACAGACACCAGACAGTCACAGGAAGCACTTGGTAAGCGCGCTAGGCGATATAATATACGCATATATATGCGCGTATATATATACGCGCGTATCGCTTGACCATTGATCTATATACTAACTGGATAGCTGATATCCTACAAAATGGCGGGACGTTTTGACGCGACCACAGGCACGTCAACTAATATCGTAGTATTTGCGCATGCGGCAAAACAACGCGTCATTCAACCGTAGATAGTGTAAGAGGGGTCAAATTAATTTTCCGAAATAAAATAATTGTCATTTTTATTACAAGACTTCCGAGAAAAAAATATAACCGTTTTGTTTTAGTCGAAACTTTCTTACGATATGTCCAACGCACCATTTCACCCGTAAATTACGTCTTTTCTATCCTTTATACCTTAAACGTTTACCTTCGCGAATTGACAGATTGACGGTTTAGAACTTTTGCACGTGCGCCCCCGTTACTTATTTAGTATCGCTGCCCACGCGTAATTTGCGCTGAGGTCCCTTGAATTCGTTGAAGTTCTCTCCGTATGGAACAAATAGGTATCAGCTATCCAGTTAGTATATATATATCGGTACTTTCGACGGATAAAAAAGCGGAACGTCGAAAAGTAGCTACGACTCGCGCCGTTAGCCTCTCTGTAAGATCCACTGGTGGGACGGAACAGGCAAAGGGGGGTCATCGATGCAATATAAAAGAGAACGAGCACGTATCAACGAGGGATGCATGGAGCAACGGATGCCAAGGGCGATGCAAACGTTAGCCGCAACCTTACCTGGTCCGATATCGCCCTTCCCCGGGAAGTTACCGCGATTACCGGCGACTCCATCTAGGCCCCTTACCTGAACGAACGATGTCACCTGGTGTCCCTCGAACCGTGCACCGGGAATAACCGTTCCGAGCTACCTTTCGGTCACGACCGCCTCTACGCTCCGGGGAGCCCGAAGGACCGATCGGCGACCTCGTGTGTTATATCTTGTCGCACCCGAAATATCTCACAAAAGTCGCGTCGCGTCCTCGACTCGCGCTCGTGCTCGCTTCGTAATCAAGGGGACTCGAAGCCAAGGGAAGAAACGACACCGAGCGAGATGAAACGTTAAGAGGACTCGGAAGGGAGGAAGGATAGACCCCGGGTGCCTCCGAACTCCCTCCCGGGTCCGTTCTTGGGTCGACGCGAACGGAAGTTAAACGGAAAGGAAGCGAGTCGAAGCGGTGGTCATCTGCGTGTGTACGATGATGCGGCGTGTGATGATAGCGGAACGAGTGACTGACACGATGAGTGTTCGTGTACGTGAGGCTTACCTGGGTGGACATCATCTGCGAGTGTGGGGGCGGGGGTGGCTGGGGGTGCTGGGGGGATGGCTGTGATGAGGGGTGTGTGGGCGGAGATGGTCGCATTGTCGAGTTGTTCTGCAACAAGCAACGCAAACGACAGACATGTAGCAACACTGCGATCCAGGCAACAGCTAGACTAGAAGGCACTTCGCTTAAACCCCCGATCGAGCGACCCTCGGAACGCGCCCCAAAGACCTCCCGACCCCGACGCGCCTCCAGGGGCGGCCGAAGACCCCCTCGAGTGCCCTCCTCGGGAACGAAGGCCCCCGCGCCCCGGGCATGGCCCGTGATTCGCCCTTTGGACGGATTCTACGATGCAACGAACCGGCGCCATCCGAGCAGGACCCGTGAAGAACCACCCATCCACCCTACGCATCCCCGTTTAGGGGCGATAAAGATCTCTTTGCATCGAGACGACGAACCACCGCGCATCAAATCCAAACGCACCTTCTTCCTCGTCCAAGACGTCCCACGAATCGCGATTCACGAACCACGCGTAAGCGCGTAGAAGCCTTAACGACGACTAGGCACTGCCTCTTAGGAGCTCGAGGCAAGTGCGCCCGGACAGCGGCGCCATTTCGAAGCGTATCTTCGAGCGCCCTCCATCGGTTCCGCAACGACCGTCGTAATTCCTACAACGTTCGTTGGATCTTCGCTGATGAAGTCGGCGACTGCCGCGCCACGCACTAATTTCGTTTACGACGGTTATCCCTCGGCAAAGAGGGCCACGGGACGATTTTCTCTTTAAGGCTCGCATCCAGGATGCCAGAGGTCGGTCGGAGATCTCGATGTATCGTGGACGCGAGCCCCTGCAGGTCGGCGGCAAGTGACGGACGAAAACCCGAGGAAAGGTGCACGCGTTTCCCTTCCTCTCGGAACCCCGAATTCGCCTCTAACCGAGAAGCAGCCGAAAGATGACTAAAGATATTTGGAACGCTCGATTTGAAAAGTCGTGAAAGCTTACGGCCCTAAAGAAGTGAAGTCTAGGAGGTCTCGGTACGTACGTCTCTAATTTCTGCTAGATCCTTAAGTGCCCGATCGCGCGCCGAGTTGGGTCCGTTCATCGAAACGAACGTATCTCCGCTCTGGTGGACCACTATTACGAAGTTACGTAGAATGCTAGTCTACGGTCTAGGCAGGCTGTGACGTTAAAAGAGTGCGGCCCTTGATCGGCGTTGTCGTAGTCCCGCGAGTCTGGCCGGTTTTATCGGCTTCGATCGCTTATAAACCCGCGGATCCGCTATCGATCGCGACCCGACACCGTCGATCGAAGGTGGAAAAACGCTAGAACGGTTTAAACCGTCACTAAACTAGAATGTTAAAACTATGGGCTAATCTAACATCTAGATAACTCTTTTCAGGACAGACTCCTAGAACCGCTTTGGCGTAGCAAGGAAATGAAATGGTAACAGTGTGTACATGAACGCGCACATACAAGAGTTAGATACATAGCAGAGAGAAATAAGTACATAAAAAACAGTGTGTAGAACAAGCATGGCATAAAAACTCTGGTTTAAATGTACACTTGTTTCAAAGCCGTGGAAAATCCTAGCTTGACCATAAACCCTCGACGACGTTCGAAATTTTACGAGCTTCCGTTTAATTCGCCGATCGATCGTATATGCCTGGTATTCGATTTCGAGATTACGGCAAGATTATTTCGGACTTTGGTTACCGGTTCTCTGAATTTCTCCTTCCGTCTTCACCCCCAAAAGAGCGGAGTGCGATTTGAATCAAGTGTAACTCGTTTTAACAGGGGGTTGTAAATATATATATATATATATATAACAGTGACGTGACAAACACATATACGTATGTACATAGAGACATATGAGATTCTAAAGGGTCGCCCTATTTTTTAGATCTCGCGTTTTTTTTTTCCAGAATTTCGTAACAGCGCTGGGCGCAAATCGGGAACTCTTTGACGTCACTTTCAGAGCACCTTAACGAAATATTTCATCGGTACCATTCGAAGAAACATTTCCTTGGTTTAATGAACTTTTTTTTTCTTCTCAGGATATGTAAATGTTTTTAAACTCGTTTTTGTCGCAAACATCGCATGAAACCCGAGCACTTGGAGCTTATACAGCTTACTAAAATATAATTTCAAGTAAAGTGAGTCCTGCACTCCACCGAAGGTTATTCGCAATTTGCGGAAAAACGTTCGGCACGAGCTTCGCGGACTTCGAAAGTTTTCAAGCCATACTATCATGTCAGTCAGCAATTTGCTTCGTAACGCGAACGAATCGTTCGATGAAAATCAAAAGGGAGCCGGTGGACGAACGATACGGCAAGATCCTAAGCTCGGCCGAAGGAGAGAATTTTGATAAAGAGTAGGAAAATTTTAATGAGAGGTTAATGGAAGAAAACTTACTGGAAAGAATCCAGGGGGCATCGGACCACCAGGCATGCCATCGTTGGGAGGCATCTGCCCGAGTGGAGATGGAGCAGGTCCAGCATTCTGTAATGATCCTTCGATTAAACTATGGAAACCTAAGTTGCATCGAGCATAAATTTTCTTCGATCTCCGTGCACGATACTCATCATAGGTAGATGATATTAGGTAGAGCAATGTTAATAAAAGATACGTTGTTTTCCACGCATGAGACAGTGAAATACTCTTAAAAACCATTTTCTCGCTAAAATGTTATCTTTGATACTTTGTGACTCTACCAGTAATTTCGCATCAAAAGTAAATTCCTGTTCATGTTCCAAGGCCACTTAGAGGGAAGATATTATTGAAACTATTGTGAACAATATTTAGTTTTGGAGTAATAATGAGAGGATAATAATACATTGTATATCAACTTACATGAGCGATTCCGTTAACGCCATAACCACTGTTTACAAATCCCTAAAAAAAAGAAATGTATATGAATGCCTATCTATACGTACCAACTGATAAAATCTTATAGAAATTAGTGATACATTTGTACCAAATCTCGAAAAATTATGTTGGAATACTAACGTAATCATGGAACGCTTTGGCTTCGCTACTGTGTTCACAGGAATCACGTCGTTCCGGTGCTGCGCAGTAAAGGTCCCAGAAAACACTGAAATACAGTGAACCATGAATAAATTGTCCATACATTGGATCTAAGTAGATTAATCTTTGACACAGCATAGCAACATGTAAATGACTACTCATTTTAATACAACAAAAAATTGGACATTGAACTTACCACCACCAAGAATGCAGAAATCCTGGAGGTTCGCCAAGCGTAATGTTCTTTTCCCATCGTATCTGAAAGATAGTCAAAAGGTTAATAACATTCCTTCTCTGTTTACATAATGTTGACGTTTTCAATAATATTTGTTCGACGTCCAAGATCGTGTTGTTTAAATATTAAAAATTTTATGATAGTATCTTTTTGTAGAAAGGGATTGAAAAACTGTCCAATTGTTACAAAGAGGATGTGAATGCCTTTACCATTTAATGTTGGCAAATTTAACATCTCGCGATACATTTGTTTAAATAGAAGTAAACAACACGAACTTATGAACCCAAACTCATGTTCTAAAAAATCGTTGAATCTTTAAAACCACATTCCAACAAAATTACCTCGGACAGGAAGGTCTGCGCAGCTTTTTGTGCTCCCACGTGCAGCAGGTACTCGTACACATAGAGAGCCAACCTGTAACAGAGATTATATTTAATTGGCTGGGATTTTATCACAAACATTTCCTACATCAAACGAAATTTCAATTTATTTAAAAAGCAACTCCCGTAATGAATATATAGCGAATTAAAATGGTGCGCAACCCGGACGTAAAGAAAAGCCAAGTTTACTCGAAAACGGAGGGTCAAATCTTAAAGAGCAAAATCCGCAATAACTTTCCGGACAAGCCGATACAGAACCACTTGGCGGCATAACCACGGAAGCACGGTGCTTTCAGCGGCGCATTTGTAGCGGTTCTTTCATACACAGGAGACGCCGGGTAAATCCGTGAGAAGGGAGAGAAGCAAGGGGGGAAGGGAGTCGAGTCTCTCGCCGAGACAGTTATCCGTAGTTATCCGGAACGACGGCAGAGGTGCTCAACCTCGGTCGCCGTCACGTGTGCGTGACAGCGGCCGACGTGTCCGGACTCGTTCGCGTTCTCGGCCGATACTCCCCGACACGGCGGATGCGTCGATTCCGCCTTTCATCGAGCGGCCTCGCAAAAACTGAAAGGAAAGCGGTACGTACTTTTCCCTGGCCTGGGCGTCGGACGGCACCGACGAACCCTTTCCCTTGGCGTACATCGTCGAGGCTCGGGATTCGTTCCGGCGTAAACACAGCTCACGGGACGTCGAGGGGTGACGGGGTGCGGCCTCGCTTGGGGCGTCGCGACGTCGGCCGATGTCGGCCTCTAGGACGAGCGGTCACCGCGTGTGCCCGGTGGGAACGCCAGCGCGCTCGCGTCCGCCTCGCGAACGAGGCCCGTCATCGTTGTCCGATGACGCTTACGCCGTTTCTCGGGAGGAAACGACGCTCCTCTCGCTCCCTCTGGCTCGAACCGCTGCGCTCCGTCTCTCTCTCTCTCGTCTTCGGCGCGCCGGAGCGGCGCACGCGCGCGAGCCCGATCGAGTGATCTCTCGACGGCTATTGTTCCCGATACCGTCCCGCTTTCCGCTTTCCGCCGACCAACTTCCGACGCGGCTCCCGAGACTCGTCTCGCTTCGAACTATCCCGACGCCCGGGATCGCGCGGTCCTGCTCACCGGTGCTCGAAGACGGCGGATCGCCGCCTCGCTTTCGACCTCGCGTACAGCCACCACCGGACACTTCGGACACCCACCTATCTACGCGTCGCGACGACGCCACGAAACCGCTCGCACTCGGCGGCGCTCGGTCGCCCTCGGTTGGCTTCGGTCGACTTCGGCTCCCTTCGCCGCGACCCGAAGCTCAACGGCCCGGCCAGGGCCGTCCCTCGCGCCAACCCCGCGACTGCCACGCTCTCCTCTTACTCGCTCCGGGCGGAAAATTTCACGAAACTCCACCGACGCTCAAATCTCCTTAAACGTAAGATTTACCTGGGCGAAGATGACTTTAAGGTTTGCCTCACATATTTATTGCCTTTGTTTCCGACGGGTCTATCACTCTCGTAAAACGAATGAAAATTTCTAAGTACAGGAATTAGCGCTCTCTGTGGCAGTCCCCTCGAACCTAAATATACTTTATTACGGTAAAACTAAGCGTCCCAGAGGTCGAAATAAAATTATCTGCTAGTCACCTTTTAGATCATACGCTTTATTGTACAGTAGATATCTTATACTCGCAGGGAACGATATCTTAAACTGTACTATTTTAAACGGTACATACAAAGTATGTATATTGACGATAAGGTTTCTAACCTTGTAAGAATCGGTGTCTATGCGGGAGAAGCGTAAAAAACATTCGTTCGGTAAGCGGGGAAATCGCCGTACGAGGGCGCATCGACGCAGGCAAAGTTAAAACGAAATAAAAGATGAATCACGCATCAATAAATGCTCTCTTATGGATCAAAAAGTCCGAACTCGGTGGCAGGCGCAACGCGTTCGGCGCCGGTCGACAACAGGCCGCGCGACATTCTCGGCGGCAGCGGCCGAGCGCGGCCGAGGTTGGCCGAGGTTGGCCGAGGCGAAATCACGGCGAAATAGTCGACTCGGAGATCGACTCGGAGTGGAGGTACGCCGAGGGGTCGAGAAGGGAAGAGCTCCGCCGCCACCGCCGTTGGCCGTTCCCTCCGGTGTGCCGCTTCCCCCTTTTCTATTTTATCCTTAAACCTGCTCAAACCGAGCTATCGCAATGCCGATATCGCCGACGTGTTAACCGATGCGCGTACTCCACGGTTTATAGGAAAACCTCGACTGCGGCGTCGGAATTAAACCGAAGCTCGACGCCGGGCCCGGAAGAGAAAATACGAGTCGCTCCCGATGGACGGACCGGGGACGATAACGTGGGAGGAGTTCCTCGCCGACGCCGAGGATTTGGTCCGGCTCTCGGACGAGATTTCGGACCGGTGGGAACTTCGGGGCGATAAGGTACGATCGATAAATCGAGCAGGCCTCTTTCGAGAGGGGAATTCTCGATTCGTCGGCGGGCTTATTGCCAGGGTTGGGACATTTCACGTTTTTCAACCTTCTTGACGTATATCGCGTAAACCGTGTACTTTACCGTAGAAAACCAGTAAATTTCGTTTCCAATATGCCGCAGGTGCACGATATATGTATCCACTAGGCTATAAACATCTTTCAGCGTATACGCTCAAAATTACTTCAAATTAACCCTGTTTGATATCAAATTTCTAATTGAATTTATTATTTTCGAGTTACAAGTAGAACGGCGTAACAGAAAACTCGATAGAGTTTCGCGCCAAATGTATTTAAAATCTTGTGCGAACGGCGCGAATACTTTAACGCGACGACGGCTCACTATCTGACCGATTTCAGACTCTACCGGGCCGTGCGTACTTGGCCCGACGAACGAAGACCTTCGTTTCCAGCGATTTTCTCGTTGACGAACGAGCGGACGAATTCGAGTCGATTGTGCCGGAGCCAACGAGTGATCCCTTCGAGGCGACATCCGTCGTCCAGAGACCGCTCGTCACGGAACATCACGTTCTATGGTCCATGAGCTACGGCGTTCCGCTGCTCTATTTCAATGCTTGGAAGTCTGGTGAGTCGTGGGCCCGCGCTCCCAAGCGTTCGATGGCCGCTGGACCTGCTGCAAATTTTTCGCATTGTTCTATTTTATCTTAAGCCTTCGCAGCGGAATACCCGTCAACGTTGCTCCAGTCGGGTCGCTTGAAAGCGTGTCGCGGTTTTGTAGCTGCAAATTTACATCTCAATTAGTACATTTTTGCGCGTGCCATGATTTCGCGGAACGTGGCGCCATCTCTCGGCGAGAAGGGGAAGCTCGGAACCGACGACGGGCTGAATAATCGTTGGTCGGCAGTGGACTGGCGTTGGGTACATTTGCGATATAATTTGTAATCCGGAGAAGAAGGAAAAATGACTATATTTCCATCGTACCCCTCAATCCGGGATTTATCGGGTCCGAATCCAGTAAATCGCATGTCACCGTCGCATTAATAATTAAGCAGATTCAGTTCTGAGCGTTTCGATTGACACTTAAATTCGGGTTTACTGGGTTTGGACTCGATAAATCCCGGATTCCGAGTACGATGGAGACATCGTTAATGATCGAGAAAGTTTGTGAACTCGATCCGATCGTTCGCGTGTACTGGCTCGTGTTCCCGTGCAAGTAACTTGCGACATTTCTTGCTAGAGCCTGAACTTGCGGGTACATTACCAATAAATTTGCGCAAGTTCACTTCCAAAACCGTGTACACTCTGGCAAGGACTGTCCGAGAGCAGCTCTCGCAAAGTCGACTTGCACGTGAACACGGACTATTTTGTCATAGCGATCTGGATGCACGATTAAGTCACGGAAACGTAGTCTCGAGGCAACGCGAAAGGCGATAGGAATTGCCCGGACCTGTACACGAGAGACGGTGCTTTCGACTCCACGGGGAAGCGGATGAGGGAGAACGTAATCGCTACTAGACCTAAATCCGCGAAAGCGTTCCTCTATTGCCGATTGTTCTCTCTTTACTCGAAACCGGGTTAAGACTTCAGGACCGAAAGGGGAAGTCGGGAGGTTTCGAATTGCGGATACGAAAACAAAGAGCACGGCCTCGAAATGAAGTATAATCACCGAAATATTAGAAAGAAGAGTTGCCCTCCGTTTTGTCGATTTTTTTAGCGATACTTCTTACGGTAATGCGCGTAAGTTCGTATTTTATGAAAGGAGTGCGAAAGTGAAATGCAATTTTTTTTTGATAAAGGTAAAGGGGACACGGTACACAAATAACGCGACAGCGACTGCACTTTAGACTTTGCAGGAGTCAATCCGGTGAGCGTGGAAGCGGCTCAAAAGCTGGTACCTCAAGGATCTCTGGGATACGGAGAATTGTCTCAAGCCATGCACCCGATCCAGGATCAGCCCTTCATGTATTTACATCCATGCAGGACTCGAGAACTCCTGCAGATAACGCACAAGAGGTGATTATCACGATTCCTAATCCTGCGCAGTTCTCCAGTTTCCGCATTAATTACACGGAAAAAAAGGAATGGCGAGGGAAACTACAATTGAGATAACCTTCCCACACTGATAAAAATCGATGAAAATTAACATAGCTTATTTTTTTTGCGGGTGCTTCGTTCCGAAATGTTTGTTCCGGTTAAGAAACGTAACGAGCCAACCATCGCGACATCTGATATCTTCCGTTTTTTCCAGCAAGAACAAATTGGTCAGTTGGCTCAGCGCGATAGCTCCAGCGGCCCTTTATTTAAAAACCAGGCCGGAATACTACGAGTTGACTTTAGGCCAAGGACGGAGGCAGAGCGCAGCCGGTCACGAGGACAGCGGGAACAGTGATAAAGACGACGAAGACAGCGATAAAAAAGATCGCTGCGAGTTTCACCATCGGGAAGACACGCGTCGATGATAAGGTCGATACACGCGCGTCGAGAGCGCGCAAGGTTTTCGCCTTTACTTCGGCCACTTTGCCCTCGAAGTCTATGTCGTCATCGCCGAAACCTTGAGAAAATCCCCTCTCCCGGTCGGGAGGATTTGGGACATTCATCTGGAATATTGATGAGAAGGCAGCTCGTTTTTCGGGAACGTTGCTAATCGGCTGGTTAAATCTATGCAAATGTTTAAACCGTTCCTCGCGGTCTCGACGTGACGAAATACGGTTACATTCCGTGATACCGCGAGACGGTTACGACGCGATACGATATCGAGTTTCTTGTTAAGTCCGACCGAAATGAGTTACGTCGCGAATGTACAGGATATGGGATTTATTTATGCGGGGTCTCCGCTCCGAGTCGTCCGCACTTTGCGGAGCTCGATCGAGATGTTTCGATCAAATCAAAGTTTCGTTTGATACATGCAACGCCGGAACATCCGAGCCTCCCCCTTTGGCTTCGACTCACAAATTTGTACCGCTCGCAAACTTGTTGAGCGCGAACGAGCGAATGCAGCAAACGCAGCAGAAGTTATTACTATTTGTTCAGGATCCGTTACAACTGTGACCGCCACTAAAGAGAATACGAAGGATAGGTATCTCGTTTCGGCTGTTCCTGCGGCTGACTAAAGTTGTTCGCGTTCATAGACGTCCTGCGTTATGAGTCTCGATATCGCATAAATAATTCAAGGCTTCGATCGGATGAAATACCGATTACGATGTCGCAATGCTAACTCAAAATTTAGGTATTCCTGTTGCTACACCTTCGCAAGGTCTCGATATCCGTTCGTCTATGCGGAAGCGTGTGTCCTCCGATTAGCTCGAATAAACGGTAGTCTATTGCGTAAATAGGACGAATTAATTTGGATATATTTACGCAATACCTTCTCGCGCTCATTTTTTGTTCCGTCAGAGAGATACGATCCATTTGAAAAATGATGGAACGTTCGGGCGAACGGCAGTTCACGCTATTCCGTTTGTTCGTTTATTTCGGACGCGAACCGTTTTTACCACAAAAAAAAGGTATCTTTCCCAGGACTACTTCAAAGAAAGACGGATGCCCGGACGAGCGACGTTAGGCCATTTGCCTACGTACCGGCAAAACCGGCGCCAGCACCGACTCTTCTGCCAAAAATAATGGAACTTTCATTTATTTACGTTATTACCATCGAAAAAAACCGATGCCGCCCCCGGTTTTGTCGGTCATGTGCAACCGGCGTTACAATTTAAACGGGATCTCGTGCGCGGTGGTTCGATGCACGAAAATAATTAGGGTCAGGCGGTTATGCAATGGACGCGCTGGAAAAAAATAGAGGACGCGGCAGCCAGGGGCCCAATCCAGCGACCCAAGCTCGTTAAAGAGGTCTCGGAGATATTTTTATTTTACTGTCCATCTTTTCCTGTTTTCGGGCGGTCCTCACTGGGAGTCGACATCCGGCGCGTGGACCAATCGTCAATTCGCAACGGAGAGTCTAGGGACTTTGAACGCTTCTCGTCGAAGGGGGAAAACGCGAACGAGGAAAGTTCGATCGGGGGCAGTTCGGCGTGTGAGAAGAGCGTCGAGATTCTTGGAATGCCTCGAAAGTATCTCCGGCCCGAAGCGACTCGCTCCATTGTGTTCTGGTTTCCGAGAGTAAAACCATTTGCCCGCTCACCAGCACCAACTTTTCTATCAGAAATAATGTAACTTTCATTTTTTTTAACACTATTATCGACGGAAAAACCGGCGCGGGAGCAAACGGCCTAAAGGAGACGAGGGGCTATTCACTTAGAAATTAGTGAAAACGATTTTTTTCTTTAAGAGCCCTTGATTTCATATGATAAACAGCAATGCGATGCGATAATAAGGAAAGTTTGGCTTTAAAATTGTGAGAAGCGGTCGATGATTTTCAACGATTTCCAGCTGATTCCAAGCGTTAAAATCCATGACTTCTGAGTGAATACCCCCTCGAAAGGAGGACGGCGTCGACCGTCCGGGCGCTTCGCAGGCGACATTTATAAATAAAGATTTCGTTTTAGAGGGAGAAGGTGAAAGGAAGCGCTTTATGGCCGGCAATTGAACAGAAATCTGGAAAAGACCGGTTCGATCCCGCCTATGCCGATGCTATATTGGGAGAAAAGGATGGCGACGAGCGAACGGAGCAGACGCGCTCGATGTGTTCGCAAAACGATGGGACTATTGATCCCACGAGCGAACGCACGGCGGTACCCGTTCGTCGATTGAGCGGTCTTCGCTTCCGGAATCAATCCGACTCGCGTTTCGTCCTCCCTCTTTATATTTTATATGTGGGCTTTTTTCAAAATGAAACACTGCCCCAAAGAAGCGGGGGCCCGGTGGGAATACTTTTAAGCCGCTTCGTCGAATTCCCGCGAGAATCCTCGAGGCACGAAACAGAGGCTCGAGCGTTATGTCGATTACCCACGGTTATTACTAAAAGTACCGCCACCGAATGCGAGGAGCGACCACTGAATTAATTGCGTCGTCGAGTATACGATAACTACCCAGATAGACAAAGTGATGCAAAAATTTGCATCAAATTTGCCTCATAGAATATCATGAAACGAGTCACGAGGGTGTTGCTTATGAGGAGCAAATGGTCTGCAAACTGTTTGCAAACGATTTTCCTCATCAAATGATAATCGTGAATTTCTATCTGGGTATCTTTAGAGATTAAGCTTATCATTTAGTGTATCAACGCGAAGCGAGCATTAATACCGGTGTACTTTGGGGTCTGGGGTATAATATCCTAATGTGCCATCACCAACACGCGATGATATAATCCGCCTTTAAGCGAACAATGCGACACGGTCGAGATAGATTTCGGTCGGTCTCGAATCTTTGGGAACGTTTCGAGGAGGAACGCCAGTTCCTCCTCGAGAAACTTAAAACGGCCCCTCCTCGACATTATTTGTTTATAAAAATTCCGTAGCCCGCGGCGTCCCTAGTTTCCATTCACGGCAAAGTCTCGTTAGAGCTCCAATGTGATACGGAATAATGGCGGGCAGCGCTTTTCTCGCGATGCCCTCCTTTTCTCCCTTTATCGGCCGTTGGGCGCGAAACTAGGTTATTCCGTCTGCGCGTGCATCAAATTACCAGGGGAATGATAAGCAACCGTTTCAAGGCTGAGGAACCTTTTTGGGCCGCGTGGTTCCTCCTTTGTGACGTAACGTTAAGAGGCGTTGGAGCATAATTGAAGGCACTCCCAGGAGGGGACCTTACGCCCTCTTTTCGCTTCCCTCTCGCGTTTCTCGCCATATCGGTGGTATTCCTGCCACGAGCCATCCACGAAGGACGAAAGTAGACCCTCGTTCTTCCCTCGGGGATGCTCGTTGCCATGGCCACGAGGACACCGTGCCGCTTGTTGCTTGTTGCTTGTTGCGCCGCTCCTGGTTCCTCTCCTCCAACAACTTTTCATGGGGACTTTGCTCAAGGCTTTCTCGATAATAATTCTTTGTAAAAAGGTTTGCGATTACGCAACGGTGTTTCCGGCCAACCTGTTCGGTGGACAAAGATTCTGGTGGATGATCGATTCTCTTCTTCAGGGTCGAGTTCATTAGTAGTCTAATTACGTAGAGTTACCGCAACTTCTTTATCGTTCATGAAACTTTTTTCCGAACTGGGTGTACCGAATAGTTCCATCCTTTACAACGTGACTATAGAGACTACAAGGAAGGTCTTGACCGCAATTAAATTTCATTTTTTTATAACAAATTTTATTAATATCCATAAACAAATTTAAAAATGCGAAATCAGTTTTTTTTTTTAATTTCGATGGTTCGGCCTCAATATACCATTGGCTTTTCCATTCGACCGGACGCGAGGGCCAAGTCGCCCATCCAAGCACCGACCGCGCCCAACGTTGCTTAACTTCTTTAATCTTACGAAAACCGGTACTCGCATCGACCGAGTTCTCCCGAGCCATAAGAAGTTTCGCTCGAAAAGATCGATTCTTTCGGGCCTCCTCGCGGCCGACGCGATCGGCGCGACCGGCCCGAGGACGCATCCGCCGAGGAAAAACGCGGGGCGGGATTCGGGCGTAACGAGCTTGCGTGGGCGAGATCGCGATCGCGGCGGGCGGGCGACGGGCGGAAGGGCGACCGACCGGGCGGGCGGCAGGAGGTTCGCGACTCCACGCCACAAGTGTTCGCGGCGTGGACGCGCGAGGAGGTGTCCCGATCTCGTAGCGGAGCCGCGCCAATCTCGCGCGAACCCGCGCTCCGCGCGCGTCGAGTCGATCTCCGTCTGGCGGGCTGCGCGCCGCGAGACGCACCGCGGGACGCACCGCCGGACGCACCGAGTCCCATACCGAGTCCCATCGATCCCGAGTAGGAGACGCACGTGCCGAGTCGCGCGGCCTTTCCGAACCGAGCGCGCCCACCAGGTTCGACCATTATTTTTATACCATTTGCCAGGCTACTCCGATCTCTTCTCTCGAGCTCCTTAGCCGCGAGTGGGAAAACCCGGAAACGCGGTGCCGTTTCGCTTCCGGGGCTCTGATCGCCGGGAAAACGCCCCCGATTTTCCGCCCGAGCGGTGTCGGACGTGTCGTGGAGGTTGTCTAGGCGATACCTTTACGTACGGTAATTGGGATACAAAATGGAACGTACTTTCGTTATGGCATACCTGGATCCGCGACGAGTTCTCTGAGGGAGTAATTAATATTTGTCAAATCGAAGTACCTATTTGTACGTTAAGATGAGTAAAAGTGGCTACACGCGGAAGCCTCGTTTATGAAACTTTTCTCTGAACTGGGGGTATCGAATCGATTGAAAGTTTATAACGTGCATATGGAGGCTATAAGAAAGGTCCTGACCCTCGTGAAATTTCATGAGCGGTGGGACCTTCGTTATATCCTCCGTATCAATGGGGTAAAGTTTGAAAGGATTCGGTACACCCAATTCGGGGAAAAGTTTCATAAAGGAGACCTCTTTGGCGCCCCTTTCGCGTTCCCTTAACCATTCGATACCGTTCGCGCATGCTTTTTAATGTATTTGGCGCGAAACTCTCCCGAGTTTCCTAATGCAATCGGGTATGGCGTTTGGATCTCGTGGTTGTCGCTCGGTTTCGTTTAGACGCGGAGTGAAACGAACCATCTCGTCGAGCCGCTATTATTATCGTAGGACTAGATTCCTCGTCTTCCTCGGGCATCGCCGTCGATCGCGCCGAACGGAAGGCAACTATTACGTGCGATCGGTACAACGGTCACGGTTACCATTACGACACAAGTCGCGACTATCTCCGGAGCCGGCTGGCAGATGCCGTTTGTTTTCCTCGCGTTGCGCTGCCTAGGCAAATTATCCTCGCGGTGCAAATTAAATCGTCAATAATCGTCGAGAGGATTTCTCGTTTTTCCGTCTCTCGAAAGGTTCCAGGAATCCAATTCCCGAGATTATCCGATCAATTTTCGCATACGAAATTAAAAATTTCGTATAACCCTTTCAAATGTTGACAAATGACCCGACTTTATAACAATGCAACATTTTTCATGCGAATCTATTCGTTAAGTGAAAAAGAATTCTTATGAACTCGAAAATACGGGCTCAGAATTTAAAAGGGTGCCGGAAAATCGTGCGTTCCCGTCCGGAGCGTTTTGACCCGATGCCACCTCGAAAGATCGATCGATCGACTATATTAAAAAATCGAGGAATCGGCTGGAAAAATCTCGTACCGTGTAACGGATTCGACCCGCAAGAAATATTTGTCGTACGCGTAACGCGCACTCGGCACGATTTATTTAGATTTATTCGTTCGTGGATGTTCGTAAAAATTGTATAAAACTGCAAACACGTGGGATATCGCGTACGTTTCTGCGATGTGATAAATAATGAAGTATTGCCCGTCGTTCCTACTTCGTAATATCCCTGTCCATCTTTTCGTCGAATTCGGTAAAATCTTGTCCGCGTGAGCAATTATTCTTTAAGAAATTATTTAATTCCAATTGTTCCAATTAATTATTCCGAAATGATTCCAATCGAAACACCGTGCAGATTCAACAGGTGACGCGGAACGTTCCGGGTGCACCCGATCCCGAGTTTCGAAAAATCTAGCGGGTCCGTGCTTACGTTATTGGTAGACATTCGAAAGCTTTCCGAATACTTTTCGGGGCACGGAGCAAACGCAAACGGGCCTCGCGTTCGAGGGTCGAATACGGAGCGGAGTGTCACGATTTAACACCGTTTTCGAACGGAAACTCGGCGCGAGTACCCGAGTTCCATTTTTTACCGAATAAAGGACGTCCCTCCGGCCTCGTCTCTCGGAGCCCCGGCAAAAAGAGCATTCCGTAAAAGCTTTTGCCACTCGTCCGCGAGAGTACAGGAACGCGCTTATTCTTAATCCCTCGAAACTGGTTCAAACTCACGGGAGGTCGATCTCTCCGATCTCGCGCAATAAACCTCTCCTCGCGTTCCCGTGCCCGCTTTTTCGCGAGCTTTCCTCCGTCTTTGCCGCCGAATTTTCGATGTCTCCCCTGAAGGGGCCGCGAGCTTTATCGCCGTTTCCAGTCGGATACTTTCGCGCGAGTTCATTTTTTCTCTCGGAATCCAGGGAGAGGACACCGTTCCCTCCCTCGCGATTAATCATCCCTCTTGACACGAGCCCCGACGAGCCTGACGATTTCGGGCGTGGACACTTTTTCGGGACATTTTTTTTTTCTTCGTGATCCTAATCTCGAAACGTGGAAGAAAAACGCCGAATAAATTCAAAGGGTGTATCTTTTCTAGCGCACGATTTTCGTCGCGAAACAGGTGGGCAGTCGGGCTCTAAAAGAGCGACGGAGACCAGGGAAAAGGGAGGCAGCTTGGTTTCAGCTGGCGCAAACAATAGCCGGCCCGCTAATAGGTGTACAGTGGCACTATTTATGATAGCCCTGCACGGCAGGATGGGATCGTAGGGGAGATCGGAGTATCGCCATAGCTAATCGTACCACCCAAGGTGGCACAGATTGAGAGCCCCATCAGCACACATCCTCTGTCGGGTCCAGGAGTAGCGGAGGTCGGCTATCCCGCCTGTGCCGCCCCCCGGCCGTGGTGACGGAGCGGCCACTTCCGGCAAGCCGGAAGCGTCCATGTGAGCCGAGCCGACCGGGAAACCGACGGGAACCCAGCCGACATGGAGGTCGCTTCCGAGCTGTACGTATACCATTACCAATGCCTGTAACTGTACCTCGATACGCGATTCGCGCCATTTCCGGTCACGCCCGGAAACCGACTCGATTTCCCATTCTTTTTATTTACTCTCCATTCCCGATCGTATTTACCTGGGGAAAGTGAACGATCGAATCGTAGGAATTTAGAATGGAGATTTTTGTATTTCTTTTTTATGGCACAAATATTAAGAAATTCGGGAGAGTTTCGCGCCAAATATATAAGCGGCGCGAAACGTTGACCGAGTCGTTATCTGCGATGATTTGTCTGGTGCGAAAAACTGGACAAAGAATGTCGTTTCCTGAATCTCTTGAATGAGCCATGTCAACATTAACCGGATCATCGAGATTGAACCATTTTTCTGCGTTTTTTGAGCTATGAACGAAACCGATTGGTACATTTAATACAGAGATGTGCCATTTTAGATATTTTACCTCTCTCGACGTGCTCGATACCGTAGTAGTTTTCTTTTTGTGTCGTTAACCGTGGTCTTCGTTTTGTCATGACTATTATTTCACGTGGAAGCGGCTCCCCGTTGAAATCTCCGAGTACATAAGTCATAAGCAATGCACCCGTAATGGTACAATACGTGCCCGATACCGAGACGGTTCTGTCGTATGTACGAGGTGTACCTGAAAGGAGTCTACGTGTCGTCACGTGGTGTCACGGCCGATGTCGTTTGTGAATACCTTCCAATGCCTATTTTCCCATCACTTTTCTGCATATGAAATACTATGAACGTCCATGTCGTTAAACGGTCGTATTTCATAACGAAAGGTTTTTACTCACGGGTCTAACGAGACCTGTCCGACAATGAAATTACGTAACGTTTATATTTTTACCTGCTGATCCGACCAAAGTCACCCTGAACTTTGGAGAACCCATAATTTCGCATTTTTCAAATGAATTTCGTCGGCTAAAATGACGCGGGAAATGGTCAAATTGAAAGTTTTCGTAGGCCGGTTAAAAATGAGAGAGAGGTCGAATTTTCGGGACGTTAACGGACCTCGGTGGAAGAACGTTTGAAGAAGCTGACGCGATAACTCGGCCATCGTTAAACGCCGTCGAGTCGAAACGGATAATGCGCCGTAAGGGAAGCGTAATTATTCTGCCTATGAGAGGCCTCTTGTCGATCGAAGGCCGTCCGCGGATATCGAGGTATCGAGGTATCGAGGGCCGCGTCGCGCTGCATCCATAGTCTCCGGACCATCGCGGAATTCAAATTTTCCCAGGAAAGATGAATAATTCCTCCTCCGTGCGTGCACGCTTCGGCTAGGTTGCGTAACGCCTGCTTCCTGGGATCGGATCGGACGCGATCCCCTCGATCTTCTCGATCTACGTGATTCGTAATCCCTGCGATCCCGTGATTTCGATTCGACTTCACGCCTCGGCGGAACTTAATAATTATTCCGCCGATCCGTGGCGAGATTCTCCGCATACGGAAGCGAAGACTCGGAGCAAGCGACGTCTTTTATGGCTCGAGATAAGACAATTAAATGTTTGTCGAAGTATGAAATGAAAAAAAAATTAAAATTTCATGACTTTCGGGACCTTCCTTATACCCTCCATATTTATGTTCTAAAATTTGAATCGATTCGGTGCACCCGGGTTGGAAAAAAGATTCACGAACGAGAACTCTGACACCAGTTTCACGTCCCCTTAACGATCCCACCTTGGCGATCGGCCGAGAAGCGACCGAGCCTCCGTGGGTGACGCAGTTCTGCGGGAGAAAAAAGGAGTCGAGCGTAGATAACGTCAATTATGCAATCCAGCCCGGGACGGCACTTTAAGTACAATGTCTCCGATGTCAATGGAAGCAAAGGCGAGCTTCAAAGAAGCACCAGAGTCGCTTCTGGTCTCGACGCCGGAGAGGAACGGAAGCTGCGCCGATTAAATCCAACCGCGAGCTTCTCGCCTCGAAATTTCAAAACGACCGTGTAAGGTCCAAGTTAAAGAGCCGATCGGTTTGATTCTATGTACAGGGAGAGGTACTTAACTTTATGACCTAGATTACCGCTGTTCTGCATGCACTTAACGAGAAATGCTTTCGACAAAAGTTGTGTGCCTTCGAGAGCTCGGTCATACATAATGCCCGGAACAAATGTTTAATACCTTGCTCCTTTTCCTCGATGTGTTCTAAATTTCAACATTTATACCGCGTAACTTTTTATTCAACCATTTCTTGTAGACTCGTGCATCGTCGTTGCATCGGATCGAATTTACGAATTTGTTGCAAATGTCTTTGACCAGGAAATATTTATTTACTACTTTATGTACGCTTTTGTCTACGTTGGAAATAAACGACCTCGAGATGACTCCAAGCGTGTCGTTTCGCGGGAGACGCCAAGCGACGCCATTTTGGTATCACGAATTCATCCCGTTATAAACATACGCTCTCATGTTATCGTTGCTGCGTACCGACACCGGAATACTCAAAGTCTCGGGATAAAGTTATGCAACCCAAAGTTGAATGGAGAGCCCGCTCGAACGGGCCGTGTCTTTTTTACCGCGTTCCCAGGAGCTTCCGCTCGTAATTGTCGTCGCTCATGAAGTCACCCCTGCAGGCTCGCATATCCGCATAATTTATCGAACGAGAATTTTCGAAAGAGGCCTCGACTCAAAAATTTAGATTCCAAGCTGACTTCAAAGGGACGCCAGAAATGGAAAAGATCCAACGAATTGGACAAACTTCTTTGAATGAATTCTCTTCCAATTTCAACATTTTTTTCCGACGAATTTCAATATTGCCCTGACAACAAAAATTCATTGAACCAAAGAAATATTTTGTTAATTCAAAGAATAATTATTTGACTGAAATAAATTGTCATGATTCCAAAGACATGTTGCATTAAACGAAGTCTCATCCCGGAAGTTCCTTCGGAGGAAGGGCCGCTTTTGGTCTCGCAGCCTATTTCGACTTGTCATCGAAGTTCCATTGTTCCCGTGACACTAATTCGTATTCGGCTCCCTTCTCGTTGACTCGGAGATCGTATTCGAGCGTCAGCTTCTCTCTGTCGAGCATCTATTGCCGATCTTTGGCAAGGAAAAAAAATGGGACGTCGCGCCGTCTCCGCTTATCGACGACGGGTGGTGTCAATTTCACCGGAATTCCTATTTATATCCTTATTATGATTTCGCGTCTGGCAATGATTTATCGTGGAGTGACTCTCCGAAACTATTTCCGGCCATCGACACCGGCGAAGCGGCGAAACGAGGAAACTCGTATTTTCTCGTCAAACCGTTGACACGGGAGGTCGAAATTAAGACATCCGTCATCGGTTCGGGGCCGTTAATGGCTCTTAATTGTGCCACGGCCGGTTACAATCGCGCCGGTATCCTAAGAACGGCCGATCGGAAAAAAACGCCTTATCACCGATTGCAAGAAACAATTCCAAGATTATACGCGGTCGTCAGAAATGCGTATGATCGTGGTATGTGTATACCATGCTTGATAAAACGTCCAGCAAAAATGTTTTAAAATTATAATATTTTTTTCAACAGGGTATAAGTTGATCCCAGTTGTTTGAAACACTTTTGAAAATGGCACGGGCCAAGATTTACAATACGGTGTACAATATTTCCTTCGCTCGGGATATATGTGCGACATAAAACCGAGTTTAAATAGGGCACACCCGTGTAACCGCGAGAGATATATCGGTTCCAAAATTCGTTTTCTAATTTCACTTCCGTGGCCAGCTCCGATTCGGAGAAGAGAAGCGTCTCCGAGGCCGACCGCGTGGTCGATCATACCAGAATAAACGGTACAACCGCTACGATGTAGGTAACCCAAAAGCCAAAAGTAAGAGCACAAGGTGCCAAAACCGAGGGTGGGTTCGACCTTCGAAGTGCGTACCGCGTGCGGGTTAATTGGCCAAACGCGTGCACGCCCCGCATACGCGGAAACAAGAAAGATATCTGCTCTCCGAGCTGTGACCACCCAAAATCGAATTTACATTCCTTTTTACACACTTCGTTACTTCATTTTTCTATGTGAAACTTCTACTTATTAGGTGTGTAAAAATGCATGTAAATTTACATCGATTTTTATCAGGGTGGCGGACCCGAATGCCTTTGCGGATATGCTATCACCGGTATACGACGAGAAGGCATTCACGTCCGCCGATCTGCTAGGATTATGCGAATCCCATGAAAAATGAAGACGAAAAATCGTTATAGGTCGCCCTTGTCCAGGGACGGCGGACCAGGAGAGAGGACCTCGTATTACCCTCAGGAGCCGAGCAAGAGGCCACGTACCAGAAAACAAAAGGTGGCATCATGCCTGAAACACAACGCCTTGACGATGCTTACCGTCTCGGGTGTCTTCGGCGGCATCATTCTCGGGGTGATTCTGAGAGCCTCGTGGGGTGGCAAGTGGCCGGCCCGCGAGATGATGTACGTCAACTTTCTGGGCGAGCTCTTCCTCAGGATGCTCAAGAGCTTGATCCTGCCGCTGATCATGTCCAGCTTGATCTCCGCGATCGGATCGCTGGATCTCTCGCTCAGCGGGAGGATCGGCGCACGAGCCATCACCTACTACATGGCCACCACCGTCAGCGCCGTCATCTTAGGTCGGTGAGATCAGGAAACTCGGGAGAGTTTTGCGCCAAATGTACACCATTGCGTCCGTACATATGCATATTACTCTATCCGATTCTTTGATAACCCTCGACATTGCCGCTGGACGAGGTTCACGATGACCGGCGACTCGGAATCGTCCGAATTACCGATGATTTCTTCCAGGTATCATCCTGGTGGTGTCCATCCAGCCCGGTAAAGGCGGCAGTACCGCCTCCGTTGCAACCACCGGGGGCAGCAGGAACATAACCACCGTCGACACGCTCCTAGATCTTGCCAGGAACATGTTCCCGCCTAATCTGGTGCAGGCCTGCGTCAGCCAAAGTCGTACCAAACTTTCGTTACCCGAGAACGAGACCCTCGGTAAGAAAATGCTCCGGGAAGTTCCCTATCCGAATCCGGAAGGGAATCTCGAATTACGATAGAGGGAGATAAAAGAAAGGTAGCGATCGTTGCCATAACGTCCGCTTCGTTCTCAGCCCTGCCGATTTTAAAATGGAAAATCGACTCGGAGGACACGCCCGGCATGAACATCCTGGGTCTCGTCGTTTTCGCCACCGTCCTGGGAATCACTCTCGGAAAAATGGGCTCTCAGGGGAAGCCGCTGTTGGACTTCTTCGAGGCCTTGTCTTCGGCTATGATGATCATCACCAACTGGGTGATCTGGTAATAAGAACCGGTTCCATGTGACTAACTTATGGCTGACGAAGATCCTCTCTTCCGCGACCCGAGGTGGGAGTTTGACGCAGGGTAACGGAGAAATTCTTACAGGTTATCCCCGGTCGGTGTCTTCTTCCTGGTGGCCGCAAAGATTCTGGAAATGGATTCCTTCGACGTGATCATCAGTCAGCTGGGGATGTATTTCCTGACGGTGGTGGTGGGTCTCTGCATCCACGGCTTCATCGTCCTGCCGGCGATATTCTTCGTGTTGACCAAGAAGAATCCCCTGGTCTACATCTCCAACATGGCGCAAGCCCTGGCCACGGCGTTTGGAACGTCTTCCAGCTCGGCCACTCTGCCGGTCGCTATCGGCTGTCTGGAGGATCGAAACGGGATCGATCCGAGGGTCTCTCGATTCGTGATGCCCATCGGAGCGACCATCAACATGGATGGCACCGCGCTTTACGAGGCCGTTGCCGCGCTCTTCATCGCTCAAGTCCGAGACGTGCATCTGAGCTTCGGGCATCTCGTGGCGGTTAGGTAATTCGACGAGTGTAGATATGTACAATGAATCCGCGTCAAAGTGATGCAAAATTTGCATGAAAATCGATTTTCCGTATCATACGAAGATCGTGAATTTCTATTCGGGTTTCGTTGTCCTCAGCATCACCGCGACCGCCGCGAGCATCGGTGCAGCCGGAATCCCGCAGGCGGGACTCGTCACCATGGTCATGGTTTTGGATACCGTCGGTTTGCCGGCCGACGACGTTACTTTGATCGTCGCCGTGGATTGGTTACTGTAAGTGGCGACGCCAAAGCTAACCGGTGCCCCCAACGTGCTCGAGTGATCCCAACGCGTGATTTGATTTTAGCGATCGTTTGAGGACAACGGTGAACGTGGTGGGCGACTCCCTGGGTGCAGGAATCGTCAATTACTTCAGTCGAAACGAGCTGACCTCCATGCCGCGCCTAGCGAACGCACAAAACGGCGCCGACCATGTCACCACGTCGATATGAACGGGCGAACGTGTCGTCGAAGATACCAGGCGTGTTCGAAATTTGCCGAGGATCGTCGTCCTCGGCTCGTCCTGCCAGGAGGATCCTCCGGCGGACGCCTTCCCGTCTCCGATGAAAACGGCGGACACCGGAAGTGACGACGATCGGCGGTGCGAAGGTCCACACTAGCCAATACGAATACTCCAGCCGTAACGTCGCCTTGGGACGACAACGCGTAGGCGACCCAATTGCCGCTTTTTAAGGGTTTAAGCTTGCTCCAAGTCGTTGCTTTCGTTCCGTTTGTTTCATCCAGCGAGATCCATTTCTTAACGAAACGAGAAGTAATCCCGCGCGCAGAGAGTGTCGGGGCGGACAACCTAAACGACGTTGTAGCGAAGGATCGGTATATATTCGATTGCTGGGGTGGACTTTGGAAAAAAGACGACCCCCGGGATTACTGCGACTCGGATTGCTCCCCTTCATCTTTTAACCCTAGGTAAACTACCATATTTTTGTATAATCCAGCCTCTTTTGTTGTACATTTGACGTTTACGTCTTTGTATAATTCTCTCACGACGTAAGGAATCGACCGTGCGTTTTGTATCACGATCCGCGTCCTAGACGCGATCGATTTTGTCTTGAAATCAATGTCGAAAAAGTGTCATGGAAAGTTTCAGAGCTCGGAAAGCTCGAAACTGTCAGAAATTCAATTTTTTCATAAAAGTACGCGCTCGCGAAGGATTTACGTATAAATATTCGCAAGGGGCAGATCTTCCTTCGAGCAAATACTCCGAGTCATTTAGTTATCGGCGGAAGAGCCGCATCTATAAACCAGGAAAAAGAATAGAATGACTCGAAGGGACAACGACCTCCTCTGAAAAAACACCCCGGATACTGTAAATACTCCAGCAGATTCGCGGATCCTCTCTCGGAGGTAGCTGATCCCCTTGTATTTTTCAATTAATCCCCAGGAGATCGAGTATACGTACAATTATGCCACAATGAAAGTATATACAAAACCCGCGTACAAAAGAAACGCAAAGCGCTTCGTCGATCAACGTCATCGGAACAACTTCCGCGTGGCGTTCCACCTCGTCGGCAACGAGTCTCGTTTCTAATAACAAAGTATATTAATATTTATAATATTCTTAAGCAAATACATTAATATACATGCATACATATATAAATATATATATATATATATATATTTACATGTACATATTAATACTTAAACTTTAGAGAGACGTTGGTCGTTTACGTGCATTTACTCGATTACGCGTCGAGGTTCTCGCGTCGTTTCGTTGCTCAACGAGTTACGCTCGTTAATCGTAACCTCTGCGAAGCCGCGCGATCGTTCGTCGATCGCGTCGGCTTACTTGTTAAATTTCGTTGATCGAAGATATCCAGGAAAGCGTTCATACATCGGACGACCCGCGTAGGGTCCTGATTCCGTACCGCGTTGATCGTGAGATCTGCCGTGCGAAAACTCGTTAACTTGTAACATATGCACACGTGAGATAGAAGCTCGTAGAGTACCACGTGTTTACCCTCGGAGTAAATTAAGATTTGCGCCCAATCGTTCGAGTTTCGTCTCGCGAGATGAGGCACAATGTGTATTTAGAATTTTCGCGCGAGCGGTGTCTTCGAGCGGAGATTTGTCCAATCGAAGTCGCGACAATGACGATTATTTACATAAGAGTAACGCATAACATGTTAATGGCAATGACAAATAATACTCGTGTATTCATAAATGTGTATGCAGTGTCAAGTTAGAAGTACTTCGCGCAAAAGCGACATTCATTCCACGCAGTTTTGGCTCTTTCAAGAGCGTTCCTCAGTTCAAAATGCCACCCGCGGTGCGAGTGTTCGTTGCGATAGTTCGTTGTTCTCGTTCGGATTCTGAAAAGCGCTTCGGAAAAATGGCGACTTCTCTCGTTTGTTTTCCGTTTCTTCCCCGTTATAAATAAACGTAAATTTATTGATTAAACGTGAACGTCAATGCGCAATGACTTGAAGTAGTACGATGTACCTGTAGCCGACGTACCGACGATGCGTTAGCGCGTCGCGCCTTTAACGATGTAATGTTCTGTGTACGATCGTTGTAACCGACTTGCCGGAATAAAGAGAACGACCCTTCTCTAAAAGTCTCGTTCGGATGGTTTATGGTTCTTAATGATATATTAATCACTGGACAGGAGACATCATTTACAATTTACGTTATATTGATCCAACTTTGAAGATAAGTAGTATCAATGTTTCGACTCATGGTGACGACAATTTTACTAATGTCCAGCCAATAAAGAAATCGTGGTGCTCTGCAGTATGTTACCTCGCTAGGATTAAAAAGAAATAAACAAGAGAGCAGAGAGGGCTTACCCACAGAAAAATTAATTGATTCGTTGAACAAAATCGTCTGATCGTCCGCATTTGGCTTAGTTTAGAAAACGTTTTGGTTGAAGTTTAATTTATTCAGCCAAACTTTACTTCGTTCGGATACAGCGGCTTTTTAAACATAGTTTTGTCAATTTTAGAAAGTACTTTAGAAGACAAACCAATAATTTATTATTCATATCGCGAGAAGTATGGAAAAGAAAACCGATAATGGAACGCGAAGATTATATCGCTAAATCTAGTTTTGCCCGTAAATAAACAGCTGCATGGGATAACTCTATTCTTCCTAAACAAAATAAGCTGTAACTTTTTCAAACCTCGTATCTCTGAAAAAAGTTGCAGCCACTCGCTCGCAGCCGTCGTCAAGCCGCCACCGTCAACTGCCGCATGGTATTACCATCACGAGTACCTGAGCCGCCAACGGCGACTGGTAGATGGTACCGCCATCGCGAGTGCGCGAGCTCTTATCAGAAATTCATTGCGCTGCCCTTGGGGGTAAAAAACGGTGAAAGCTAACGTACGAAACCAGAGGGCAGCACAGGATGCGATCGCACGATCCTGCCCATGAGCAATCTCCCAACTCATCTCTGGTAAACGTTCATTCTATGTTCTCTTATATTATGAACGAAGTGACGGCGATGTGTCCACGCGTATTATCTTTACTTTTCGAAATTTCCATTCATCCTCATCGTTGAATTCATTTCCGGCATAATTAGAATGCCTTTTGCTGAAAATTATGGCAGTCAACAGAACTTTGCTCGTAAAAGACGTTCCAAGACTTACAAGGACCAAAGTGTTGACACTTGCGAGAAAACGGTGATTGATAAAAAGTTTCAATTACCGCTGGGAACACTTTTCTTTCTTCAGTTTGTAGCGATCACGATATCACTTTTTATTTATCTGAATAGCATTCATCCATACTATTTCATCGACGAAGCTTTTCATATCCCCCAGACTCTACGATATTGCGAAGGGAAGTTTTTCGAAGTAGGTACATGGAATACTCTAAGTACGTGCTCACAGAATATGGCACATCTAATTAACATACGTTATTTGCAGTGGGATTCTAAGATAACGACATTGCCCGGTTTATATCTCATCACAGCCGGAGTACTTGCCCCTTTTGGCCTTTGTAATATAACATGGATTCGCTCCATAAACTTAATTGGAACGCTTTTTAATGTTTTCTTGGTTTACAAGATCACAAAGTACAATCGATCTGGTTTTTCTCATAGCGATTGGATACACCTTACGACGACTTATGTCATTGTACTCTTTCCACCGCTTTATTTCTGGTTCTTTCTGTATTATACAGACGTTATTTCAGTTAATACGGTATTATTAATGCTGTTGTTGCAACTGCAGAAGCATTTTACAGCTGCTGCTTTTGTGGGTAAGTATACAAGCATAATTTACCATTTCTTCGTTCTTAATTCATTATCGACGTGTCACGACCACATCTATTAAGTGCTATTTTATGTTCATTGGCAATAGCGATACAGAATTTGTCCGATATGTTTACAGGAATGTTATCCATATTTGTGAGACAAACCAACATCATTTGGGTAGTATTACTTACCGTAGAGCGTGCTTTACAGTTGTTAGAAACCAGATTAAAAAATCCTATTTCCCAGAGGATACTATCTTCACCAAAATATGTCCATGTAAGGCAATCATTTTGGTACTATATATTGTACATATTTGTGATTTATTTAAACTATTAAATTAATTAATGTTTTCAGTTACTCTGGGACTACACAGTTGATGAAGCTCGCCGTGGACTTACTCCATTTTTTAAATTCGTCTTACAAATGGGTTTCCATCTCCTACCATATGTCACGATAATCTTAGGATTCATCGCATTCGTAATCTGGAACGGTGGTATAGTTGTCGGAGACCATAGTGCTCACGTACCGACAATTCATGTACCACAAATGTTCTATTTTTCTATTTTTACCCTTTGTTTTGCATGGCCTTATATGCTTCCCCACGGGAAGGGATTTTTTCGGAGTATTCGAAGACACTGGCAGTTAACTAGTTTACTTCTTGTATCAATGATAACTGTGATCCATTTTAATACTCTAGTTCACCCGTACGTATTAGCGGACAATAGACATTACGTTTTTTATGTGTGGAACAAACTAATGGGGCGATATGTATGGTTCAAGTACGTCGTTATTCCCGTGTACGGATTCTCTATGTATGCATTTCTTGCGTGCATCGGTCACGTACGTTATTTATCTAAAATTGCATACATCGGAGCTGTTTGTACGGTACTTATCCCCCAGTTATTGCTGGAACCTCGTTATTTCATCATTCCGTACATTATCTTCCGTCTGCATATACAAAAACCAAAATTTTGGCAACTATCCCTGGAGCTCCTTGCAACATTAACAGTGAATTTTCTGCAATTCTTCATTTTTGCAAACAAAGTCTTCTATTGGCCCGATCAACCGAATCCCCAAAGAATCTCTTGGTAACCAGAACCAACAACCAATGTTTCCATTTCTAAATATTAAAATCAAAGAATACCAACAATGCCGTAACTTTTATCTTCAAAATTCCTCCAGCTTTACTTCTAAATATAAAACAATTCACGATGGAATTTCATCGACTGTAAAAGGATATAAACACGTCAAAAAAGAAAAAACGGGCAGGAAACGCGAAAATAAAAGTTACCCGCAGCGGCGCTTTTTCCTTTGCTTTTTATTTCTCCCTCCCTTCTCATCTCTCTGTAAATGTAGAGCGACTATTATAATGACTAATAAGAGATCTTACACTTCGGTATATTACATCTTACAAAGAAGTCGCCGCTTATAATTAATCACTTCTCCGATCGCTCCAATCGCGTACGATATAAGAATAAGTAGCACTGCATCACTTGTTCCATCTTAGGTATTATACAAATATAATACATGTTCGTTTTCACTCGTTTGTTCCTTCCGGCTCGCGCGTTCGTTCTCGTTTGCTTGTTCGTTACGACTCGAACGGCATGCAAGGCGATCTAGTGCCGGTTTCTCGATACAATGTGCATGTCGGCTGCAATTGAAACACCCCAGCGAGAACGTCATCGTAATCGCTCGGCAATCGATCGCCTTGGATGCATCATGAAACCTGACCGTTACTACGGGTAATACGTATAGAATAAGTATTAATATTTCAATAGGCGTCTTAAGGTCACGCGAAAGTGGCGTCAAAGGTATCTCGTTTATGAAACTTTTCTCCAAAATGGGTGTACCGAACCGATTCAAACTTGACAATATAAATACGGAGGCTACGAGGAAGGTCCTAAAACTCGTGGTTTTTTTTTCATTAGTTCATAGATATTTAAAAAATGTGTTATAAAGAATTAAATTTCATGTGGGTCAGGACCTTCCTTGTAGCTTCCTTGTTAACGTTGTAAAATTTGCAACGATTCGGCACCCCCAGATCGGAAAAAAGTTTTAATAAACGATTGACTCTTCGGATGCCACTATCGTACCCCCTTAAGTGATCTGACCTACATCGAGAGACTCGGATTTGCCTCGCGCACCATTTCCCTAATATTGAAACGCGTGCATCAGTGGGGTATTTTTAATTTACTTTGATTTTAAAACTCCCGATCGCTCGACTCCAGACTGGTGCGAATTCTGCGTCTCTTAGAGAGTCAAGTCGACCTCTCGTTCACCTAAAGCATATACGCGTTACTTCGCAACGGCCTTTCGTTAAATGTTATTATCGTAGTTATATTATTGCTTGACAACAGGTCTTTTTAACGTGTTACGGGGAATGGCGTTCCCTTCGGAGAACGGAAAATCGTACAAACATTTTTTGGATACTGCAATTAAACGTCACCGTTCTTTGGGGACATTTTTCGGTCGGACAAAGCGACCAAATTCGATTTGTGATTTGTGATTTAAAAAGTCGGGTGTAGTCCCCCCCCCAAAAAAAAAAAAAAAAACTTGAAAACCCAACTTTCAGGAAAATTAAATAAAATTATCTGGATCTTAAATACTGAGACATACTGAAAATTAACGTATAAAATAACTTTGGAAGGTAACAATCGGAAAGGAGATATCTTTCTCTCGGCTCTCCCCGCGTATTGGACTATATCCTAAAGGGTAGCACTTTCTTTTTATCCCGCTTTAACGAAATAGCAGAACCGCGTTAGAGACCGCGAACGTGATCGAGCTACATAGGAACCGTGCGAAGGGTCTCTTCTTGGTCCTCGTAGATCCGAAGAAGAGCACAGAATCAGGAATGTGTGAAATCGAACGTAGCGAAGCCTAAAGTGACGTACGGTCTCGTCTCCTGATAACGAGGAGCGAATTCGAACTCGCACCCAACTCCTCGCGGTGCCAGCTCGAAAATTAAAGAGCAGAGGAGGAAGTCTTCTTTAAGGGGGGTGGTAGGTTGTAAAACGCGTTTTAATCGAAGTAAACTTGAAAAAAATACAAGGGTATCAAAAATATTTTCTTGCGGAGCTAATTCATTTGTTAAAAATCATTCGGTTCGTCAAAAATCCGTGCCGTCGTGTCCTAAACAATATTCTCTGGTCTCTAAAACCACCATAACTCTTCGTTTTGGAGCTTCTGTTTTCGTTAAAACCCTGTAGATCGTGGAAAAAAAAATAATAAAAACTTCCATATTCCACAAATTTGCCATTTTTAAACATTTTTAAATTTCTTCACCTCAAGTACTCCTTAAAATATTAAGGAAAACAACCTCGTCGGTGAATATTTCATACGACTTTACATTCTCTTTTATACTCACTTCGATTAAAATGCATTTCGCAACTAACCAACGCCCTTAATTACCGGTCTGTCGTCAATTCGGTAGGTTTGGGGTTCACGGCGCGCAGGGAAGCGCATTCGTATCTCTATCTAAACCTAATCCTCGATCTCCAATACGGAGGACAATAATCATTCCTCTCCGCATGGGCGACATAGAGAAAAATATTTAGTCTCATCGATATAATACGCACAGCCCTCGGAGTAACGACCGCCCCGTTACTCCACTTTGTAAAAGCCTCCGCAATTTTCACTTAGACGCCGTAATATCGTTTTAAAATCAATTTACACGTATCTATCGCGAGCCTGGCCCTTATTTATACAAGGATATAAAACGTTCTTGAATACCTTTCAATGGAAGCGTTACGCCATCGACTGGACAGTGCAGGGGGTAGAACGTGCGTTAACGCCCGTTCAACAATTTTTAACAGCCTTCTATGCGCACAGAATGGATACGCTTAAGGTGATACGAAAGTGGCGTCGAAAAGGTTTCGTTCGTGAAACTTCTCTCTGAACCGGGGGTACCGAACCGTCTCAAACTTTCCATCGTAAATGGGGAGACTGTAAGGAACATCCGGACACCCGTGAAATTTCCATTTTTTAAAACTTTGTAGATATTTTCAAAATTTTGTACAAAAATTGAAATTTTGTGAGGGTCGGGCTCTTCCTTGTAGCCTTCGTATTCACCTTGTAAAATTTGAAACGATTCGGTACACCCAGCTCCGAGAAAAGTTTCACGAACAATTGACCTCTCGAATAATGGTTTCATATCATCTTAAATCGACCCGCGTTCCTTGAACGTTACTCGCACTGGCATTCTTTTTTTCTCTTTCTACTCCACGACCCTACAAATATACATCGGTCGCCATAAAAGGTACAAAGGGATGCGTCCGCTTCTACCGCAGAAATTTCCCCCCTTCTCGTATCGCTAAGAAATTCATTCCGGTGGGGCAAGTACTCGAGAAACTTTGGAAAGAAAATTCTATAAATTCGAGAGGCGTCCTTTCGCGCACCGTATACTCTGACCATCCTCGGTTTGCCAGGAAGTTCACGCCATTCCGGGAGCGCGAACGGCTCCTTGCTTTCCAATCGATCAACGTATCTCGATACGAATCCGATCGCTATCAAAGTCGACCGGGCAGGGTAATCGATATCGATACGAGCGTCCTAATCAATTAATAAGGTCGAAACGTTCTCCCCGCGGGCCGAATCCTGCACTCTCGGGTCGTTCCCGAGAGCCGTCCCACCGAATCGCCGTTACGGTTTTCCGAGTCCCTAAATCGAACACATGCAAGGCGGAATCGCGCACACTCGTGTGGAAAAACACCCTACATAGGAGTCCACCGGGAAATCTCTTCCCAGGACTCGTTTCGCCTGGTCTACGTGAGCAATTTGTGCGGAGAGAGCGAGGCCGATTCCGGTCCCCACAGAACCCCGGGGGTAAGGTTGCGCGGCCGGACTCGATCGAGTTCGTTTCCGAGGTCTACCCTCCCCTCCAGAAAAACGGAGGCTGACCAAGCCCGATCGCCCGTTTCCTTCGGAGCGGATTCCCCGCGTGGGTCCCGAGATTTCTCGTCCCCCTAGCTACCGGCAAAGGCGCGCCACCCGCGGAGCAAGGAAGCAGCGATAGGCACTGGTCGCTCCGACCCGGGGAGATCCGGGGACACCTGGCGAACCCTGACGAGACGAGGGCGGTCGGCATCATACGATCTGTTGCTTGAGGACGACGAGATTCGTCCCGCCGTGCTGTTGCAGATCCAGCGGGGCGCTCGGTTCGTTCTTCTTGGTCTGCGTGTGCCAGGCGAGGACCCTGGTGCAGTCGTCGGCCAGCAGCTCGATATCCTTCGGCTCGAGGGGCGCCAGGCTCTTGAGGAATCCGTCCTCCTCGTAGCCCGCCCGGAAGGGCATCGTCGCGTTAGGCCGCTCCAGCAGGAACTGAACGCTCACCGCGAACCCGGCCATGTCGACCGGGAACTTCCGCCCCGCTATCCAGCCGTCGTAGAAGCCCGCGAACTTCCCGCCCTTGACGATCGGCGAGCTCAGCCCAAATTTCGTGCACAGTCCCACCGGGAACATGGATACCTTCTTCGTCTTGCGAATCTGAAACGTGGCGTCACCGTCATCCACCTAGCTCGTGCCGATCTACGGAAGAGGGACGCGAGACGTACCTCGGCAAAGAGGTCCAGATCGTAGGTGTTGTCGTCGTCCGCGAAGTAGAAGACACCCTTGGTCGCGTTCGCCCGGATCCACTGCAAGCCTCGGTTCCTGTTGGAGACCCCCCGCGGCTTGGCGCCCTTCTTTCGCTTGTATTTGTCCGGCATGGGAGCTGAAAGTCGAGAAAGACCTCGATACATCGAACGAAACGGCTCCATGAGCAAACAATGGGTACCCTCCTAACGTCGTTCGACGGGCATTTACCGATCATGTGCTCGAATTTGAGGCCGGTCCTGCGGAGGAGCTCGGTGACCTGACGCGTCGGCTCCGTGGCGTCCTCGACGACCAGCCAGTGAACGTTCCGGACGAGCATCAGGGTCTGCGCCATCCTGGTGAGCTCGGGGATCTGTTCGGGCCTCCTGTAGGTCGGGGTCACGACGTAGATGGGATCGGGCATCGGAACCGAGTCGTCGTCCTTGACGTTGGGTCCGCAGGCGGGCTTCGTCGGGGTGGCCGACAGCGCCGTCCCCTCCTTGCCCAGCTGGCTCAACAGCGATTGCACCAGCATGTCGCCGACCTCGGGGCTCAGCCCCGTCGCCAGCTGGACGTTGTACACGGCGGCCCGAATCTGAATTCGGAAAGCTAGGCGTCACGTCTGCCCCTTCGTTCGACCCTTTCGGGAAAAGGGCGACCGCGATTCGGCAAGGCATAACGAAAGAAGGAGGAAGTACATCGATCGACAAAAGCGAGGCAAACTCGTCGGGGATAATTACGGTTTCTTCGGTGATCCTGGGAGGGACGACCTCGACCCCGGCATCCTCGCCGACCTCTGCTCCGTCGGCGGATCCTCCGGTTCCGTAGGCCGACACCTGATCGAGCCTGATGCCCGTCGACAGGTGATACTGGTAGAAGACCACGCAGATTCCCACCAAGGCGATCACCCCCATCTTCATGGAAGGCTTCATCGTGCCGGACCCTGCCGAAACAACGAGAACTCGGTCAACGACTTCCGATCGATCCCAGGCGACCTCTTGCCCGATATCCATTAAACTGCCGGCACTCGCGGTTCCGGCTCCGGCCGACCCGGACTTACCCTAATTACCTGCAACTTTTCGCGTCGATGATTTCACTGAGTTTCCCTCGATTAAACGCCGATAGCGATATCGATATCGATATCGGGCCCGAGCCCGATTGTTGCCGCGGCGGAAAGAAACTCGCCGATACGGCGAGTCGGTGCTTTTCCGATCGTTCGAATGTTTCGACGAAACGCGGAAACAAGGGGCGGAAAGAGCACGATGAATTTTCAATCGGAGAGTTTAGAATGCGATTCGGATATATTTCGGAACGCGTCGGTTCCGAGGGGCTATTCGCTCAAGAAATCGTTGGAAATCACCGAACACCGTCACGATTTTAAGGCCGAACGTCGCTTGTTACCGAATCGCCCTCTTGTGCATCGTATGAAAGATATTATGTTATTATGATAATATGTCAACATTCCTGGTATTAAAACTGGCACGTCCCTATTCCAACGGATAAAATGTACACGTTTTACAGATGTTTCCGTAAGTTTAAAAAATTTTTCTTTTATCCCTGCGGGATTGCGCCATTCCCCCGAGGGTCCGCGACTCGTTGACTCATTTCTATTTATGCGAGATGCTCCAAGAGTCCGTGTACCCCGGAAGAGCTCGTCCCACCCAGCAGCCGGCTCGCGATATTCCGACCGGCAGATAAATGTGAGAATATTTAAGAAAATGGCGATACCAGAGGTCTCCGGTTTTAGGCTGAAAGCAGCAAAGGGGGGTAAACGTCTCGGAGTGGAAAGCACCGGCCGAAAACGGCGGGGCAGGGTAAATTCGAGTCCTGGAAGTCGGCCAAAGCTTTTCATAATCCGAGAATGTATCTCAAAATGTTTCTCCAAGGGTCGTTGCATACGTTTCCGGGCGCCGTAAAAGTGGTGGGAGATATCGATACTCGCATCTCCTGATGGAGTTGCGACCGACTCCGCAAAAAGTCGTCCTTTACCGATATCGGAAACGGCGAGGTTCTCTCGGAGCACGTGGCTAATCGCTTTCGAAGCGATTTAAAAGCCGTTTATGTAACGTTTGCGAGCAAGTGCACCTGCCGAGGGAGCGTGCACGCGCATTCCCCTCGTCGGTGATTCTTTCATTGATCTTCGTGATCTTCGAGGCATAATAATCGCTTTCGCGCGTTATCTTTACTCGCCCCAACCCGAAGAAGACAGCGGACGGCTCCTCCCTTGTTGCGAGTGGAAACGGACCGGCAGAAGTCAGCCAGAAACGAGTCCATTGTTGGACGACTTTCCTCGTCCGGCCGGGCGTCGTTCGTGAATGGACGATTGACTTTCGCGGGGAAGCCGGGCTCGCAATTAGGCGGGGAAAACTCGACCGCGTCTACGTCGCGGCCATTCGACGACGCCTCCGCAACAATGCCCGTCGGATTTTGCGTGCACGTCCCGGCGAACAATCGCGACGAACGCGTCGAGATCCGCCCGAGAAGCTCCAAAGCGCTTTCTTTCCGAAAATTCAATAGACGCCGCGGGCAGTCGCATCAACGACGCGACTACGTGCAGGTGCATCCCAGCCCCCCGGAGAGGCATTTGCAACTGTCACGACCATGGCGACGCAGCCTCGAAACTCGATATCGAGCCTTTATGACTCTTGTCAAATAAAGTAACGAAACATACGATGAGAACCGCCAGTCCTTTTTTTGTAACGTACAAAGTCTGGCCTGGTTTATTTGGCCGTTAAGCCCGACGTTGCTTGGGTCCGTTTCGTATTTTATTTTATATCGTTTCGACTGGATTAAACGACAATAACGTAGTAATGTTTTAAGACAATCGCGTTAAGAAATGAATTGATATTTTCGTTTAATAAGTTTTCCTGTACGATGGAGTAATTTAACCAAAGCGTATGTCCTTCGTGAAATCGTAAGGAACGTGTCCGCAAAAATCTGACCAGGAGATTTCGAGATCATCCCGATCATGTAAACGCACTTTTTTTGTCTTTATACGATGATATATAAGTGCAGATGGCACCGATACAAAAAATCTGTTCATAAAGCGGACTCCCGAACGTTCGTTTCGAACCTCTAAGTACGTCGTTGATGCTAGAATTCCGGAGCTGCTCTCGTGGCTTCCGCTATCAAACTGGAGCACCGGCAAACCCGATAAGGCTGTTTCGACTTGAAATCGATCGGCCACGAGGACCTAACCACAAGCAAGAACTGTACGTTAATCCGAGATCGATAATCCTACGTCAATGAATATGAAACCTCCTTTGTCTCGGGCAGATAAGGCACAGAAATCGGCGAGACGAGCTCTTATCGATTTAGATGCCGTTCCGAAAAGTCGAAATTATTCGGATCGATTGTACGACGCGCAGTGTACATATCTAGGTCCTGCAGTGGCGACTCGTTTGACTCGCTGACAGAAAACGTCCCAGATTCTTATAAAATAAATCATTTCCTTGTTCCGCAAATGATTCTCTTGATCCAGATACGTAAGAATCAAAGTTTCCGAGATAATCTCTTATCGAAATATTAAACGAGATTCAATAATCAATTTGGATAGTACCCAGTTTTCCACCTTTCTACCGTCTTTTTTTCAGGAAGACCACGCGAAAGTAGAAAGTAAGAAACTGAATGGGAATGGATGCGATTTCGGACGAACCGGGGTAGGAATTCGGGAAGGCGAGGGGCGGGGAAAGCGAAATCAGCGCGCGTGCGCCGGAGAGCGGAGGATCGCGTATCCGCGCGGGCGTTGCTGATAACCCGATAAGGAGCCGGAAGCACGGCCGAGCCATAACACGCAACTCCAGCGAAACATCGACCAACATGAAGCCCCGTGTGCCGAAAATACCGACGAAAGGCCCCGCAAAATTCATCTCCCGAGGCTGTCGCGACTCTTCTCGCGCAGAGAAAATTAACCCTAGAACTATCTATGGATTTTTATGGCCGTCGAAAACCAGTCATTTTGCCTGGGCCTGGTAGTTCTAATGTCAATGAAAAATGTACGCAAGGGGGTGTATTCGGCGCAATCCTGACAAAAAAAAAGGGAAGCTTTTTTTATTCTCATTTCTCATGAAATGTCGATAATTATCGCAGAGAATAACACACCAACAACGGAAATATTCGTGTAAATTGTCTCAATACTAACCCGCAAAGGTCATCGTATATAAGAAGTAACGAGAAAAGATGAATTAAATCAGTGTTTTACTTTTTATTACGCCTTTATCGTCCTCTATCGTGACTTAAGAAGATTCGCTTAAAAGAAATGGCCCCACGCGTAAACACCACGGGAAAGAATTTAACGAAACGTGCCACGCTATGAAATGCTCTTCAAAATGTGTCCACGATGCCACGTCTCGCTTTCGTAATAAACTTTTCTCTGGATCGGCGCGATGGATCTCTCGATAAGGGCCCCATAGGAGTGCCTCCTCTCGGGAGTTTCCGCTATTCAAGAAACTCGGTAGAGTTTCGAGCCAAATACATGTGAACGAGGAACTCGTTTGTTATACGCCGCGTTGAGAGGATTTCCTTGCGAGCATTCCAGAGCGTTGCGTTGGCAAGCTCGTTAAGAAGTTGCGGCTGGGGCGACTTTTCGTATTCATTGTATATTTCGACGGAATTCCATGTCGGGTGCTCCAAAATGTTTGTCCGATTATTCCGGCCACTCGGCCCCGAGGAGGTCTTTGTTTCCGGGAATTTGTTGCTGGCCTCCGTTTCCAGAAACCGGAGAAACGACCGTTGACTTCCTCGGGAGAGATGCGAGAGCTTTTGTCCGCATGCAAACTAACGCGTCGCGCCGTCGTCGGCGTTTGTCTCGGCTTTTTTGCGCCGAGGACGGACAATGAAGAGAAAAAAAGCGTACTTCGGATTCCGTCGTTCCTTCGAGAGTTTTTACGATTCTGGCGCGTGCGACCGCGCAAAGGAACTAACGGGCCTCTCCTCGGCGGCTCGTTCGCACCTCCGCCGCTGCGAATTTCGTTGCGGCGGAAGTGCCGCCCCGCGAGGGAGCGCTGGGCCGCCCGGGAATAACACCCGATGGGGAAGTCTCGGTTAAAAAAACAACCTAGTTGAGTGTACCTAGTCGGTGCCCGATAAAATCCCGGTCGTTTCCCGGAAACGTGAAAAAATAATGGAGTCCACCGCGGCGGCGTAATTCGACGAGTCCGCAAATAGCGGGCGGATCGAACGCGCAGGTCGCTCGCGATGTTTGAACGGACGCATCCAATCAAGAAGCACCCGTGGAAACCAATAATTTGCCAGATCGCGAGAATGTCAAGTGGCGTTAGGGCGAACGTAAATATTTGACCGGCGGAACCATTCGCGGTTCGACTTTGACGGGGCACGCGGCCATATTTTCGCCCTCCTCCGAAATGCGCGGCTCAAACCTTCGTTGCAAATACCGCGGTGCTTTATTCAAGGTCCTGGCCGACAATGTCGAGGGGCAAACGGGGCAACGGAGAGGACCCTCGGTCTATGTGAAATCGTTTACGAATCGTCGCCGATACGGAGAGCGCGCCGAGCGATCGACCGTATACCGCCTACGGGGAATTTAATTAAAGAATTTAATTAAACCGCGCCGACAGGGCAAATGTGCCTGCGAGCGTGGCGATATGGTGGCTAAATAACCGATGGTAAGTTTATCGAGGACGTGGTCAAGCACCGCTACAGGAAACGACTCGATCTCGTATCGATCGACTCGTGTCGGACCGTTCGGCCAGCCTGGCTGGAAAAAATCGAGAATCGATCACCGAGCCGGAGGAAAACGAACCCGTCCGAATTATTGACCGATTTACGACGACACGAGTAACAGGTGAATGCAGAATTCATACAGGGGTTTTAGCCTCGACCATCTAAGTTTTAGCTGCACTTTTCTAGGATCATTTCGCAAAGGCGAAATCCCGTCGTGCATGTCCTTTAGTCCCACGCAACGTGAAAGCCGACCCCGCGTCC